AAAAGGTCCCCTCAATAGTGCAGCGGCCTGCCGGGGGCCTCCAGAACAGCAAACCAGAATCCCTTGCTGTATTCAAAACCATAAGGCTTCTATATAGAAACCTCAAGTCTCCAGCCTTCAGGGATTCAGGCCAAAGCTCCAAACTCTGGTTTTGCACGGCTGCCAGATCTATAGGTTTCTTATATAAACCCCTTATTAAAAAAGCCATCCCAACAACTTTTCTAAGGGGTAGTATACGATAGCTGCCCACCCCGCAATAGTTCGGATGAAAAGGTCCCCTCAATAGTGCAGCGGCCTGCCGGGGGCCTCCAGAACAGCAAACCAGAATCCCTTGCTGTATTCAAAGCATTTAGGCTTCTATGCAGAAAGATCTAGAGGCTGTGTTGTAGTTAATTAAACCTCTTTTGGAAGCTTCAGTCCTCGACAGCAGGGTCCATCGTGCTCCCAGCTCCCTAGAGCTGCCGTCTCTTAGAGCCACGAAGAACTGCGAAGAGTTCGAGATCTGTTAAGAAAACAGCTGACAGACTTCCCTCAAGGCAGAGATCCTTCGATAGCTCCTGCATCACACATCAGAGAGACCACGATCCCTTCATTTTGCGAACAGGCGATCCTTCCTTCGAAAGAGTCGGTCACTGCAGACATGCATGTATCGAGAGAAGCAGCTCTTGCTTCGAAGAGCCACTGCAGACATGAATGAATCGACAGAGCGCGCTGTGTGCAGCCTGAAGAAACAAGTGAGAGCTAAGAACCCGAAGCTTTAGACCCCGAAGATAAAAGCTGAGACAGCACAGAGGATCATGTAGAGGCCGGTGGCTGGGCAGAGGTGCTCGTCGAGGCAGAAGCCGATGGCTCAGCAGAGGTGCTTGCCGAAGCAGAGGCCGGTGCAGCTGCAGAGCCTCCGGACCGATGTGAGTGTCATGAATCCAGAAAAGAGGTTTAAAGTTTAGGTTTCCTCCCGCCTCCGGTGGAGAAGCTTGCGATGAGAGAAGCCAGAGCTGATCCTCCAGGGCAGACTCAAGCAATCCCAATCGAGGGCTTGCAACTAGAGTCTCCAAAACAAAAGAGAAAAGCTACCAAAGGAGACGAAGCCAACACGAAGCCAGAGAAACAGAAACGGAGAAGATTAAGGGTTTAAGATGTTGGGGATTCGAGTCCAGAGCATCGCCCTTTTCTTCTCGCAAGAGCTCAAGCCGCTTCGGGCGAGGCAGGGAGAGGAACTAACATCTCCCAATCATCAGAGTGATGCTCATCATGATCAGAGTGGTGCTCAGAAGCTTCAGAGTGTGTCTGAGAGCCAGGCAGAGAGTTTCCCAGATCCTCGAGATCCTCCTCTGTCAGAGGCCACCAACCGCGACCGCCCTCCAACAAGAGGAGGTCCCCAACAGAGAGATCTCTGCGTCGGATCACCCATCCCTGAAGAGTCCACCTCTCAGAGCTGAAACAAGAGACCTCCGGAGAGAACCTCATGCCGTCCGGGAGGCACCAAGAGCAATCTTGGAGAGGCAGGCCCAAGAGTTCTCCGATCAGAGAGGCGATGTCTGCATCGTCCTCCAAGAAGAGTCTGCTGATGCAGAGGAGCGAAACATACCTGAGTCCGTCGTGATGCAATCAGGAGATTTAATTATCAGGGACATCAGAGCCAATGTGAAATGCGAACTGAGGCACTGGTTCACAGAGACACTGCGAGAGACGGTCTCCATGTTTCCAAGCAAGAGGCCGAGATGCTCAGAGCAAAAGAGCTCCCGGGCTGAATGTTCTCCACAAAACAGAGTTTAAAAGAGAGAGAGAGAGAGAGAGAGAGAGAGAGAGAGAGAGAGAGCGAGAGCGAGAGAGAGAGACAGAGAGAGAGAGAGATGTGTGTTTGTGCGAAAACAACTAGAAACTAAACCCTAATCAAACCGTAAACCCCAAAGCAGAAAAGAGACACCTCTTTTGCAGAGCCAAGCAGAGAGTCGCTCGGACGACAGTTCCAGAGAGAAGCTCTAGCAGAGTGGAGAGGTTTTAAGGTTCTAGAGTCTAGGGTTTAGGCTCGAAGGTAAAGGTAAGGCCTGTAAGGGTTTAGGGTTTAGGGGGGTTTAGGGTTTGGGTTGATTACCTGAGAGTTCAGGTCTAAGGGTTTTAGAGTTTAGGGTTTAGGCTCGAAGTAAAGGTAAGGGTTTCGGGTTTAAGGATTAGTATTTAGGGCTTAGAGTTAAAAAACCAGCTCCATCTGCGAGCTCTCGATCATGTAGAGCCCGGCTCATCGAAGCCTGGGATGGGAGTATGTAAATATAAGTACAAATAAATAAATATATAAATAAATATATATATATATATGTGTATATGGCTATCTTTATTATTATTATTATTATTACCATTATTATTGCTATTATTGTTCTAATTATATATACATAAATATTATCATATATATATATGTAGTAGAAAATCGTCGAGCAGCATAGAGTGCTGCCGGACGAGAGCCAAGGCTGCCAAAAGAGCTCCTCGCATTTAGAGGGTTTAAGGTTTAGTTAGGGTGTAGAGCCACGGTTTAGGGTTTAGGGTTAATTAGGGTTTTGAGGTTTTAGGTTTAAGACGGGTACAAGCCTTAGCTACATAGGGCTTAATTAATTAGGAAAAACCCGAAACCTATTTAATTACGAACCCCAAACCCTGGAACCCCTTCACCCTAAACCCCGAAACCCTAAAACCAGAGCCAAGCGTCGCCAAAATCGAGGCACAGAGGCTCCACCCCAATGCCTCGCATAGAGTTTGGGATTTAGGGCTTGAGAGTTTTCGGGCATTAATTAAGGCTTTGGGTAAGCTTAGAGTCTGGGGGTTGAATTTAGAGAGATTTAAGGCAGTAAGGGTTTGGCTAAGTTTAGAGTTTGAGGTTTAGTGTTTGAGAGATTCGAGGCATTAATTAAGGGTTTGGGTAAGTTTAGAGTTTGGGCTTTAATTAGGGTTTGGGTGTTTAGGCTTTGATTAATTAATTAGGGTGGTGGGTTTGTTAATTAAATAAAGAGCCAAGTATCAGAGAGATCCACGGAGAGGCCTCTCTAAGCCTCGGATGTGAGGGTTTAGGAGTAATTAATTTTTTAAAAAAAAGAGAGCGAGCCACAAAAGAGAGACTTTCTGCCGAAGAGCTCACTCCTCCGCCACAGCGGCCAGAGCATCCGTCTCAGAGGCCGGCCCAGCCGTCGCAGCCGCCGTAGAGTTCACATTGTCAGAGGGAGGCGGCTGCTCAGAGCCCTCAGAGCCTCCGCGGGCAGGATAGCGATCCGGCGCAGCCATCTGCTTCAGAGCTTTCGCCAAAGTGTCAGAGCGAAGCAGCTCGGCCTGAAGGCTATTTAATGAGAGTCTAATTAATTAAGGTTTAATTCGGGATTTAGGGTTTAGGGTTTAGGGTTTAAGGGGGAGGTTTGCAGGCCAGATACAGAGTGCACCAGAGACGGCCAGGAGAAGCCAGAGAACCGGGCGTGCCTGCCAGAGGCACCCCGATGAGAGTGCGAATGAAATTAATTAACTAGCACAACCCTAAACCCCAAACCCCACAAACACTTCAACCTTGAACCCCAAAGACTAAACCCAACCTAATTAATTAATCACTGCAAACTAGAGGCTCAGAGTGGTACACCAAGTGGGCCAGAGTTTCCTGCTCTCGACAGAAGAGCCAGCGGGCGTGTGCAGAGTTGGCAAAAACCTCCTCCACATCCGCCCGCCGCACCAGCTTGGACCTCAGAGGCTGCACTGCACTAGTTAATTAATTAGTTAAAGAAAATGGACCAGAAGGAAAGACACCAAACATTGCCAAAGCACTCATCCCAGAGCCACCGGATGTTGAGAGAAACTTCGCAGATCATGTCCGGGTCCAGAGCATCATCCTGCACGCAATTAGAGAGCAATTGGGGTTTGGGGCTCTGCTACTTACTTAGTTACTTAGGGTTTCCTTAGAGAGGTTAAGGCATTAATTCACCATTAGAGTCTGTCCGCATCGAAAGAGATCTGGCTGTAGATGAGCTGAACGGAGAGCTGCCAGGTCACAGAGATGCCTGGGACATGCTTTAGAGTTTGGGTTAATTAGATAGGATTAGGGTTGAGGGTTTAGAGTTTAGGGTTTAGGGTGTAATTAATTAGTGTTTTAGGTGAAATAGAGGTTCCTGGATTGAAGCTAGGACACAGAGGGCCACAAAGGTAGTCTCGTCAGAGCCAGGCACAGAGTGGACCAGAGCCAGGACTTGAGAGATCCACCTTCGGGGATTCGTTTCGGGTTTAATTAATTAGAGTGTGCTTCGCTTTCATTAGCACCAAGAGCCCACAGCCTCCAGAGGATGGCCCTCGTGGACACGAGGCTTCTGCGAGCCCAGCCGATGCTGTCTTTGCGCCGATCGTAGAGCTTCAGAGCATCGAAGAGCTTCCTTAATTAGAGGTTGGGAAAATCAAGAGTTTTGCCAGGGTTTAGGGTTTAATTAGGGTAATTAGAGCTGCCTAGAGACTCCTCCGCCGAGGCCAAAGTCACAGCTGCCATGCTTCCCAGAGGTCCTCGGAATAGTGAAAAGTCCAACCCAAGAGATTGAGTATTTTCGCTTTCAGAACTAGAGGCTTCCAAAGAGAACAGTATGCCAACGGAGTTGAGAGTCGAAGGTTGCGAAAAGAGCGGAGCAAGAGGGCTGCTGGAGCGAAGAGGGCTGCAAAAATCTGCTACTATACTACTACTGTACTACTGTACTACTGTACTACTGTACTACTGTACTACTACTGTACTACTGTACTAATGTACTACTGTACTACTGTACTACCCCCGGCCCCCAAACAACTTCGACCCCGGACCCCCCAAACAACTTCAGGTCAGAGATATGCGGACCCCCCGTTAATATTACAGGGACTGGACTTGTTTGGGGGGGGGGGGGGGTTTAATAATCAGGAGACCACATTATCCAACTGTTACTGAGTGGGGGCAGTACCCTAAACCCTAAACCCTCGGGTTCAGCTCACACGCGGAGTCGGTGCTGTGGGCCCCTTGCCGCCCTCTTGCGCGCTCCGAGCTCTTCCGACCTGAGCCAATCCGGGTGTCTAGGGTTCTACAAGAGTTCCATATGGGTTTAGGGTTTAGGGTCAGATACAAGTTCCATAAGAGTTCTCGTAAGGGCACCTTACTTTGGGGTCCTTATAATAGGGATCCTACTATTTAGGATGCTGTATTAGGGTCCTCCGTTTACAGAAACTCCCATATGTAAAAACCAGAAAAACCCTAAACCCTGGTTGATGGCTGGTTCTCTTTGATAACCTCTCGGAGGATCTTGCCGGCGGCCTTCGTCCTCCGTCCGAAGCAGTCACGTGGCTCCATCCACTGTCGCATGAAGGTTGTCCTACATCCTCAACCCTTTCATGAAAGGGTTGAGGATTTAGGGGTTTAGGGTTTAGGGACCCGTAGAGTGGCCTTACTACGGTACCTCATATGCAGGAATCCTTCGAGTCTAGGCACCCTTTCACAAGGATTCTCACCCTAAACCCCTACTCAGTGCAGCACCAGATGGCAATCCTTGTAGGTCGATACACAGGCGTCTCCTCGAGTCTGGAGAAGCACTCGGAGGGCTTTGGGGGTTTAGGGGGCCAGCGGTTTAGGGTGGAGGGTTGAGGAGGGTTCATAGTGCGTGATGAACTTTTAATAAAGCAGTTGTCAACACTACCGTAGCTTGTTACTACTCACCTGGCGGCTGCTATGTCGTTACTATTCTTTATCAGACTGTCATGACTAAAACATGATGATAAGCACCCTGCAGCATGGAATTCAAAATGAGTTCAAAACCCAAAACCTATCGCTGATGCTCTGATCCTAGCTAAACATTAAGCCCGAAGTATGCGCTTCGCCTCGCTTACCAAAAAGAAAATCATGCATCTATCATCGGAATACTTCGGCTAAAATGGGCATGCAAGGTTCTATAGGGTTTAGGGGTTTAGAGTTAGCCTCTGCAGACCTGTCCCATCTAGGGAGGTGTGTCAAGGGCTCTTTGACCTTGGAGCACTTGCCCCAACATCGATATTCTGGCTTCTCTACTTCAAGAGTCTGTGATATGCTGTAGCCGCTGAGAGTACCCAACAGTGCCAGGAACTACAAACAAATCCGTCTGCAAGCTCGCGAAACGCCAGCATGCAGCCTTAGAAACTCCAAACCGCACGCACCAAAGTCTTCAACCCAATGCCCCATGACCTGGATTCACGCAGGGTTATAAGTTGCCACATTAGGGAGCTGTAGTAAACAACTGGGCTTCCTAGAACGCCGTGAACCGCCCCCCAAAACCGAAATCCAAACACCGAGGCCCGAATACCTCACAACTAAACTCCGGGACCCCGCAGCCCTGAACCCAAAAACCCAAGCCCAGCCCCCCACCTCCCGAAATTGTCGACCCAAGACTCTGACCCTGAAAAATGGTAAGGGTGACCCCTTAGGTATAAGCCATGGTAAGGTTATAACTCCAAACACTCGGATTTTGGGATCCCCAGAAACCCTACAAAAAATAGTAGCAGAACTCCTAAGCCCCATGCAGCAACAGTCTATAATAGGGCTACTACTAAGGTCCTAAGATATCTATATTATGAATACTATCCAACTGCTACTGAGTGGGGGCCGTACCCAAAGCACAACTCCTCAAAACCCTAAACCCCCAGGCACCAAACACAGGGAGCCCCGAAACGTCTGCCTGGCCTCGTCGCCTAGGCCAGACTGAGAGCGAGCCACCGAAGCATTCCTGGGCGAAAGTACTTGGAGGTTCATGGGTAGTTATAAGTAGGGTTATAAGTAGGGTAATTATACTTATATCCCATATTAGGGGGACTTATAACCCCACTCAGAACTACCCATGAACCTCCAAGTAGGCTTTAGGGTTTAGACCCCCGTAACTACCCTTTATTGTAGTCCCTAATTCCCTCTTAACGAGAAATATTAGAGCCCTTTAAAGGGTACTTGGGGGGTGCTGGTAGAGTTAAGGGTTCAGGGTTTAGGTAGGGTTAGGGGTTAACGTTTAAAGTAGGTTTAGGGTTTAAGGCCAGGGTTTGATGGTTTAGGCTTATGGAAGCATTGTAGACCCCAATGGATCCCCCAAGCAACCTTCAACCCTACATTACTCCTCCCGGTCCCGAGTGAGGCTTTCTGGAGAAATTCCACTCCTTAATTTACCAACGGACAAAAGCAGGGACCCTTGATGGGGACCCCTACCCTATAATGGGCCACGCAATGGATAGCTACATTTAAGGTTCTATACCTAGGGGTCCTCATTAAGGCTGCCTCCTTTTACCCTTTGACTAAACAAGCTTGAATCATGCTGACTTGATGGCTTCTGAGAAAGGACTTCTGAATTCAGGGCCTTTTGCAGGGTCACACACTGTCCGAAACTCCGACCCAAACACAGAAGTCTTAATCAAAAACAACATCCCGCGATGCAAGGATTGTGCGTTTTTTTTCCCGACCTGCTGCGCCTAAAATCTATGCAGATATGGATGGTTCTTTGAATTAGGGTCCCTTGTAGTGTCAGTTCCATAAGGATGCCGTACTATCTAGGGTGCTATAAAACGGGCACTTATATAGAAAACTACCCGTAGCTCAACACCAGCAGGGCTCTCGGTCTGCTGTAAATATTGCTAGTACTGCTTGTGATTACAAGTATTACTCCTCTTACCATTACAACTAGTATTGCTAGTTTTACTACCATTACTACTAGTACTAGTACTACTACTACTACTACCACTACTACGACTAACTACTACTACTACTACTACTACTACTACTACTACTACTACTACTACTACTACTACTACTACTACTACGACTACTACTACTACTACTACTACTACTACGACTACTACGACTACTACTACTACTACTACTGCTACTACTACTACTACTGCTACTACTACTACTACTACCACTACTACCACTACTACGACTACTACGACAACGTCTACTACTACTACTACTACTACTGCTACTACTACTACTACTACTACTACTATTGCAATTGCAATTGCAATGACTACTATTACTACTACCTCTATATCTGGAGAGGCAAGTCCGAGGTTCGATGCCGCTCGCGAGGACGCGTGCGATGCTGGACGCCTATCGCAGGCAGCCACGGAGCACAGTGGTTTTGCAGGGGTTTACGTAGGGTTTTAGGGTTGAGGGTCTAGGAAAGTGTTGAAGGGTCAAGCATTTGTTCCCGAGGTATGCTAGGGTCCTCTGTGGCTACAGAGACAGAATCCATGCATGCATGTATGCAGGCATGTGACTGCGTCTGCTGATCGGAATAATAAAGGTTGCCAGTGCTATTACTATGTTTACTGACATATGTCTCTGAGTTTTGTGCGAATGCATGTACACGCTGCATGAGTTGTCTCCGGTTTAGCATCTATAGACGACAATCTCAACTCTCTACAAACTAGGGGGAATTGTGGATACATCTTAGTATGATTTCAACAAGGAGCCCGAAGCAACAGTATTGGAAGCTACTACTGGGTTACTGTGTTATAGTATAGGGCTATGGCCCCGTATAGAACGCTTTAAAGAACCCTCAAAGGAAGCTAGGGACCCTATCCCAGACCCCGGGGAGGATCCAGAAAGTAGATCCCCTAATTTGGGGATCTATACTACTAAGGGTACTTTATAGGAACCCCCAGTAAGGGATCTACTTTTTGGATCTTTTCGGGGGTCTGGGATTCTAAACCGATGAGAGGGGTCATGGCCAGAGATTGCCTCTTCGAGGGCGTCCCCGGCAAAGCAAGGGTCGCCCCTTTGGACGGCGAAGGCGGTGTGGAGGGCGAGTCCGTCGCAGCTGGTGACACCTGCCCGGTTCAGGGTTTAGGGTTCTACCTATAGTCTCCAGTGTAGTTCCTTTTTTTGGATAACCAGTTCTATTGTTAGGACCCTATAATATAGACTTTGGTTAACAAAAAAAAGAACTGCAATGGAGACTATAGGTAGGGTTTAGGGTTTAGGGGACTTGAGGCCAAAAAGTTGCGTCCTTGTGGAGTTTCGGGCTTATGAGTCAAAGAAGAATAGCATATACCCAGGTTTATCGTTTCCTGGAAACGATAACCTGGGTAGTTTTGGTTCCCTGGAAACGATAAACCTGGGTAGTTTTGGGCGTTAGGTTCAGGGTTTATGGGGTGCTAAGCGGGGGTTGCTTTGGGGGGGAAGCTTTATAGGGTATGTCGAAGGTCCTACCCGGAAGGTCTTCAAAGAGCCATAGTTTAGGGTTTAGGGTTTAGTTAAACTCAACCTTGGAGTATAGTATAACGGTTAGAATACCCAACAACTTCAGGGTTACCTAATCTACTACGAAGATAGCCCCTAAATCCTAAACTGGGGTTCCACAAGTCTTTGTGCGGGACAGTTGGGAAGCTGCTCGTGGTATCGGAGGCTTCGGAGCCCTCCACTATGAACCCTAAACTGGAAGCCTAGCTGTTTTAACAATGCTTAGGGCTTCAGAATGGGTTAAGTTTAGGCTTTAGAGCTTCGGGTTTAGGTTGGTTTAGAGTTTAGCTGGGAGCCCTCAACCCCCCAGCACTAAACCGCTAAACTAAAAACTCGCCTCAGCCTCCTCGCCCTCCTCCGTGTTGATGACAGAAATCTTTCCTGCTCAAGCTTTGGGGAGTAGTCTAGAAAACCCTAAACCCTCAACCCTAAGTAGTATAGGAGCCCGAACAGGTAGAATAGGGCTTCCGGTATATATATATATATATGTAATACTATGGTTATGGCAAGGAGCCTTGAGGAGCAGTAGTTGTAGTTATTCTGACTTCCTATTGGGGCCTGAAACTGAACTCCTGAGAACTTTAACGGGCACAGGTGTTTCAAGGAGAACCCTCATCCGCCCGAAAGCCTCTAAAACTTGGAACAAACTCGGCGTAGTCGGAGGATCATAGTGTCTGAGTACCTTAGCCCTAAGAAAGGATATATAAGTAACCCTTTGAGTTACAGTAGGATAATCCACAAGCCCCAAAATGTTAAAGGTTACTCCCTAGACCTCCCAACTACTCTCTAATATACCCACATACCCATTATTAAAGGCCATAAGGGGGGGGACTTGGGAGTGCTGGTCAGGTCTCAAGGGATACTTTCCGAGCACAGCAGCAGGTCCTGCCCACTTGCTGGGAGAGGCCTGCGGTCCACCTCGAGAGCAGCTGAAAACCCAGAAAGAGATAGCCGGTTTGGGGTTGGGTTTAGGGTTGTGGGGTTTAGGGTTTCGGGGTTTAGATGTTTAGATTTAGGGCTTTAGGGGTTTAGGGTTTACCTATAGTCTCCATTGTAGTTCCTTTTTTTGGTTAACCCAAAACTCTATTATATGATCCTAACCATAAAATTGGTTACCCAACAAAAGGACTACAATGGAGACTATAGGTAGGGTCCGGTTTCGGGGTCAGGGTACCGAGATTTGAATTAAAGGGCTTAGGGAACAGAACCCGGCTTTGCGCTGTTCTTCCCCCGCCACTTGCCTTCCGTCCTGCTTGCAGCTGTTCTTCCAATGCCGAACAGGGGATGTGTTTCTCGCTGTTCATGTTATGCCCTGATCGCAGAAGCATTGGCGATCTTGGCTGTGACCATCAGGAGTTGCAGACATGCTTGGGGGATTTGCAGGCCGGAGCGGGTTCGGGTTTGGATGATTCACCAATTCCGGGTCTGCATGTGCTTCTAGCCTACTCCATCTCTGCGGCACGTTCAACCAGACTCAATTCAACGACTAGTAATGGTATGATAGTAGACGCGAAGAGCCCTAATATCCCAAGTGTTATCCCTTGTCCGTTCGGAACTAAGTCGCAGGCTTTGTGTACCATAGAGGGTGAGGGCTTTGTCGTCGCCACGGAAATATGCCTTGGGCCAAGATTAGGTGCAAACGTAGTGAAAGCAGCGCTGCTTCACAAATACCTACAAACCTCACAACAATGGCAACAACGGTAAAGCAAACAACAACACCATCAGCATCAGCATATCGTCGTCAGAGAGTCAACAACATCATCATCGTCATCTTCGACCTCGTCATCAGCATCATCATCGTCATCACCGTCATGTTCGTCATCACCGTTCGCATCATCATCGTCGTCGTCATCATACAATCAGAACCATCTGCAATGGCGTCGTCATCGTTATCATCATCACCATGACCAGCATCATCATCATCATCATCATGACATCAGCATTAGAATCAACATCATGTTCATCTTCATGTACATTTTCATCTTCACCATCGTTCACGATCATCGTATTGATGCGAAGATGTTGAGTCCTCCTCAGCATCATCTTCAACACACTGGTATCAGCTTCAACAACATCAGGGAACATGTATGTGAGCAGATCTGTATACACATATGCGAGCACATCTGGGCACGCAGAGAGAGAGAGAGAGAGAGAGAGAGAGAGAGAGAGAGAGAGAGAGAGAGAGAGAGAGAGAGAGAGAGAGAGAGAGAGAGTGTGTGTGTGTGTGTGCACATAACAGAATGAACGCAGACAAGGTATGCATAACAGCATCGCAGCAGTTCCATAAAAGAATTGGCGCATGTATGGCGTTTGGGTCCCCTTCGAGTCCATACCCCAAAATCGTGCGATTACGCTTGATAAGCTCGCGAGCCAAAGAATCTAGGTCGTCAAGTCTTCGTCGTATCAAAGCGTTCATGAACCATCCACGTGTTAAGCCAATGGCCGCAGCAGCAGCGGGATCAATGTCGCGGAGGACGATGTATTTGCGGTGCCTTGCTTGCCAAACGCGACGTGGTTTTCAGTGCGGGTGGAACGTTGAAGTGTGAGAGTGTAGTACTTTTGGCCAAGCCCCAACCCACCTTGGATCCAAAGTCAGACTATTCATGCAAAGCTTTCGCGACCTCCAACTCGAACTACGTCCTAACTTCCTCCAATCAGTAGTAGGGTTTATGGAACCGCAAACCCCAAATCCCTTACCTACGCCTTTAGCCTTTAGCCCAAAACCCTGGACGCTTAAACCTTTCAACCCTTGAACCCATAACCCTTAATTAACCCCTAACCTCAAAATCCTGAAGCCCTCAACCCATAAACTCTTTCACTACCCCTGACACCCAAACCCCACACATCGAGCTCAGATCCTAAGCTGCTGGCGGCTCAGCCAGCAGGAGCTGCCAGAGCTTCTTCACGTCGCCCTCAATGCTTCCCGATGTGAAGATGAGATGAGGTGGGTATTTTTTGTTAGGCTGTTCCTGTCCGCAACATCCAAGCCACAAGCGAAAGACCCAGAGATGAAGTGGGATTTGGGCTTTAGGGCTTCCGGCATAGATGTCGTTTCGTGAATGTGGTGAGTGGTGACTGTGTACATGCCCCGATACCCTGACTGGAGCAATATATGGTCCTTATTGTTTACCGAGTGTCTTTAACTTTAGTATAAGAGAGAGAGAGAGAGAGAGAGAGAGAGAGAGAGAGAGAGAGAGAGAGAGAGAGAGAGAGAGAGAGAGTGCTCTAGGAGAGGTATAGGGTTTAAGGTCTCAGAGTGTAGAGATTGGGGGTTGGGCGCCCTAGACATCCCCAATCTGAGGAACATGCTTGATACCGATACCATGACTTCAAAACGGAGCAATGGGGATTTAGAACATGTTCTCTGTGCCTAAAGCTTAATCCAAAGCCTTACCAAGCGTGATGTTCAGACCTTAGCGTGACAATCATAGGGTCCCCCTTAAAGGGTACTATAGAATACTATCATAATAAGGTCCCCCTTAAAGGGTACTATAGGGAACTCTAATAGGGTCCCCCTTACGGGGCATTCCACTTGAATGGGGGCCCTTGTGGCGTTAGAGCATTGATGCGGCGCGGACTGAGAGATCAGAGACTCTCCGTCCCAGGGCTTCTTTTAGGGTTTAGGGTCTAGGCTCTAGGGTCGAGTTTTTTTGTTTCTAGGGGTTTACTAGGGCCTTGTTGTTTCGGGGTTTGGGGTTTAGGGTCTGGGGCTTTCTGTGCTTTTAAGGGCTCTTTTTCGGACCGCAGAGTGCATCTGGGTCTAGGGTCTAAGGTTGCAGTCTTGCCAAGATTTGCTGGCTCCACTGGCTGTCCTCGGTAGCAATGTCGGAGCTGAAAGACTACTCGGCCAGTTCTCATGGACGAACCTGAACCCTAAACCTTACCCTGAGGGTCAAGTACCGAATAAGAACATACTCTCCCAAATACATAGCTGACATAGCTACTATCCTAAACCCAAATACCTGATTATTGGGTCCTTTGAACCCTAAACCTTAAAGGCAAGGCCACAACCCAACGGTCCTGCGCCTTTTAAATCAGGAAAGCTCAGTATATAGTTCGGGTTGCCTGAGAGCAACAAGTTGCTCTTACAATTACGCCACATGGCATACAACCCTGACGACAACCCTGTAAAGAAGATAGCTTCATTGATCAAACAATTCCCCACTAGGAAACCTCCAAGCAAGACAATGCTGCATTAGCTGTACACCTGCGCTAATTCCCTGGGAGCACCCTGCTGGGCTCCGGTGATGGATCAAAGCACATGAGCCGAATAAGAGGGCCCTAACAGTGAGAGTCGGGTTTTGGGGTACAGGATCGCATAACTATAATTAGGAAAGGAGCAGTATCGGGTAGAAGTTCAGGCTCCTCTATTGCGCTCTTCTGAATCTGGTTGCATGCGCCCATCATGCAGCAAAGGGATCCGGCAGGAACGGAACCGAGTCACACAAAACGACCCCCAAAAGAGACGCAATCAGCGAAGAATCATACCTGCAGTCTCCAATGTAGTTCCTTTTTTGGGTTAACCAGTTTTATGGTTAGGACCTATAATAGAGGTTTTGGTTAACCACAAAAAAGGAGCTACAATGGAGACTATAGGTAGGGTTTACAGTTTGGGGGTGCCAGAGCCGACTTGGCACTACTCCTGGAACCCGAATCCTAAAAGAGCCCAGCCACAAGTCCTTTAAACTCCTACACATTGGGCCCAAACGGGATAGCCCATCTCGGTCACCCGGTTGCAGAAGTCCTCTTCCTGGCATCGTTCTCGGTTGCTCCGGACTTGGATGCCGACAAAACTTGCGCAGGGGCTGCAAGGGACGGTCTCGGGTCTTGAGCTTTTGATCTGAGTGGGAAGGGAAATCTTGCAGTGGCACTAGCCCCTAAACCACATCTTAGAACAGCAATCACTGCGCTTTACCATCCGTGTAGCTTTTCCATCACCGTCGTTAGCACCACCCGAACCACCATCATCGCCATTGCCATCTCGTCATATCCCTTCCCCATCCAAACACCACCAGTTATATCATACCTCGATAGGATAGGGCTGCTTAGGGGTATACTACTATAAGTACATTAGTGAGGTTATTCCACCCAACAGCCGAGTTCCTCAACGTCATGTGTGATGACCTACCTGGACCTACCTAAACCCTGAATCATAACTCCGCTGGCGTTGACAGATTGACGAAGCTGATCCCGAACAACTCTTATACGGTTCAGACTTGTGAGGGTATGTAATATGTACTCATAACCGGACTACATTATATGGGGACAATGTTGCACAACATTCAAACCTCTAGACCAACCGAGCAGCATATCCCTAAACCCGAGCCCTGAACTCAGAGTCTAGATCCCCTGAATTTCAAGGGTCCACGTACAATATACTCACATACTCTCCCAAAAAATACCGACCTACATCTCTACCATCCTAAAACCGAAGGCAAAAGGGTACCACTGGGGAACCTAGCCACCGCAGGCCTCTAGCTTCCCGCGCTTCTTTGGATCGAGCCCATGATTCCAAGCAGTCATGATGTCGCCGAAGTTTTCCTTCGTAAAGGTATGGGCTTTAGGGCTTGGGCTTGGGCTCTTTTTGGGAGGGTCTTCAGGCACATCCTCTGTAGTGGTCCGATTTGAGATATCTTGGCAAAGGCAGAGGACCAAATCCCAAGCAATCAATCAAGAATGGACCTACACTCCCTGGCGGCGGGCCTTCCTCTACCATACACAGCACTTGTTCATATACCTCCCGAAACTGCCCAAGACCTTCCTCCGACGGACAAGCTCGTGAATTATCATCCATAAACAATCAGGATTCCCGAAGTACGGTACCTGAAACCTAGACCGAGACCCTACACCCAGAATCCTAACTAACTCCCGAAACCTTTTACTAAATCCTGGCCTCTGCCACCCTAAACTTGGGGTTCTGCAGGACTTCGCCCATCAGTTCCAAGCCTACAACCCAAAGGCTCCAAATCCCTGAACCAGAAACCCTAAACCCTAAACCCCAAGCTCCGTCAACTATGCCAGAAACCCTAGACCCTACTAAGCCCCTATGTCATAAACTCTGTGCACTATGCCAGAAACCCTAGACCCTACAGAATACCCTTACAGTAATGCCTATAGACCCCTTAACAAGGAAATTATTAACTCCCCCAAAACTCTGGCCAAAATCTGCCGGGGCTCTAAAAGCAAAGCTCGGAAGTCCCAGAGAGCCTGCGGGACAAAGCACAAGGAGGGATCCCTTAAGGGATTCCCTATAGGATCCCTTTAAAGGAGCTCCTAATCCCTGAGAGCCCTTTAAAGCACAAGGGATGTTGAATTGAAGGCGTTCAAAGATTTGAGGCTGACGGCTTTCAGGGTTTTGGGTTTGCGGGTTTAGGGTTTAAGGATGTGGGGCTGGAGGCTTTTGAACCTTTTAGACATTTTTGGGGTTCGGATTTGATGTTGCAAACATGTGCCGTTCAGGGCTTAGCAACAGGGCTTCAGGATTGAAGGCGAAGGGGCTTTCACTGACAGACACTACTCCGTAGAGGAGCTCGTAAGCTGGCTGCAGAACCATACATGGCAGTGATACCCATAGCATGATTTAGGGTTTAGGGTGTATTTTCTGGGGTTTTCGGGCTTGTTTTGGTAAGTGCAATAGCCTTGCACCCGCATGAAGGTCCACCTCTCTAGAAGTGTTCACCTCATGCTGCCCACACGGAAAAGCAGCCTGGCAAGCGGTAGAAAAGGGCGGGGTGTTTTTTTTTTTTTTCGAAGGTGCGGCCAACACTCTTTTTTCGGAGGTGCGGCCAAGGATTTGTTCAGGTTGGACACCCAGGATCCTTGTAGAGGGTTCATCGGCGATGTAAAGAATTTGCGCCCCACCACAGCGCCAGCGCTTCGACACGCAGAATCCTTGTAGAGGGTTCATCGGGGTCGTAGAGAATTTGCGCCGCACCACAGCACCAGCGCTTGGAGGCGCAGGATCCTTGTGGAGGGTTCATCGGCGATGTAAAGAATTTGCGCCCCACCACAGCGCCAGCGCTTCGACACGCAGAATCCTTGTAGAGGGTTCATCGGGGTCGTAGAGAATTTGCGCCGCACCACAGCGCCAGCGCTTGGAGGCGCAGGATCCCTGTGGAGGGTTCATCGGTGTGGAGGGTTCATCGGGGACGTAGAAAATTTGCACCGCACCACAGAGCCAACGCTTCGAGGGGCAGGATCCCTGTGGAGGGTTCATCGGGGACGTAGACAATTGGCGCCGCACCACAGCGCCAGCGCTTCGAAGCGCAGGATCCCTGGGTGAAGCATCAAAAAAAACTAATCATCAACAACAAATGAAATCCAGGGATCAACAAAAAACTGATTTAAAAAAAAGAGCATCACAAACAAATTAAATTATAGGAAATGAAGCCATTTCCAAAACTATTTGCCTTGGTGGCGATGGTGGTGTCGTTGATGTCGTTGCTGTCGTCGTTGGTGGTGGTGGTGTCGTTGATGTTGTCGTGTTGTTGCTGCTCTTCGCGTTAAACCCCCTGGAGCGTGGCTGTCTGGCTTTCCCCTTCTTGTGTGTTGCCGAATACGTGTATGTTCATTTCTTCGCGGGCTTACAGAGCGGGGAGTTAATTTAGTCTGAAAAAAGCGGGGGGGTTGGGGGGGGCGCAGCCCCCCCCATTTGCAATCCTTTTAAATCCTTCAGGATTGATTTTGTCTTCTTTGCGTTAAACCCCCCTGAAGCATTATTGTCTGGCTTCCCCTGCTTGTGTGTTGGCGGATACGTTTTTGTGCATTTTCCGTGGCTTTAGAGAGCGGGGAGTTTAGTCTAAAAAAGCGGGGGGGTTGGGGGGGGCGCAGCCCCCCCCATTTGCAAACCTTTTAAATCCTTCAGGATTGATTTGGTCTTCTTCGCGTTAAAACCCCCTGAAGCATTGTTGTCTGGCTTCATTTTTTTTGTGTTGACGAACACGGTTTTATTTATTTCGTAGCAAACGACCGGCTGGCAAACACGTTATTGTTGATTACTTCGTGGCTCAAGAGAGCTTCCAAGTCATTCATGATTGATTGTGTTGCTTCGCGTGTAACCCCGCTGAAACAACAACCCAAGAAAATCCGTGTTGTGAATCTGGGTTCCGAACCTGAATTTCCAACCGTCTGTCTTACTTCTTTTCTTTCTTTCTGTTCTTCTTCCTTGCTTTGGTCCTTGTTCTGGGGTGTTTCGTTCTGTCTTCCTGGGTTCTTTTCGTTTCAGGTGGAAAAACCAAGAAAAGCACACCAAATCCGTCCAAAACGTGAGGAAAATAGTGTTTTCCCCAGGAAAACCCATGGAAAAACACCAAACAAAAAAAAAACAACAACAAGATCCAAAATAATGGGCCCTCCATATGTATGTATATATATATATATATACACACACACACACAAACTCTCTCTCTCTCTCTCTCTCTCTCTCTCTCTCTCTCTCCTGGGCATAGGGGTCGGTCAAGACCCCCGGGCATCAAGCCCACCCGCATATATGTTATGCAGGTATCGGGGGGTGAAGAACGAGTGTAATCCCCCCATACGCTAGAGCTAGATTCAATACAGTGGCAGATTAGGTGGGATGTACACTCTCACACAAACTCTCTCTCTCTCTCTCTCTCTCTCTCTCTCTCTCTCTCTCTCTCTCTCTCTCTCTCTCTCTCTCTGTATGTATGTATATATATATATATATATACACTATATATATACATATATATACACTATACTTACTATATATGCTATATATACTATATATACTATATATACTATATATACTATATATACTATATATACTATATATACTATATATAGTATATATATATATGCTGTATATACTGTATGTACTATATCTACTATAATATATATATATATATACCATATATACAATCTGTATATAACATATATATATATATATATATACTATATCTACTATATCTACTATATTCACTATATCTACTATATCTCTTATATCTACTATATCTCTTATAACTACTATATTTACCATATCTACTATATTTACTATATATGCTATATCTACTGTATATACTACATAAAATAATATATACTACAGAAACAATATAAACTGTATATACTAATACTATATCTACTTAATCTACTACATATACTATACATATATACTCTATATATATATATATATATATACATATATACATACTGTATATATTATGTACACTATATATATACTATATATACTTTATACATTATATATACTATATATATATATACTGTAGATAAAAATATACAATATAAACTCTATATACTATATATATATACTACATATATATATATACTACATATATATATATGCATATACTATATGAATATATATATAATATATACACATGTTATATGTATATACTGTACATACTATATCTAGTATACATACTATATATACTACATGTACTATGTATACTATGTATACATATATATATATATATATATATGTATATGTGTTTTTTACTTTATATACTGATGTACTACCGTCCTTCCTTTCTTCCTTCTTTCTTTCCTTCCTTGCTTCCTTCCTTCCTTCCTTCGTTCCTTTCCTTCCTTCCTTCCTTCCTTGTTTCCTTGCTTTCTTCCTTGCTTTCTTCCGTCCCTGTGTAAATAACAGGACGTGGAAGCAAAAAAAGAGGACCGAAAAAAAGGACGCAAACAAAAACGGATTCCCGTTCTTGCTTCTCTTTCATTCCTTGCTAGCTCCTCTGCTTTCTTGCTTTCTTTTGTGCTTTCTTCCTGGCTTTCTTTCCTTCATCATCTTTCTTCTGGTTTTCTTACTTCTGAAATTTTGCTTGATTTTTGTTATTCCTTGTTTGCTTTCTTGTTGCTTTTGCGGGACCGAGGGACCGGCGGACCGCAGGACCAGGAGACCACGGGACCAGAGGACCAGCAGACCAGAGGACCAGGCAACCACAGGACCAAGGACCAGAAAACTAGGGGACCGCATGCACGGACACCACAGGACCAGAGGACCAGCAGACCGGAGGACCAGGGGACCACAGGACCCAGGACCAGAGGACTAGGGGACCGCATGCACCAGGGACCCTTGGCCGCACCTCGCAAACAAGGGTTGGCCGCACCTTCGAAAAAAAAAAAAACCATGGCCCGGTAGAAAAGCGACCCACTAATTAGTCACCGCCCAAGAAGACTCACCACCTTCTTTTGGTTTAGGGTACACGGTTTTGGGAATCCGGATACCTGAAACCTGCCTAAACCCTAAAACCTAAACCCTAAAGCCCTAATCCCTGAAGCCCAACCGAGATCCAAAAGTTTAGGGCCCTGAAGAGATCCCCACAACCCTCAGAAGATCCTGAAACCCTTTAAACAAAACAAATCCTAAGGTCCCAAAGCGATCCTGACACCCTTAATAATTCTATTTCAGAGATCCTAAAATCTAAAACCTTAAGAAAAACTAAACTTCCTACAGCCATTAAGAGATCGGAGGCCTCAAAAGGTGGGATGAAGGTAGCTAGGATTCAGGATCCCTTATATAAGGGCCCTTGCTTGGAATATCCCACCTACCTTCATCCCACCTTTTGAGGCTTCCGAATCCCCTAAACCCTAAACCCTAAAGATCCTATAAGCGCCTGCACGGCGTGAGGATCCAGGTCCGTCAAGGAGACGTGGCCTCGGCGGAAATGTCGGAAGAGTGGAGGATTTGGGGATGCCTAGGGACCCTAAGGTTCAGGGTTTATGTTGTTTAGCTCCTTTTCTCCAGTGCCCCGAAAGGTCTGAGAGGCCAAGAGTTTGGGGTTTAAGGTTTAGGGCTTGAGGGTTTAGGGGCTTAGGAGTGTCGCGGCCTCTAACGGGTTATGAAATAGGGCTTCGAGATAGGGCTTTCGGGCATATTCATCAACCCCAAGAAGTACGATTAGTGATTATTCGGGCCCCTCTATCAGAAGCCTGACTTGCACGTGGGGCGTTGGGATTGCGATCGAGTCTAGGATTCAGGGTGTGATGTAGAGGTGGTTCGGGGTTTCGGGCGGTGGAACACATATGCCCCACGAAAGCTCTGTAAGATCCTTAAGACACACTAAAGTCACGGCTGCCATAGCCTTTTGCACCAAAAGCCCAAACGGCTCTCAATGCCGGGTTTCTTGCGGGCTTTGGAGCGAGTCGCAATACGACGAGCCCGTGTAGGAATCCCTCTCACAGCTGATAAAACCCTGGAAACTATCAACCCCTTCGAATCACCGTATAAAGCTCTGAAAGCCAACGCAGAACCCCATCTAAACCTCAAGCGGGACCCATCAGAAACCATACTAGTAACAATACTTAATCATAAACCCCGACTAAACCCTCTTCCCTGAACCCTTATTAAACCCTAAAACCCGAAACCGGCCGTAAACCCTAAAGCCTCATCCCTAAAGCCCTCAGAGATCCTAAAGCCGAAACCCGAGTCTGTACATCCTAGACCCTAAACCCTAATCCCCAAACCCTATAGCACCTAAGCCTTTAGATAAAGGACCTCTGCTCGGCTCCCCTACTATAGATCATGATTATAGGAGACCCTAGAATTAAAATAGCGCCCTGAATAGTAGGATCCTTATTAGAAGGACCCCAAAATATAGAACCCTTTAGAGGACCCTGAAAGGATCCCTTTAAAGGTACCCCCCGGCTCGGCTCCCGACCCGCGTTCGGCTTGGCCACCTCCTTCCAGAGCTGGCGGAGGTCGCCATGGAAGCCGATGCCTCGGAGCCCATCTAAAGTAGAAGCTGCAGGCGTTTAGGGTTTAGGGGTTTAGGGGTTTTAGGGGTTTAGGGTTTTAGTGTTTAGGGTTTAGGGCTATAGGGCACAAAAAAGCACATACCCAAAACACAGGATAGGGATAAGCCCTGTTCTACTTATTAACGCCCCTAGAGCACCCCCAACAACTCTAAACCCTCAAACTGTAATCCTACAAAAAGGCCCAAACACCCTCCAAAGATTCCCCCGGACTCGGGGGCGGGCGATTTCGCACAGCGTTGAACCAATCCTGGCAGCCGGGCACATCACAGGGTTTCGACTTGTGTACTACGGATGTAGGCTGATGTAGGGCTCAAGCAGAACTCGGTACTCCGGTATTAAGGCTGCTTGAGCGTGCAGCAAAACAAACACCCTGAATTGAGATCATTTCAGAACGCTGCCCAGGAACGGCCTGAATATTAAAACTCCTGCTTTCGTTAACACAGCATGTGGGAGTTCCGAACATGGGGACCCCAATATATATATATATATATATATATATATATATATATAGTACCCCAAATAGTAGGATCCTTAGGTCATGTGAGGTCTATAAGTTAATGCCTGTCGGCTTGTGGTCGGAAGCCGACACCCCGACGAAACCGCAAACTCCAAACCCGAAAGAACCAGCAAACCCCAAGAAACCCTGAAACGAAAACCCCAAACCTCAAAACAAGATCCCTGAACCCTAATCCCTAAACCCTAAATCCTAACCCCTAAACCCCTAGTCCCTAACCCCTAAACCCCTAAACCCTAAACCCCTAAACCCTGAACCCTACCCTGATGCTCCCCTCGAAGGCGGGCGAACCCGCCTCCCTTTTGGGGTTTAGGGATTCAGGGTTCTGGGTTTACCTGTAGCTCGAAAGCCCGACCCTTTAAATCTTAAGGAACTATACTTTAAATTTGACGGAACTATACAAAGAAACTCTGAGTTTACATCTAGACGAAAAGACCTCCTTTTAAGGAGCTATATCAAGAAACTCAGGGTTGACCTGTAGACTAGAAGACCTACCTTTTTGAGAAGCTGTATAAGGAAACCATAATGAGAAACCCTAAAGGGTGTTAAGGTGGTTCTTTAGGGTTCAGGCAGGGTTTCATGTTTGAAGAAACCATAATAAGGAACCCTTAAAAGGTAGGTTCCTTAGGGTCCAGGTAGGGTTTTGTCGGCCTCCTTGGAAAGGTGGCCCTGACCCATGGGATCCAGCGCCACACGCCAAGCGATGGCCTCGAAGTAGGGTGCAGGCTTTAAGGGTTTCGGCTTTAGGATAGGGGCCTTAATTGTTAGTATATGGTTTTGGGCTCCTTTATGATATATATATATATAATAATAATAATAATAATAATAATAATAATAATAATAATAATAATAATAATAATAATAGTAATAATAATAATAACATTAATATTAATAATATTGATAATAACAATAGTAATAATAATAATAATATGTTATTATTCATAATGATAATAAGAATAATAATAATAATAATAATAATAAGAACAAGAAGAAGAAGAATCATAATAATAATAATAATAACAATAATAATAAGAAGAAGAATAATAAGAATAATAAGAAGAATGATGATAATAATAATAATAATGATAATAATAAAAATAAGAAGAAGAATAATAATAAGAAGAAGAATGATGATAATAATAATAATAGTAATAATAATAACAACAACAGTAGTAATGAGGAACCATAATAAGGAATAGTGTAGGTACTTATTTGGGCTCCTTCATGATATGGATATAATAAGCAACCACAATAACGAACCATATAGGTACCTGGGCTTCTATATTAAGGTTCAGCTTCCTGGTCCCTAATGCTGTGGGTAGTTCTCTACATTAGGGTCCCTTTTTGGGAACCTATAAAAAAGCCCCTCAAAGGGACCCGCAATTTGGACAGCTTAAGTCTTGTTGCTATGTATGTATCGATGTGTTTCTTTATGGACCTATGATGTATTCGACCATTATTCGTTCAAACTCATCTTTTATGTTGTTCTGAAGACGATGGATAATACATATCATTGGTATTATCTTTATTGCTACGACTATGATTCGGGCTTCTACTCGATACTTGCCGGATGTACTTGATACTCGTCGGATAACTGTTAACTGTTACTGCCAAAGACCCATGACTATAGTGTCCCAGTCGTGACCAATTGCCAGTGTAAACAACCAATGCTCGAAGCCCTGAACCCTGAAACTTACGCTAGACTACTGGCAGACAGGGAAGGGAGCTTAAACAATAACCGACTTGTACCACCCCGAACTTCTTTATGGTGAGCGGCGACAGGTCCAGACTAAACCAGGAAAGGAAATCCGCAAACATCCCAAATCGGTACCTAGCAGCATAGAACCAACCAAACCCTGTCCACCTCCAACCTGAACCCTACTGTTGTGTGGGGTTTGGGCTACTGGAACGGTCCCCCGGGTCAGATGGTGCCCTGGGTCGCCGACCAGGTTCTTGTACTTCTTCGTCAACATCGCCTGTTACAAGCAGATCTTTTCCGAAAAACAAGATCAAAGGCTGATATCTCCCAGACTTCTGTACATTACAGTGTACTATGGTCCCTTGCTTTCTGCCTGTCCCCGTCCCCGCCTCAGCAAAAACAGAAAGAAAAGTCCACCCGCTCGGTAAAGGCATAAGCCTTTACAAGGCTTCTACATCACCATCACTGAACCAAGATTCAAGATGCTAGGGCTTTCTGGCCATTCCAAAACTTCTAGCTCCGAGAGCCCAAACAAAGCGTACGCCCTGGCCTAAACCGAATGAGCTCGCTTCTTACCTTCGGTTAGTAGGGAAGGGAAGAATGGTAGTAATAACTATAGTATCCATTGTAGTTCCTTTTTCGGGTTAGCTTATGGGATCCTTAATATATAATTGGTTAAACCAAAAAAGGAACTACAATGGAGACTATAGGTAGTAGTTATAATTGTACCCCATTCCTCCATTCCCTACTAACCAAAGGTAAAGCTTGCAGTACACCGCCGTCCCCCTAAAACCGGAATCCTCCACCAACAACGCCGCAAACCCTAAACCCTGCAGTAAACCTACAGACGGCCACTGGGATCCGTTTCCTTGAGAGTCTTCAGGGTCTCGCAGCCAACATCGGCCTCGTTCTCCTGGCATCCGGTGCTAACGGTTTAGGGTTTAGGGTTTAGAGTTTAGGGTTTAGGGTTCATTGTTTGGGGTTTAGGGGTTTAGGGTTTAAGGCTTAGAGTCTAGGGTTTAGGGTTTGTTGTTTGGGGTGTAGGGGATTAGGGTTTAGGGTTTTGCGCTCCAGCGCTTTGGGGTTTCGGCTTTGAAGCTGCTTGGGCCTCAGCGGTTCAGGGCTTTACACAGCTTTGTGGGGTCTTGGGGCTTTAAGGTTTATAGGGGTTCAAGATTTCAATCGCTTTCTGAAAGGGCTTATAGGTTTTTTTAGGGTTTAGGGTTGAGATTGTTGGGTTTTAAGGTTTGGGCTGTGGTATGGTAGCCTACAGGAGTTTAAGCGACTTTGCGCACAGCGCCTCTGGTGTTACAAATACGTTGGGGGCTTGTCCTTGAAACTCCGGCCTTGAGCGGCTCGCGTAGAAGACGCGAGTGGGTTGCATCGGATATATTGCCCTGTACGCTTTAAGTTTAGGATTCTATAGGGGTTTAGGATTCTATAAGGGTTTAGGATTCTATAAGGGTTTAGGATTCTATAAGGGTTTGGGTTTTTGGGGTGGTTATTGCCCATGAATCCTGTTGAAAGGCTTCCCAGGGCGGACGGTCCAGGAAGTTCAGGCGAACTCTACAGGCGTGCAAGTATGTACCCGTGCCATGCAGTAGCGTTTCGGGAGTAACAGCATGGTATTGCTATGACATACAGGGAGCTTCAGTCAGATGGATGCACACATGAGTTCACAACAGAAACATTTGCTAAGGAGGCTCACAACCCAAAACTCATCCCCGTCCTGCTGCACCCTGCTGGCCATCTCGGCTCTGCTGACCTTGCTCTGAGCCTTAGCAAGGTGCAAGGCTGCAGGTTGGCTGTTTTGACCCCTCCCTTTCAGGGCTCCTTTCACAGCTCCATAAGGGTTCTAAACTTAAGGGTATAGGGTTCCTTTAAAATTCTCAAAAGGTTTGGGACGCTTAGCGTTTCGGGCTTGACCGTTTGGGGTTTGGCTCACGATGCGGCTAAGGTTTGGGTCTTAGGTACCACTACTGTTGCAACAGGGACCCTCGACCCAAAGAGCTTGAAAGCTCTGGGCACGAGGAGGAGGATGAGGAGGAGGAAACCTAAACTCCGAACCCTAAACCCTAAACCCTATAAACCCTAAACCCCTAAACCGCAAGACAAGGAGAACTTCTGAGCTGCGCACCCGGGTCCATTTCACCGAGAACATGTTCTCCTCATGGTCGCCCTAATCTTCCAGACCTACGGTTTCGGGTAATAATAGCCCTGACGGCCATAGCAGCAAAGGGCATGATAATCATGAGTATCGATGCTGTTTGTTGTTACAGTTCTGCTCTTATCCCCTAAGGATAATATATGTTACATGTTAGAACCATGTCTATAATACATGTAGTACTTCTGCTGTCAGGGGGTGTATGGCTACTGATATTTCTACTGCTTCGCACCTACAGTATGTTTGTTTGGCCTTCTTGCTGGGAAAGTCCATGAATCTACCCCATGCTATAAACCCTAACCACTAAGTACACAGCCCCAAGCCCCAAGTTGATTTCCTTGCAGTCTTATCGTCTCCTTGTGTGGTCTCAGGATGAATGTTGTTTTCTGACATAGCCTGGAAAAGACTGTTCCAGCGTTGTACTGTGCTTTGCGGATCTTTTGTGCTCAGTTTGAATTAGCACAGTATCCCTTGTTTTCTTATTATTTTTCTATAACAGTGATGTAATTAGTCATAACGCATATATATATATATATGCACACCATCAGATTGCCCTTGTTTCGATGGCAGCAGCAGAGGCATCAACAACTGGCACACAGCAATGCCACGTTTGCATGGAGATATGGCTTTTGAATGCGCGTATGTGCCTTTGCACTATACGCAGGTGTACATAATCTGAGCAACAAGCGTTTCAACACATCTTGCACATATCACATCGGGCGACATGCAGATGCTCCTATGCATCCGTCTTTGCTCTGTTAAGCTTACACATGTATGCTTAATATATGGTTGTCTGCGTCTACCCATTGCAAAAAACATAGATAGATTGGGCACAGGTGCAAGTAGATAGATGCGGCGGTGGAGAGATACGCGCGAGAATGTATACATGCATGCAATGCAGAACTTGCGTTGCATAGTATGCTCTGCAAGAAGAACCCAACCGGACTGTGCAGCTCCACAGGAAGTTCCGTGTTGTGACTGCTGTGATGACTGCGCTTCAAAGCGTTCCATGCAATTTGTTTCGCCACCGGGATATCACCTTCTTCGTGACACATGTGGTTGTGAGTATATATACATATATGTAGTATGTCAACACTGTGTATTGTACTTACCTATCTATGTACATCTATACTTTGATTCAGATATGTCATAATTATTTGCCTATGTTCGTTAAAGACCGACAAACCCAGGGCGGATCCTGACGTTCGTCGAACGTCATCTCAAGAGGATCTCGCTTCTCCGTCTTCTGCGCCTGTGCATGACACGAGACGGTGCAGCGCTTCCGGTAAGTTTGGGTTTACGGCTTATAGGGCTTAGGCTTTAGGGTTTAGGGCTTTACGGCTGAACCCGCAACTCCAAACCCTGAAGCCCCGAAGCCCTAAACCGCAAAGCAGTGAACCCTGAATCCTAAACCCGTCCAGAGAGGAGCTCGGCTTGAACTCCAGAAAGTTGGAATATGGTTTCAGGGTAGGATACCCTATAACTTACCATAGAAGGGTTAGGATAATCATATTCCAACTTTCTGGCTTTTACTTTAGGGCTTGATTGAAACTTACTTGATATGGAAAAGAAGAGGTTGCAGATCTCGCACGAACGACCGATCCAAACCCCGTTTCGGTGAAGCCTTTCGGCGGCTAGTTAAAGACCGTGGCTGCACCATGGCACCGGAAGAGTTTGAAACGACAGGATGTTAGACATCGCGCTAACGCAAGAAAGCCCAAATCGCTGGTCTGTCAACGTAGCTCGTTAACAGGGGGCTATAAGGGCGACTATAAGGCACTATACTATGGGGGCCTTAATGATTAGAATAGGGCTTCTGCTTTAAGTAGCAGGGCTGCCTGCATAGTCTACGCAAGCTGGAAAAGTATCTCCGGACCAGAAACATAGAGCTGCAAAGCCTGAAACATGAACACCCTAATGTAGGAACCTGATTAAGAAACCGTGGGCCTTTATTAGGGGTCCGTATCTGGATCCTACAGTTTTGTGGTTATAGGCCCAGGGTTTCTTAATCAGGTTCCTGCATTAAACCGTTGCAGCCAAGAATTGCGGTTTGAAGCACTAAGGGTGGACAGGCCATATCTGATAAGGCTGATTGTCGCTGATACATCATACCTCATAATCATAACATGGGCTTCATTCCATTCAAGGTTTGAGGGTTTCGGGATTTCGGAAGTCAATGATTAGGTTTCGGGCTTTACGGGTTTTGGGTCTGAGGGTTTAGGATCTCAGGTGTAATCTGTGCTGAAGACTTGGGATCCCAGCCAGCGGGGCATTCGGGTGGATGCCCACTGCCCTTAACCCCTCTTCTTGGCCGTGGATCTAGGGTTTGGGGGTTTAGGTTTGGGGGTTTAGGGTTTCTGGGGTTTATGAGGGTTTATGGTTTGGGGTTTAGATTCTTCGAGGACCGTCGGGCGGGATGCGCGAACAAGTGCCATACTACAAATAGGACTTCTAACAACTTCCTCAACCCCTACAAACTAAACCCCTCAACCCCTCAAACCTATAAAACCCCATTCGAGCTTTACTTTATTGGTTCCTACAAGTATCAGAGGACTAAGGGATGCTTTGGGCCCTGCCTCTTCCTCTGAAAAGGGTAACATCATGGTTCTGCCAGTTCTGCCTCCTTAAACCCTAAACTACCTATAGTCTCCAATGTAGTTGCTTTGCTTAGTGAACCAGTTTTATGGTTAGGAGCCTATGATAGAGATTTTGGTTCACCAAAACAACGAACTACAACTGAGACTGTAGGTAACCCTGACCAAAATCCTCAGTCCTATAGATCCCTTAAAGGAACCCTTCTGATACCCTTGAAAAGTACCCGTATAGCACCCTTGAAAGGAACCCTGAACCCGAAACCCCGATCCTAAAGCCCCAACCCAAAGCTCTTGCCTCCACGATCATGTCCTGATCGTTCCGTGTGATGGCCTGGTATGCCCCGAGATCGAACCTTGATTCAAACGGGAAACGGAGGGACCCTTCATGGGGACCCCTACACTATAATGGGCTATGTAATGGGTACATAATAGCTATATTACAGGTATATACCTAGGGGTCCTTATTAAGGGTCCTTCCTTTTACCCTTGGATTGATCGGGAATGGAAGGCCTAAACGTCTAGCACCAGGGCCAGGACATACCTGTGGGCCAACAGGCTATGTACAAATACATGGGTGGTTGTGACAATCATAGACCCTTTGTGGGTCCCTAATATAATACAGCACCTAATCTCTAGGGTGCGTACCCCAAAAAGGGCACCCTAATTTTGACAACCACCCACATAAGTTTTGGGGCTGCTGGTCTTCAAGGATGTTGGAGTCTCCGAAAATTGGGGTACCTCATTTTGGGGTCCTTATACTAAGGATCCAATTATTTAAGGTACGATGTTAGGGTCCCCTATTTTCGGAAACTCCCATGTTCTTACACCTAAGTCCTGAAGCTCTCAGACATGAACCCGGAAGCAACGGACTTTCGGACGCGAATGACCTGCACAAGCCCTGCACCTCACAGACTGCGGCTTAGGCCTCTCTTCTTCAACAACCGGGCCCCGAAAAGTTCAAACTTTCTAAGATAGAGCCAATATATAATGCCAGAAAGATTAATTACAGTTCCACCGATCACTATCTAAGAGGCTTGCTTGTGGACATGAAGCTAGGATGCACAAAACAGCAAAATCCGAACAAAAAGCCCACTAACACTGCGAACAGTTGCAGTTGCGACCTCCGGGCACCCGGCTCCCGCAGAGACATCTTGTGAAACTCTCTCTTCCGCAGGGGATCGTCCTTGGCAATCTTGCACAGACATGTGTAAGGCGATGATGGTGACGACATGCCGAGGAGGGTGAGGGCCATCGTTACGATTACGACGAAGATGAGTATGACGAGGATGACGATGATGCTGGTGCTGCTGGTGAAGATTGTGTGATGATAATAATACTGATGTTGATAACGATGCTAATGGCTGAAACGGCCATCCGCACACAATCAAAATCTGCGGCCATGATTGCGATGGCATCTGCGATGGTGGTGCGGATGATGATGGCAATGACGGTGGATGCAACGACGCCCTTCGGATGATTATCATGTTTGGGGGGGAGCGAAGCCTGCAGTACAAAGACCTAAACCAACAGTCCGAGTATACTGTGAGCAAAGCTCGGAAGTAACAACAAGCCTGATGCTCCTAGTCCCAGTAGAGATAAGTCGTGATGAGCGAGTAGAGGAGCGCCTACACAATATCACAGCCACCTGAAAGGGATATTGACAAAGACTGCAGAAATCTTCGGGTTCAGGGTCTGCCACGCCGCTTGAGCAACAAAGGACTGATCTACCCTACCAGGCCTTGTACTCTAAACCCCAAACCCTACACCCCCAAATCCTAAACATAGCACTAGAAACCGAAGCTCTAAACCCAAAACACTGTCAACGCTAAACCCTACACGGCCCTACACTCGAAGCCCCAAAACACTGAAATGCCATGGCGCCATGAGCTCATGGAACAGCTGCACCTGAAACAGAGTGGAAGCTGAGGCTTCATGCATGTTTTCACGCTTATGTATATATACACATGCATACACAGTAATATAGTATACTATAACGACTGTGAGACAGTATTTATGATACACTATAGCTGCAGGTCTTCGAGTGCAAGCGACTGTCGCAGCAGCACATCAGCACAGCTAGTGGAGCTTTATACCACATGTAAGGTTATAGTCGTTGCACGCCAAAGCCGAAACATCATCTGGTGATTTCCGTGGGTTCTTGACTGCACAGCCTAGGGCCCCTAGACCTAATACCCTCCCAACTCTACAGGCCTATACATGGGTGGTTGTCAAAATTAGGGTCCCTTGTTGGGTCCCTATTATAGTACGGCACCTAGTATTGAGGGTACCCAAGAAGGGGCAAAAATGTTGACAGCCACCCACATGAAACCTTTAACCTTACAGTTCTAAATCCCAGAAACCCTAGGGCCCCGGAACATTCTTGAACTCTCCCTGAGGTCGGCACAAGGTCTCCCTCAACGCCATCGGCTTGGCACCTGGGGCGGTGATAGCTCAGTGGTAGATTGCGTGGGGTCTTGAGGGTCTTAGAGTGCACAATTTAGCATTAAGTCGTCCGACGCATGACCGAGAACAGGTACAGGTTTGAGAGTGAGGCTTTGGAGAAAAGGGGCGTCCAGCTTAGTGTAAAGGGGTCGAGTTTTGGGGATGCTCGACTTCAGGAGTTTGGGGTTTACCGGGTTTACCAAGCACGAGCATTTGGGTAGTTGTCAAAATTATGGCCCCTTTTTGGGTACCCTGAATATTAGGTGCCGTACTACAATAAGGACCGAATACGGGACCATCAATTTGACAACCACCCATTTGAGGGCCCATTCATTGTGATGGATACCATGCAAACGACATGCTGCTGCAAACTATCAGCGAAGCCTTCTATCGCCAGGGCCTAAGCCCTACACCGGACGGAGGTATAGGGACTTTGCTTACGACGTGCTAGGGGATGGCTTCCAAAGGCTCAACGTGCGAAGCAGCCTTTCAGGCTTTAAGGTTTTAGGGTTTAAAGCCTTTTATTAGGGTGTAAGACCTAAGGTTTAGGGTTTGGCTTGGGGCAGAAAAACATCACTCAGGGTCCCAGAGTTTAGGTTTTGGGATTCGACTCTGTCGAGTTTCGACAGGATAGACAGGATCAGGCTTAGCAAGTGTGGGGCTTTGGGGGCACCGTCCGGCCTCCGGTTACCTTGCAGCTCCCTCAACTCTTGGCCGCTCAAAAATACCCCAATGTTGTAACATGGGGGCCTAAATAATTAGGATAAGGTTTGGGGGCATATTTGTCTATCATTGAAAAAAGAAACCCAACAAAAAACTTATTGTATTGGTAATTATTTAGGCCCCTATGTTACTGCTGCTCATGATCAAGGGCAACATTCGACGGAACCCAAGTGATACACAAGGCCAGCAGCACAGGCACGACCACCCCAAACATGAAGGAGGCCACCACCTCTAATCTTTCTCAGCTTGCTCCTCTTGCTACCGACAACGGATGACAACAGGTAACACCTGTGGGCACGATGATGGCGTGCAGCTAGAAAGGTAGTTACAAACCATTCACCGACAGCAATCAGTCTAAGGGACATGCCAGATGCGGGTAGTTCTCGAAATTAGTCCCTTCAAAACCCTCTGCGTGACGTCACGTAGTATTTCGGGAGGGCTGCATTCCGCCTAAACCCTAAACCCTAAACTCAAAGGGGAAAAGGAGGGACCCTTAATGGGGACCCCTACCCTATCATGGGCTATCTCATGGGTATTAATAATGGCTATCTTAAGGGTATATACCTAAAGGTCCTTATTAAGGGTCCCTCCTGTTACCCTTGGATAAACCTCACTCAGGATGGGGCTGCTTCACAAACGTCGCCTGGCGCTTCGATTGGAACAGGCCCGGAAGCGGGGACGGAGCAAACACGGAAACTAGGCAATAAGCCCTGTAAACCCCATAATCAGACCTTAAACTATACCCCCCCTTAGAACCATAATAAAAACAATGTTGTCAATATTCTCTTGGATTTTTATAAGAAAAAATGTAAAAAAAATACTTCCTAAGGAGACTATACTAAGCCATGTAACCCTAAACCCAAAGTCGCCAGAACCAGGGCATGGGAGAGGAGTCAAGCGTGAGTCGATGTTAGGCTGTTCTCCTCTGGAACTTCCGGTACCCAAAGGCTCCATAGTAGTTCCTTTTTGGGATTACCTTATAGGATTCTGGGTACACCCATAGGCCCCAAAGGAGTTCCTTTTTAGGGTTCATAGTTAGAATCCTATAAGGTACTCCCAAAAAGGAGCTAGTATGGGGCCTCTAGGTAGAGCTCATTGTCCCTTAGGTTCCTGGGTCTGCTGATGCTAGTAGTATCCATTGTAGTTCCTTTGTTTGGGCCACCGTATAGAATCCAACAAAAAAATAAAAACTTTTTTTTAAAATTTTTTTTTGTGTTATAAAACTCGCCGAAGCAAAACGGAACTACCATGCAGACTATAGGTAAGGCGGAGGCTTGGCATAAGAGGTTTAGGCCTTTGGCGTTGAGGGCGTATACGGCTTAGGGGTAAGAGATTGAGGATTTTGGTAGAACACGCTGCTTCATCCTATCAGCACCCCACAACCCCGCATTAGGTTCCTGTTAGCTGTTAAACCTCGAAAACAGAACCAGCAACAGTCTTATGTTCCGGTATCCTCATATTGGGGCCTTAGCAATTTCAATGTGGTTGCCAGCTATAGTGTGGCATCTGTAATTCGGGACTCCAAGGGGATGGCTGATATGAGTATATATCTGGTTGTTCCGACCCCTTTACCAAAAGCACGAACCCTCAACCCCAGCCCCCTGAGGCCGTAGACCCTGAACCGCTTGCCTAAACCCTATACTACCCATCGCCCCCAAAGTAGTTCCTTTTTGGGGTTCATATTTAGAATCCTACAAGGTAATCCCAAAACGGAACTACTTTGGGGCCTATGGGTAAACCCTATAGCTTGGGTACGGCCCCCACTCAGTAATAGTTGAATAATATTCATAATGTAAATATAGTAGGACCTTAATAGTAGCCTTATTATAGACTCACCCTAAACCGTGAAAACCTAAACCCCAAACCCCTAAAACCCAAAATCCCCCCCTTGGTTTCCCTCCCTTTCCTTTACAATGGAGACTATAGGTAAGCCGTGCAACTGATGGGCCGCAAGATCCCCCTAAACCCTAAACCCTAAACCCTAAACCCTAAACCCTCCCAGCCTCGTCCACGAGAGTCAAGCCTTTTGGGTCGAAGGCCTTCCTTCGGAACGCTTTAAGGGTTGGTTCCCTTTAAAGGAGGCCCTAGGAGTTCCTTTAAAGGAGGCCTTAGGAGCTCCTTTAAGGGTAGGGGGTTCAGGGTTTAGGGGTTTAGGGTTGAGGGGTTTAGGGTTTAGGGGTTTAGGGTTCAGGGTGGCAGTGCTAGCGGTAGTGGCGGTGGTAGTGGTAGTTGTCGTAGTCGTCGTCACAGTCTAGTCCTCGGAGTAGTGGCTCCGCAGTGGATGCGGTGGTGGTGGTCATGGTGGTGATGCTGGTGCTGGGGTGGCAGTAGTTGGCGCAGCAAGGGTAGTAATCGTAGCAACACTAGTAGCGGTAGCAGTCACGCAATGTGCGGTACAGGATACACAAAAAGAGGTCTACAAAACGGCACCGAAGACTTGGTCGAGCTCAACTCAGCAAGCGAGAAACAGCCGCTTAAAAGCAGCTATCCAAGTCAATAAGTCAATAAGCCCTGCATCCTGAAACTCATCCGAAATTGATCTTGATCAACCCTGGCCCCTAACCTTACTCGGGGGTTTACGGTAGAGGGTGGAGTTTTCGAGCCGTTCAAGTTTCAAGCCTGCGATCCACACGGCCTACTTTGATCAAGCATAGACGAGTCGTTTTCGTAGGGCCCCGAAAAAAAGACTCTGGGAGGTCGGACTCACACAGCCGCCAAGGCAGCTTAACGCCCCTCTCACCGTCCGCATTTCTTGAGGCCTCACCTGCTCGAAGTCGGTTCAGGGCTGTAGGGTTTAAGGTTTCGGCGGTCGGTGACAGCCCGTACAGCACCCTCATGAACCCGGGACTAAACTAAACCGGTGGCTAAACTAGCTTGGGCAGCGGCCAGGCGTTCAGCATATTTCCGTACCTGCACACAAGCAACGAAGGTTGAATAAGGTGCCGTGGGGCTCACGGGTTAGGCTTTGGATTTCATCCGAACGAAGTATGGCATTTGCAAGACCCAGCATGTTCATGGACTATTAACAATCAGGCTTTCATATCAAGTGCAATGATGCCGTTTTCCGGCCTGTTGTGTCACATTGCCCCTATGTGTAACACCCTTCTCAATACATGGCAATGATTGGTTGGTACCAGTTGCCGTACTAAATCAACAAAGCACACAAGCAACAGCTAGGAAGGGATATCCCGTATAAATCCTCTTATAATGAAGCCCAATAAATAAGGCAAGGATATCCCTTCTCAATGCTTATGCTTATGTCCTTTCGGGGGCTCCGATAGGAGGCCCTCAACCCTGGGATCTTGCACCCTTAAGGCGCCTTGAGCCCAAGTGAGAGTCATTCCGATACCGACTTTGCACTCTCGGTGAAGGCACTCCACACCCCTAAACCCTAAACCTTACACCCCTAAACCCTAAATCCTAAACCCTACACCCCGGAACCCCAAACCCTAAACCCGGGGCACTTATCAGCCAAGGTGAGCTTGAAGCCAAGCATCCTGGGCGGGAAGGAACTTGGGGGAAGTAAGGAGTAAGGAGGCTGGATTTTGGGGTTTGGGGTTTAGGGATTTAGGGGTTAGGACTTCAGAGTGGTTAAGCCGGTTGTTGTATTGCTGTGTTTGGATTACCCTTTTGCCATGCTCGCATATCACTGAGTTCGCAGTCTGATCAGGGTTCAGGGCGATTTTATTGCAGTGTACTTTAGAAGCTGCCCTGTAATAGTGACTATAAGGGTTTTGTTAGGGCCCTATTATATTCCTATTATACCACTATTACAGGGTGGCGGACCCTTCTAAAGTGTACTACATGATCAGTGACCCATTGTTTCGACAACTGAAGCCCTGGTATTATAGGGAGAAACCCGAATCAAACCCTAAACCGGTACAACTCCACATCCGCAACTTACACAACCCCCGCCAAAAAAAAACCTAAAACCTCCTTAAAGGATACCAGGAACCCTTTGAAGGAGACCGCAAAGGAACCCTTAAAGGATCCTTTAAGGATTCCCTTGAGGGATCCCTTAAGGGATCCTTTAAGGGATCCGTTAAGGGTTCCCTTAAGGGATCCTTTAAAGAAGCCCCATAAAACTTCGGCCCAGGTGCAGCTCGTCCGTCTTCCTGTCGAGATGGCGCAGGCGTAGCACGCCATCACGTTCGGCGCCCAAGGCACGCCAGCAATCCTCCGGCTTCGGGGTTTAATGAACGGCCTTAATAATTGGAATAGGGTTGTGGCGATTCCGTATTTGCATTATATATATATAATATATAATATGGTATACCCCCAAACTCCAAACCCTATTCTGCCTATGGAGGCCCCACATTAGTGCTCAGGGGTGTAGGGGTTTATTTAGGGTTGAAGTTTTCATGTTTGGATCGAGGGTTTAGGGTGCAGGGTTTATAGAAATGTTATAGAGTTCAGGTCTGCGGGCGGGTCTTGACCGGGTCTGGGGTATTGCTTTGGCCGCATTCTACATGTCGCATCCAGGCAGGTATCGCATTGGAGGGTGGCCAGACAGACACCGCCCTGTGCCGCAAGCCAGATCCGGGACAGTCATGCCAACGCCCACCAGCTCCGAAGTTAGCCATTGACAGCAGATGCTCCGGAACAAAACGAAACAGACGGCCGGCGACACAATCCCGGAACCCAAGCCACCGCCAAAACAACATCGATTTTGGAATCTTCGTTTTTGTGTTTCTATACATGCAGAGCAGAAGTACGGCCATGCACGTGAGAACATACCAAGATTATCCTGGGCTTGAAGGGTTTAGGGCTTGGGGGGTTAGGGCTTACGGGTCGGGTCTGAAGGTTTAGAGTTTTCTTTTGAGCACCTTTTTGCGACTTTAGGGCTCAGGGTTCAGCTTAGGGTTTCCGGTTCCTCGGTGTTACTTAAACCTTGACCCTAACAGTTCGAAGCACCTGACAATCAGGTACCAGGCCTCAGGATAGCTGGGTTTAGGGTGTAGGGGTGTAGGGTTTAGGGGTTTAGGGTTTAGGGGTTTAAGGTTTAGGGGTTTAAGGTTAAGGTGTTTAAGGTTTAGGGGTTTAGGGTTTGGGGGTTTAGGGTTTAGGGGTTTAGGGTATCTTCTTGGAAAGTCTTTTTGGAAAGGCCTTTTTGGGGCTTCGGGCTTTGGGTTCAGGGTTTGAGGTGCAGGACTAGGCTCATCATTTTACATGTGTGTTCGGGCCTTTTTGGCAATATTGCATGACTTGTTGTTGCAAGCACTTTTCTGAGATGACATGCGAAGCATGTTAGTCACTAGTCGCTGTCACTAGGTCACTAGCAGCAGCTCACGCAGCCAATGCTGACACCGACCGAGAGCAGCACCAGGTGCAAGCACCGGGGTCTCCGCGGCAGCTGATGTTTTCTGCTTGTTGTCTTTCACGCTCCCTCCTGAACACCGATGGCCTTGGCGATCCTATGCTCATAGGACAGGGGGGCCGGGGTCTGCATCGAATCCGCTCTCATGTCCTTGTGCTTGCCGCAGGCATTCTGGAAGGTCGCCTGCCCTTGCGACTGGTCGGTGTGAAGCAAGATGTGATCGGTGCTGCAGACCTTGCCAGCTTGTCATCGTACCTTCGGCCTTCAACTGGCGGTACTTCGAGGTCCACTCTTAAAGGGGACGGTGGGAGACCCTGACCCTGGAAACGTAGGCCTAAAACCAAACGGCAACCCCTGAACCCCAAAGCTGCAGAACCATCAAAACGTACAACTCAACGCGAAGTCACCATATTTATATCGCACCAACACAAACAGCCCAAGCCTAACCGACAGAGCAGACCCCAATGCTACGCACTTAGCTGCGTGATCTACGGAGATAGCAGCTTGATTTGATTAGGCCCCAATACTGAAGCCTCAACGAGCGGTATAATTATCCTAGACCCCATAAGCCCTGTGCTTGCGGTATACTGAATCGAAGCCTCCAATCTGGACAGCAAAACATCGCTCCTTCATATCCCCGAGGAATCCAATGGCCCGCATTCGGTCGCAGAACTCCTGGCAAGGTCCAAGGTCTTCGCCGAAACACCACTAGGTTTAGGTAGGAGTTGGAGTTGGGTACTGCCCCCACACAGTACCAGTCTATAATAGGGCTACTATTAAGGGCCTAATATATCTATATTATGAATATTATCCAACTGTTGCTGAGTGGGGGCAGTATCCAAGGTAGGAGGTTGAAGGTCTGTATAGGGCTTATATCTAGTGTCTGGGTGATTCGAATGTAGACTTTGGGGGCTTCACCATTCTGTGCCGATAAGCGCAATTAGACTTCGCTTGCATTTAGGTTCATCTACCCATGAACTCCTCCTCGGCTGATGGGATGACAACAGTTCACGGCTCAGGGCCCAGGGTCTAGGTCTCCGGCAAGAAAATGGCTGAGTAGCTTCCAAAAAGCTTGAAGCTCCATGTACGAGTAAAGGCCAAGCACAACGAAGAGAGTCGAAGCGGGACACGAAGCCCCCTAAATCCTAAACCCTAAACTGAAGAAGCCATTCAAATAGAGGACACACACTGCTGGCAACAGCGACACGCTTCAATATAATGCATCACTGCAGGAGCATAACTCGATTTTAGCACAGCAGAACAGCAACCTGCGTTGGGTGTCACCATTGTATACACCCATATAACGGCTGTGTGCCGTAATCTCCGTAAATCCTAACCGTAAAGCAGTTGAGAAGTCTCACACGATGACGAACAGGGCGCCTGGAAGCCAATCTTCCCTGTGTCATAGGGATCGAAGACCTCCAGCAGCAGAGGCTTCAGTCGAGTCGAATGGGGTTCTAGAGGTTGAGGGTTTTAAGGGCTTGGCATGGCTTGGTCTAGGGTTTGTGGGGCGCGTTGTAAAGGTTTTAGGGCTTAGGGTTGGAGTAAGGGTTTGCGAGCCTGGACGGATTCGGAATACATCATACAATATCACCAGACAGGACTGAGCGGGAATATTCCTCTAGATCGACAGACCGAACCGGGTGATTGCATTTACGGCGCGGGGGTTCGCCTTCTGCAGGGAAGCCTCGACGGCGCAAAATACTTGAGTGATTGTTAAAATTAGGGTCCGTTTTTGGGGTTCCTAATATAGTACGGCACCTTATATTTAGGGTACCCAAAACGGGACCAAAATTTTGACAACCGCCCACTTGAACTTCAGCAACCGATGGATTGTGGGCTGAAGCTAATGGCAGATCGCCAAGGAAGGCGGCCTGAATGTTTAGAAGTTGACTAGTACCTATAGTCTCCATGGTCCATTGTAGTTCCTTTTAGGGGTTACCTTCTAGGATCCCTAATGTCAAATTGGTTAAACCGAAAAAAGGAACTACAATGGAGACTATAGGTAACTCCAAGTTGGCACTGGCCTTGCGAAGATCCAACCCGGGGTTTTCCTAGACCCCTCAACTACCCCTTTATTGTAGTCCCTCATTACCTCTTAATGAGAAATATTAGAGCCCTCTAAAGGGTACTTGGGGGGTGCTGGTTGGGTTGAGGGATTAATGCAATCAGGTTTTAAATTATATCAATCCACACCAACCTCGCCAGCCCCAAGCGCAGGGCGCAAACACTTTCAACTCTAAATCCCAACCTCTGAACCCTACCTGGACCCCCAAAGTATGTAGAATAATTGCCTTTTATAGGCTTGGCTGACTTCTGAACCCCTCCTAAAATCTAAACTTTTAGCCTCCTTATTATGGCTCATATAGAAACCCCAAAAAGTTAAAGTCTAAAGAGCCAACCAGAAGAACGCCAAATAAGTTTTGGGCCCCCATTACATTTTACCTACTTTAAAGGGGGTTTAGGGGGTTAGACCCAAAGGCTCCATGTACCTTTATAGTAGATACTTAAGCCCCAAAGTAGTCCCTATATAGGCACTGTAAGGCCTAAGTATCTACAAAAAGGGGTACATGGAGCCTTAGGGAGAGACCCTCTGGGGCCGACAGAACCCCAGATCTCCAAGGGTAAAAGGAGGGACCCTTAGTAAGGACCCCTAGGTATATACCCTTAAGGTAAAAGCCAGAAAGTTGGAATATGGTTATCCTAACCCTTCTATGGTAAATTATAGGGTATCCTACCAAGAAACCATATTCCAACTTTCTGGAGTTCCCTGTAATATAGCTGTTTTATACCCATTATATAGCCCATTATAGGGTAGGGGTCCGCATTAAGGGTCCCTCCTTTTCCCTTTTGAAAAATCCAAACCCTCCAAGGCCGAATTCAAAATCCGAAACGCCCAAGGCGCAAGGCCCCAAAAGGACTGCTACGGCTGATGGCATAAATCCTGCATTACCTTAAGGTCCCTAAACCTTGGGAATTATGGTCCATTCCTTATGGGTAATGCAGGATTTAAAACATCAACCGTATCGCAGCTGGACCAACTTCTTCGCTCTTGGAACAGAACGCCCGCAATGTAGTGGGCTCAATAATTAGAATAGGGTTTTGGGGTATGGTATACTATATATATATATGTATATATATATATATATATATATATATCTTATGCTGAAAAGCGTTCAGGATTTGGGGCTAATAGGATTTAGGCTTTAGGATTTACAGGGTTTAGGGTTTAGGATTTAGGGTCTTTAAAGGGAGCTTGGGTTTAGGGTTTAGGGTTCTGGGTTTTGGGGTTTAGGATGGTTTAGGGCTTAGGGGCCCTCCTCAAGAGGGGATCTTTAAATCCAAGGGTAAAAGGAGATACCCTTAATAAGGAACCCCTAGGTATATACCCATTAATATAGCTATTATATACCCATTATATAGCCTATTATAGGGTAGGTCCCCATTAAGGGTCCCTCCTTTTCCCCTTTGATGAACCCCCACCACCCTCAACGACTACACCGTGCCCCACAAGCCTTAAGAGAGCACTTCGCACAACTGAATCACAGTCTGACGAGAGAGGCCCGAAGTTATTCCAAGGCGTGCCGTGATCCAACCTCCTGCCAAGCTTTGCGGAGAGATCCGTACTTCAAGCCGAGCTGGTTCCTGTGGAATTTCCGGGTACTTCGAAGTGTCTGGCTTGGAGGGTGAGGGGGCGAGGGGTTGATGTCGCTTCAGGGTTTACGGTTGAGGCAGGCTTAGACTGAGAATCGAAAGCTTAAATATCGTTAAGATGGTGAGTTGATAGTATAGGGATACAATATAGGGTTGAGACAAGTTCAGACTCTGGATATCGGAGACATCAGATCCGATGGACCTGAGGCCTTCCGATCCTCTCAAATCTCACCCTTCAAGTGCAGTAAGCACAGATCGACGCCGGTTTACGAAAGGGTTCGACTTTACATGACAAGTACATGTAGTCAAGTTGCGAGGATTCTTTGGCGTTGCAGACTTCGCTGCAGACGGCCGACATCTGCGGCCGCCCTGATAAGCTTGAGGCTTAAGGGTTTCCTTGCAGAAGCCCCCTATTAGCCCTAGACAAAGCCACGCGTCCTCCAGGAGTCCGCAGGCTGGCTAAATGCGCATGACTGCACTCATTGCACTCCATGCATTCAGAAAGACCGGCCCATGCGGCCAATTCGGTTTGCAGATGGCTCACCCAAAGGGTCTAAAGTACCTATGTAGTAGAATGTAGGGTTCCTATATTACGATTTACTATTATGATGTGGGATATGTGGGGAAATATCCCCCATAATGGTACCTAGGACCCTTTGGGTCAAACTCAGACCTGGACCTCCGTGGGCTTCTCTGCGGAGGCCGGCGGGGACCCCGAGCTGGTCAGCAGGGTCGGGGCGGTCGCCGTGGTCTCGGGCGTGAAGCGCTGGGAGTGCTCGCCGAAGGCCCTGGCCTTGCCAGAGTTCTCGTTCTTGCCGTAGGCGACCTCACCAAGTCTACGAGCCATGCAACGCAGACACGCGCAGACTCGGAGGAAAACTTTCCTACTTGGACCCCAAAAGTATGTAGAATAATAGCCTTTTGTAGGTTTTGGGCCATTACATGCTACCTATATACTTTTGGGGGTCTATATCTACTGCTTTCAAGGTGTCGGGCCATTATTTGACCTACTTTGGGGGGGTTATAAGTACTGCCATCTGTTTTCTCTGCTTTCTCTCCCAAAGGGTCCTATGTACTGTTATGGGGGATACTCCCCTATAAGTCATTTTATTCCTGATATGGAAACCTTACATTCTACTATATATGGGTACATAGATGCGGGACCCTGGTATAGTAACCCAAAGAGTAGGATCCTTTTTATAAGGACCCCAAAATAATGTACCCTTAATTTTCGAACCCTTTGGGTCTGCTGCTCGGCCTCGGAGTGGCAGTGGAGATCGACACCTGCCGCCGACACGATGCAGGAAGGTTTCACTGACTCAAGATGTGCCTTTAAAGGAAGACACATGGGAGTCTCCGAAAGTGGGGGTATATTTGGGGGTCCTCATCATAAGGATCCTCCTATTTAGGGTGCTATATTAGGGTATTTTCGGAACTCCCACATGACTGTCGCACAACAAGCACTAGCATGCCATAGCATGCCACCATGCATCACCGGCAGATCGCACCGCAAGCACCTGCCTTCAAGCTCCTGCTCTTCCGAGACCCTCATTCGCATGACGATGCGCATCAAGCCGAAGATCACCGCCGTGACAGCGGCAGAGTAGACCACGCCGAAGGCAGCGCCAGCCAGGTTCTTTGCCAGCAGCAGCCCGTCACCACCGTAGATCAGCCCGTCCTCAAGGTCAAAGAAGCCGCCCAAGATGGCCCCTGCGAAACCTCCCACGCCATGAAGCGAGAAACAGTCCAGAGAGTCGTCCACGAGGTTCAGCCTTTTCAGCCCACGAGCTGCAAAGACACAGCACAGGGCTCCGATGGCGCCTACGCCCAAAGCGCCCAAAGGCTCCACGAAGCCGGCGCAGGGAGTAATGTTCACCTCAAGGTTTTAGCTCTGGCTATATTGAAACATCTCGGGACAAGGGTCCTTCATAGAGCTTTAGAACACAAGTTGGAAAATCGGAGCCTGTGCCTAAATTCGCTGTTCGCTTGCTCTTGGGGTATCTGTTCAAGCGTCACAAATGAAAACTGCTTCGTCGGGCCAAGCTGCCAATCCTGCTACCGCACCCGACATGGCGCCGATCGAGGTGGGGGCGCCGTCCAGAATGCGCTCCACGGTGATCCACATCACCATCGCGGCCGCTGCTGCGACGTAGGTGGTGGCGATGGCCAAGGCGCAGTCGCCGTTGGCCGCGAAGGCAGAGCCGCCGTTGAAGCCGGTCCACCCGAGCCACAAAATTCCGCCGCCCAGGATCACGAAGGGCAGGTTCGCCGGGAAGCTCTCCGCCCGGTGCTTGCGCTCGCCCAGCAGCGATGCCAGTGCGAAAGCCGAGGTGCCGGAACTGATGTGGACCACCGTACCACCAGCAAAGTCCTGGCATGTAAAGCTAGCTGTGAACAAGATGTCAAGAGAATCCGCACTCAGACTCACTCCATGACACCCCCTGCTTCAAGAGCAGCTAAAGTTGGTAAAGTCCTTGGCACCCATTTCAGCGATCCATCCGCCACCCCAGATCCAGTGGCACAGCGGCACATAAACGGCCAGGACCCAGGCAACGATGAAGATGGCATAGGCCGAAAATCGGATGCGCTCGACCACCGCTCCAGAAATGATGGCCGCTCCGATGATGGCGAACCTAGAACTATACATGGGTAGTTGTCAAAATTATGGTCCCTTTTTGGGTACCCTAAATAAAAGGTGCCGTATTATACGAGGGACCCAAAAAGGGACCCTAATTTTGACAACCACCCACATATCAATCCAAACTAAACATGTATCCCAAGCCATCCAGAATGCACGACACACACACACACACACGCATGGATGCATTGAGGATTGGACAAGTGCCTACAAAGTCGCGATGGGACAATCCGAGCCGCGTCATCTGAAAGACGGCAAACGTCAGGCCGGGCATGGTGGTACCGGGCCACACCTAGTTCATGGTTGGGATAGGATTAAAAGTTCAATTTTCTATTCCTTATACTTATTGGGTTTAAGTACCCATTAAAATGTAAAATGTTACCCAACTATGACAAAGACACCATGTCCAGGTTGCGGAAGCCCACATACGTGAAGCCCTTGCCCGCACCCCACTCATCGAAGGCCCAGCTGAAGCCGAACACCAACCAAGTGATGGTCGTGAGCCCCATGGAAATGATTGACATCATCATCGTGTTCACGATGTTGTTGTCTCGCACCAAGCCTCCGTAGAAGAAGGCAAGTCCTGCAAATGTTTGCATCTGTATCTGCAAGACAACCTATACCTGCAGGCCGTAGAGCGTTTAGAAAGAGCAGGCTACGTCTTGCGACATGTGCGACCGACCTACATATTGTGCATACTCGCGGTATCCTGTGGGTGGGCAGGGGCAGCCAGCAGGCCAGGGGAACCAGGGGATTCCGAGCTGTTCAGGGAGGAACCCAAGGAATCACACGAAAAGGGGGCGAGAGCATTGCAAGTCTGCATTGCAGGAGTCCTGGTGTCATGAAGAGGACCAGGGCGCAGGACGTAGCCATCCAGGCGGTGTCACCATTGTTCAGGCCCTCCATCTCTTCAGCTTTCGCTTTGTCTTAAGCTTGGAGCGTCCTGGCCAGGCTTGAGCCGAATTTCTGAACGGGTCAGCGGCCAGGCCAATGCCGAGTAGCAGCGCGCCTAGAATATCGGTGGCCCTACCCCCAATCCCGCATGGAACCCAAAGTATCGGTGGCTTTTCCTGTGTCAGACATGTGTGCTCCGTGCGTTCGGGAGTTGAGGCGTTTCCTCAACAGAGGGACCCTCAATAAGGACCCCTAGGTATATACCCATAATACAGCTATTATATACCCATTATATGGTAGGGGTCCCCATTAAGGGTCCCTCCTTTTCCCCCTTTGATTGAGGCGTTTCCTCAGGCCCGGGCACTAGCTCCTCCTTGTTCTTCATGCCCACGTCCGCATCTGTGCAAATGGGAGGTAAGATACAAACTGCCAGGGCTCAAGGAGAGGAACGAAGGTTCAGAACTGTCATAGGGATCCTTAGGGGTGTAGGGGGAAGGGGTGTAGGGGACTATAGTTCCTTAAATAGGCCTTATTAGTCCTTATTATGGGCCTTAAGGCCCCCTACCCCCCTCCCCCTACACCCCTAAGGATCCCTATGAAACTGGAGGTGCAAAAGAGAAACACAGTATGCATACAACCTAGCAGGACCTAGCAGCAATGCAGCTTAGATGCAGTTCTTCCACCTCTTGCTACTACTGCGCATAATGACCACGGCGGCTAGGACGATGTCTACTAGTGACCGGTGCTCAGTGTTGCCGACACCGCCACTACAACAGACCCTGATGCGGTCAGGGCCAACCACTGCACTCTTTACCAACATGATTCAACCGTATATCCATGAAGCCTGTACACCCCAATCGCTAAATCCCGAACATTCCTAAAACCGAAAACGCCCAAAACCCCCCTCAACACCCACAGTTTCGGGCTAAGATTACCAGGGGAAACCCCCTAACAACCCCAAATCCCAGACTAAGACTACTGTTGATAATACAAATCCTGCACTACCTTAAGGACCCTAAACTATGGGATTTATGGTATATTCCTTATTGGGGCTCATGCAGGATTTATATCATCAACCGTAGCAATGCAAATCTTCCGGAAGGGCGGCGGTTTTCCGATGCCGAGAGCAGGGCTTAACTTCTCGTCCTCCCGAAGCACCCGGTCGAGGACCTGCGGTTGACGCGTTTTCTTGTATTGTTAAAGGGTTTATATAGGGTTTTGGGGTTCAAAACTTTTTGCTTTTAACGGGTTTATAGGGTTTAGGGATTCAGACTCAGAGCTTTTTGCTTTTAACGGGTTTATAGGCTCATTGGGTTTAGGGGTTTGGGTTACAGGGGCCAGAGTTTGAGGGTAAGGGTGTAGTCCTAGAAACTCCTATGTGGCCTGCTCGAATTCTGCACAGGTCTTCTTCAATCCGAAGCACTGAACTAGGGCAGGTGAAGCGCTGCATGAACTCAAGCCGCTTCAAGCGTTGGGGTTTAGTGCTCTGTTGCTTAGAGCGGTCTAGGGTACAGCTTCCATGCCCCTCAAGTTGTCTTCAATAGCCGCCTTCGGCCTCAAGCTGTCAAGCGTCAGCCGTTCCTCATAAGATGATTTTCAGTCGTATTACTATTGTCCAGAGCCCTCATCTGGTTTAGGGCTTAGCGTTTGGATTACGGGAATTCATGACGACCTCGGGAAAGCTACTGTCACCTGCGTTGCTTCGTTTTGCAAGGTCCTTTCACCCCTGATGAACAGCCGGGCAGCTGAATTCACTCCTTTGAGCCCGAAGCCCTAAGTATGCCAGTAAGCCTTAAGGCCCCTAAGCCCTAAAGCCGAACACACAAAACCCGTTCCAGCAGGCCTGGATCTTGGAGCAGTTGCGGATGTAGTTGGAGTTTCGCGTTGGCGAGGCCTTGACTTGTCGGGGGAGAGAGGGTAATGCCGTTGACAGAGCCACGTTTGGGGGTCTGGGGCTTAAAGGTTTACGATGCAAAAGGATTGGAGCTTTGCAGTTCAGGGGTTTGAAGAACTGTACCCACAACCCTCGAACGCTTAGTCGGTCGATGGCCAGTTGATGGCAACTTATCATATTCAGGAACCCTAAGAACCCAGCCCTTCCAACCCCCTTGAAAACCGAGGGCGCATCGTGAACGACCTAACTTTTTAGGGTCGCATAGCCACCCTGCCCGGGCCCACGTCAAAAGTGCTGAAATGATGCTATATAAAAGCATCGTTGAACAGGACTGAACCCACGTCAAAAGTTAGAGTCTTTGAATCGACAACCACCATCAAAACACTTATGCTTAATGTTGGCCAACAACCGTCAAAATCCTATGTATTTGGCCCGTGGTCGGGTTTTAGGGTTAAGAGATTGAGGGTACCTCATGGGTTTATCATAAAGGGGTTTAGGGCTCCAGGGTTCAGGGACGCTGATTTCACGGTTTGGTTTTTGGGGTGGTTTAGTGTAGCTGCACTCTTCCAGAAAACCTACAACCTTAATTTGGGGGTGCCGTTCGCGATCAATTCACGGTCATTTCACTGTTATTTCACGGTTTGGTTTTTGGGGTGGTTTAGTGTAGCTGCACTCTTCCAGAAAACCTACGACCTTAATTTGGGGGTGCCGTTCACGATCAATTCACGGTCATTTCACGGTTTGGTTTTTGGGGTGGTTTAGTGTAGCTGCCCTCTTCCAGAAAACCTACGACCTTAATTTGGGGGTGCCGTTCACGATCAATTCACGGTCATTTCACGGTTATTTCACTGTTTGGTTTTTGGGGTGGTTTAGTGTAGCTGCCCTCTTCCAGAAAACCTACGACCTTAATTTGGGGGTGCCGTTAACGATCAATTCACGGTCATTTCACGGTTATTTCACGGTTTGGTTTTTGGGGTGGTTTAGTGTAGCTGCCCTCTTCCAGAAAACCTACGACCTGAATTCGGGGGTGCCGTTCACGGGCAATTCACGGTCATTTCACGGTTATTTCACGGTTTGGTTTTTGGGGTGGTTTAATGTAGCTGCACTCTTCCAGAAAACCCACGACCTTGGGCAATTCACGGTCATCTCACGGTTATTTCACGCTCATGCGGGGGCACCGAAACACTCTTGAAGAGACTCCCCTGGACAAATCATATGTGCATCAATGGAGGCCGATCACACTCTGCTGCAGCCACCACGATCAGCAGCGAAGCTGAGGTGTGCTGGTACATGTGTACATATGTGTAGTGCAATATTAATTTGGGCGGAGAACCACCCCAAAAATCCTATGGACTTGACCTCGCTCATGTCTCCTATGATCAGGGTGTTTGGCACCGCACACGTCTTTCAAATCCGAGGGCGTTCGTGCCTTAAATCTGGTCGCGGACACAGACATCTTCCACAATTGATGCAAGGTGGTTCGAACCACAAACTGGGTGTTTCGAGGACTAACTGAGGTGGTTGCCCGCCACCCTCAAAAGTAAGGGCGCGGAAGGACAGGGGAACTAGCTTTGGTGGCTACTCAGGCCGTGTTATTCGGGCAATCTTAACCTGAAGCCCTAAACCCCTGAGCCCGAGGCCAGATGTGCTGATAGTGGAGCTGTCCTGGTTAACAGCACCAAACCCTGTATGAAACAGCCTACACCCCCAAAGCCAAAACGCTAAGCCCTAAAGCCCAATCACTTAGCCCTGGGCCTCCTCGGCAGTTTTATGAGGTCCGCCTGCTTCTCAAGAAGAGGCCTTATGTAAGCCGAAACCCGAACGCCAAGGCTTCCTAAGGACTTCGCCACATCCCACTTCTCGGGCTTCTCGCCACTGTCGCTCAGATCGGTCGTCGTCCTCCCAGGAGATTCGCTTGGGGTTTCCGGCAGTTTCGCGTTTGCCTGGGTCTTCATGGGACTTTGCAACGGCACCTCTGATGACGAGTGTCGCCCGGCAGAAACCCTAATATTGCGCGGGATCGCTGCTATACCCTGAGGCTCCGTAGTAGTTCCTTTATGGGGTTCATATTTAAAATCTTTCAGTGTAATCCTCAAAAGGGGCTACTATGGAGCCTTTGGGTAACCCCAAAACACGCGCGGGGTTGTCTAGATTACTGCGATTGCAGTTGCCAGAAGATGAGTAGAGTGAGTAGAATTCCTGAACCTTGCTGAACCCCACGCTCTGAACCCTACGAACTAATCAAGCTGAACCCAAAAACCCAAACCCAGATCCTAGTCCCTAAACCGTAAAACCCTAAGACCGCTGAACGCTTAACCCTGAAACCTAGTCGCTAAACCCCTAAAGCCGGGATATTAACTGCAAGCCTAGTCCCTACACGCCTGCCTGACCTCAAAAGACCCTCAAAACCCTCAAACCCCCAAAACCCTAATCCCTAAACCCCTACCTGAACCCCAAAAGTATGTTGAATAACAGCCTGTTATAGGTTTTGGGCCATTATTTTTCAGCTATCTTTGGGGGGTCTAGGGAATCTCTAAACCCCTCAACTCCAAGGATACCCCTAAACCCTAAACCCTATAAACCCTAAACCCTAAATCCTAAACCCCAAACCCTAAACCCTAAACCCCTCAACTCAAAGGATACCTCACCAGCCGGCGACAGTCCTCAAGGAGCGGGCCTTGGAGCCTTCGGAGGGCAAGGTGGATAAACGCAGGGGCCTTGATGATTCGAATAGGGTTTCGGTGCAATCATAAGAAGCTACCCCACAATAGTATCGGTAATTCTTTCGGCCCCTATGGTAGCCTTCAGGGTTTAGGGTTTTAGTGTTGAGGGGATGGGGCGTTAGGGATTACATTCGGGGTCGCAGAGAAGATCGCCATTAGCTACTCTCATGGCATGATTATGGTTGTAATGATGAAGACGGTTGTTAATGCGACCATTGCTAGTATGACCATTGCTACTAGTACTTTTGAAGTACGTAGAAGGGAGAGTTGGCAGGAAAAAGGGTTGGCGTTTACGTTTCACCACTGTGCCACCATTTCTGGATTTTAAGGAGAGTCTACCTTTCTATGGTTCCTGCTTAGGCTTCAGGGTGTAGGGTGTAGTACCTTCTTAGGGGTCCCTCATTGTGGTTTCCTGCTAGAGGCGTCGAAAGCCAGGAACAAATTCGATCACACCCGATTCCTGAGAGGCCTGAAGGCCCTGACTTATTTGGGAATCTCCGAAGATAAAGGGTACCTTGTTTTGGGGTCCTGATAATAAGGACCCTAGTATTTAGGGTACTATATTAGGGTCCCTATTTTCGGAAACCCCCTTATTTGTCCCTAGGAAGTCAAACCCTAAACTCTCGCCACCTACAGTCTGCATTGCCGTTCCTGCTTCGGATTTAAACCTATGCTGTACTTATAAGATTCAACAGGTAACCAAAATAAAGAACTTGCTATAGATGGGCCGCTCTAAACCCTAGAAAACCAGAAATCCACATAAAAAAAGCAACACAACACACCCTAACTCGCAAACCTGGCATGTTGCCTGGTCGAGAGGGCGACAGGTCATCATCGGCCATCGCGATGGTCAACACCGTCGAACTGGCCAAAGCGGAGTTTAGGGTGCAGGGTTTAGGCTTAGGGTTCAGGGTTTAGGCCTAAGGGTTTTGTTTTTAGGGCTTGGGATCTAGAGTTAGGGTTTAGGCTCGAAATGCTGGAACGCTAAACCCTGAACCCTGAAACCGTAAACCCCAAACCTCCAAGGGTAAAAGGAGGGGCCCTTAATAAGGACCCCTAGGTATATACCCTTAATAAGCTAATATATATATATATATATATATATATATGTATGTATATATATATATATATATATATATATATATATTATACCCATTATATAGCCCGTTCTTGGGCGGGGGTCCCCATTAAGGGTCCCTCCTTCTCCCCTTTGGAAACCGGAATCCTCTTTCAGCCCCAGCCCAGGGAACCCTAAACTGACAGGGTTTGGTGCCCGGCGGCCAGCAACACCTTGCAATGATGCTTAGGGTTTAGGGATTTAGGGTTTAGGGGTTTCGGGTTTAGGGATTTAGGGTTTAGGGGTTTCGGGTTTAGGGATTTAGGGGTTTCGGGTTTAGGGATTTAGGGTTTATGGGGATTTAGGGTTTAACTCTGCACAACCCTGATGAAACAAAAACCCCTATCTGTTCATCAAGGCACCTCTGCCCCTGCCTTTGCCATAAATTGTTGAACCCTAAATCCTGAACCCCGAGTGCAAAACCCTGAATCCAAAACCCCAAACCCCCTAAACATTAAATCCTAAAACCCCCAAAGCCCCAAACCCTAAATCCTAAACCCAAATTAAACCCCAAACCCCCAAAACCCCAAACCCTAAATCCTAAGCCCTAAACCCCAGAAACCCCCTAAACCCCAAAACCCCTAAAACCCCCAAACCCTAGCAAAGACAGGCCGGAAGGGCTCCAAGTCCAGGTACTGACCGTACGTAGACTTTGGCCTGCCGCAATCATAAGAATCGGACTCCATCAAGGGTTTAGGGGTTTAGGGATTACTTGGAGGTTCATGGGTAGCTATAAGTAGGGTTGTAAGTAGGGTAACTATACTAATAACCCATATTAGGGGGACTTATAACCCACTTATAACTACCCATGAACCTCCAAGTAGGATTTAGGGTTCAGGGATTAGGGTAGGCTTTCGGGGCTTAGGGTGGGCTTTAGGCCAGGAATTCTAGATGTACACAAAGGCCTTAAAGTCTTCAGGAATCAATGTGGTGGGGATGCGTCCTTGATATAGTCAGGGGTCTACACCAACGTTTTGGAGGAAAGTATCCAGAACCAACATATCCGCTCATGACTGGGATTTCGCCGAAGTATGGACAACCATGTAAAACCATAAGTAGTGTCTTGAAGTCCCTAACACCCTAAGACCCACGGTCGGCGACACAAATCCTCCAAAACCCTGTGAACCCTGAACTACTGTAGTATACATATCCGCCTCATTAGTGAAAATATATGATAATATCTCTTTGTTGGTCCAGCACACTTGTGATATCGAACACCTGCACATCTCTTCTAAATGTGCAAGCCCCTCGAACAAGCAGACGAGCAAACTTACAAAAACGCCTGTAAGAAGCCTACATCGATCCTTAATTGAACTCAATACAGACCCCTCATTGAGGCCTTGGTAGAAAAACAAGTAGACCCCTTAATGTACCCACTTAAATGTTTTTTCGAAGTCTCATAGAAACCGTGATAGCCCCCCCAAGAGCCCGTAGTGGTCTAGCAATCCTCACCGAAACCACTATAGTTATAGAACCCTCATAGAAGCCCTGATCGAACCCCAACAACCATTAATCATAGAGCCCTGCACAGAGAACTTGATAGGAACCCAAGGCCGCCCCTAGTGCAGGCCCCTGTGAAGCAGCTGCTGTGGCCCGGGCGAGGCCGCAGGCGAGGTTCCAGATAAAGTCTCCCAATTCTCCCCCTGTCCGGCTCACTCCGGGGCTTCGGCATTAACATCGTCCACGGGATTTCGGGTTTATGTAGGGTTTATAGGATGGATTCCACAGGGGCTTGGGGGCTTTGAGGCTTCGAGCCTTGGGGGTTTCGAGTTTTGTTCGGGATGGTGAAGGTGAAGCAGCTCGTAGGTCGGGGTTTTGGCCTACTCCTTCGTAGATCCCCCAAGCTATCAACCGTTTCGGGTTCTGCAGCTATACATACCTTGATCATAAACAAGAATGGCTTCATAGATTCCCATGTCGTATGGAATGGATCTTAAAATTTGGGGGGCTTCCTTCTTAGGTCCTGAGTATACGGAGCACCGCGCTCGCTTTCAGGGATGCAAGAACATCACCATGATTTAGAAACGGCCCATATCTTGCTGTCAAGGTCTTCGAGTTCAGGGTAGGGTTTCGGTCTACGAACAGCTTCTCTAACTCTTGTTAAGCCCTCCGCACTATGTTCCTGTATCCTGCGACGCCGTCCACTCACTGCTATGAGCCCTAATCCTGCGACAAATCTTAAAACTGTGCGATCCTAAACCCTGAAGACAAAACCATCTTAGGTACGGCCTCCATACAGTAAGAGTCTATAATAGATAGGGCTACTATTAAGGTCCTACTATATCTATATTATGAATATTCTTCAACTATTGCTGAGTGGGGGCCGTTCCCAACCCATCCCCAACCCCACCAAAGACAGTATTGACAAAACGCGTTGCAGAAGCCCAGAAAGCCGCACCCCCCCCCCCCCCACCCACCCAATCAACACCCACAAATAACAACCAGGGTCCTAAGCCCCCTCACAAAAAAAAAACAGAAAGCTCCTTCAACAAAACCACAAAACCCAAATCCCAAACCAAAAGTCCCCTGCACATCCTCTCAAACAACAAATATGTCCCAACACCCCGTAATAATCCCTAAACCCTACACCCTAAAAACCCTAAACCCCTAAACCCTGAACCCTAAAACCCTAAACCCTAAACCGCTAAACCCAAAAACACTAAAGCATACCCAGGCCGCTCCTCGGCGGTGTTCGCCTTAGACCTCATCCTCGTAGGGCTCAGCAGCGCCGCGGCGCTGAGAGTTTGGTTCCTTATTCAGTCGAGGAAGAAGGTCTAGGAGTCTGAATAGGGATTAGAATTTAGGGTTCTTTTGATACGCTTCTCAAAAAATATTTAGGAGCTTAGGGTTTAGGGCTTATAAGGTTTAGCGAGTCGAGGACGAAGGGTTGGGTGCTAAACGCCCCTGAACCCCCTCAACCCTAAGTAGAAGCCGTAGGGTTTAGGGCTTGAGGGGTTTAGGGTTCACGTTTTCGGGTTTAGGGTCTCGGGCTTCACTTAGGGTTCATGCAAAACTCCTATGAGGACACTGGTTGAACCAATTGGATGTTTGTAGTTAGGATCCTATAAGATAACATTGAAGGCAACTACAATGGAGACTAAAGGTAGAATGATCGAGGTCCAAGCGCACATGTTGGGTTTGGGTATTTATGGTTTCGTGCGCAGAAAGGATGCCCTAGTTAAAGCTGAGGCTGCTCCTATTTGAGGGATACTTTTCTCATGGTGGCTTTGGGTTTAGGCTTTTGGGATCAGGGTTTAAGGTGAAGTCTAGATCCTGAATCATTTATGATGCTGTTCCCTGGAGGGCCCTGCACATTATGAGTATCCCAAAATATACCACAGAACCCCATGAAAATTGTTAAGGCTCTCATTAGCCTATACGAAGGCCTACCGGAAAACAAAGAAGCTTCCTAGCATAATCTATACCCCCTTAGAACCACAATAAAAAGCATATGTGAATATTCTCTTGGGTTTTGTTTGAACAAACATGAAAAATTGGTCCCTAAGGAGACTCTAGTAATGAAGGCCTACAGTCTACCCAGAAGCCCCATAGTAGTTCCTTTTCGGGATGGCCTTATAGAATTTACATATGAACCCCGAAAAGGAACCACTATGGGGCCTCTGGGTAGTCTACTTGGAGGTTCATGGGCAGTTATAAGTAGGGTTATAAGTAGGGTAACTATACTTATAACCCATATTAGGGGACTTATAACCCCACTTATAACTACCCTAATCCCTAAACCCTAAATCCCTACAGAGCCCTTTAAAGGGATCCTTAAAGGAACCCCTATAGCCCCACTTATAACTACCCATGAACCTCCAAGTAAGGATCTCTGCGACCCTGGAGACTCGGAGCTCTGAGTGCGCGGCATCGGGCTCCCAGGAACACTGCCGCCCGTGGTCTTGTGGCGCGTCTTCGAACGCTTCAGGCCTCATCTGAAGGACCCTTTCAAGGGTACTATAAGGGATCCATAATGCTTGTATAATATAGGAGGGCTCAATAATTGCTTATACTATTTTGGACGTTTCAGGGTTTTATGGTCTAGTGGGGGGGGCCTTCGTTATTAGAATAGGGCTTCGTGGCCCATTAGACTATAATAAGTGTAATCAGGAACCCCAAAGAGGGCACTGGTAACTATTCAAGCCCCGGTAGTATATGCTCTGCAAGAGTTGTGGGCGTATAGGGCTTCGGGCTTAGTGTTTGGCGATCAGGAGTCGCAGATTTAAGGTTTAAGTTGGCAGCTTCGATCACTACAGCCCTTTCCCTTCTAACCCAAGTGCCGGAACATTGGCTTGTCGGCATATTGGGCTGTCGGCCCCTCCGGGGATGTGGTTTCACACTGTCGCTTTACGGTGGAGGCTCAGGGTCCAACTCTTGGGAGTGGGGTAAAGAGCCTCTAACGCAGATCACTGGGTCTGATGTACCCCTCCAAACTGCCTTAAAACCCCCAAAGGCCGGCGTAGCTGTAGACTGTAGTGTATCCGAGAAGGTTTTACGTTTTAAAAGCCCGTGAAGTCAACTACCCAGAATGAGACTTAAAGGGGTCTTCAGAGTGAATGAACTCGGGGCCCCAACCAGCTAGCCCCGGAAGCCCCGCATCCTGAACCATTCACCCTGCGTCCTTAACCCGACTTTCAACCCTAAACCCCAAACCCCTAAACCCTAAACCCTGAGGGCCGCGCCCCCTGTGGAGGTGTGGCAGCGCGAAAGAATCAGTGGCGACAAGGGCGCCTCACCCAAACATGATCTCTTTAGGGCTTTGGGCTTTGCTAAACCCCCAGGTGTAGGTAAAACAATGGCAATGGCGCAACATGGAATTATTTCGCATAGGATACCTATTACCAAGATCGGCAAAACGCGACGAAGGGGGGGGGTGGGGGGGGGCGACAACGAGCTCCACGACTCACTTTCAAGCCCCGGGGGGCGCGGGGGGGGGGGGGTTATAATGAGAATAGAGTATTGAGTTTAATACGATCGTATGTATCATGACATATTATGATAAGTGGTACAATCTGAGAAAATGACGGGAACGCCAGAACAACTGGCAAATAGATACATCGCTGTGTACGCGGGCGATTCAAAGATTCGTTCAAGGGACGTTCTCGCACAGGTGAAACAGCAAAGGGAGCAGCTCGCAAACCATGACCATCACATCATCATCACGGCCATTATCATTAACTATGCCTTCACCAGTATCATCACCATCATCATCTTAGCGATGCTCATGACCATCATCATCACCACCATTCTGATGATCGTACCGATCTGATCGCCACTGGAACCTCAAGCTTAACACCGCACCAAACCCCTATGCGCCCACTCGAGCCACGAACTCTTGCAACCCAAAAGACGGAGGGCTTGTAGACGCGTCTCCCCGGAATTTTGAAAGCCCAAGCTATAAACGATCTGTGTATACATACATACATATATATATATATATATATATATATATACATACACACACACACACACCTTGCAATACCCTCATACCCTCCGCCCAACAACAGAGATGAGCCCCAAAACGCCGAGAGCCGCCTTCGGCTTTGGCGGGGCGGTCGCCTGAAAATTGGGGTGTCTTACTTTTAAGGGGGCTTTAGGGTTTAGGGCGTAGGGATGTGTAGGGGTTTGGGGCTTAGGGCCTAGGGGTTTCGGGTATGATAGGGTATGATAAAGCTTGAGCATGCCGAAGGGTTCAACGCGGGTAGGGCATTATCGAGATTGGATGATAAGGGTTCTACCGAGGTGTGATACAGCCGTAGCGGTCTGACTGCCAAGGGCTTCTGGCAATCAGATGTCCTGTTGTGGGACGTCATCGAAACATGTAGGTAGACCATGCCCTCGGACGCATGGCTGTTTACTTAAACTCCCATGTTATCTCGCATGGCTTCAAGTCTGGGGGCTACCGTTCACAGCTTTTCTTTTGCTAGGGTTTGGTGTGTAGGTTTGAGGACTTAGGGTTCATGCTACGATTGGGTGTGCAGATCGAGGAGTTTGGGCTGATCCGGTTGGGGGTTTGAAGGAACCCTAAACCCCTAAACCCCTAACCCCTAAACCGTAAAGTCGCTCTTGTCCAAGAGAGGATCACACCTGAAGGTGTTCGGTTGACTACTCGGAGGATGGAAATGCTCTTGCCAGGGTGGCGTCTTGAGGCCATCGACCTTGAGACGTGTGTAGGACCACGTCCTGCCGGAAGGATCCGTCCCAGGCTAACAGTTTCGACTGCGGCCCTGCACATGTCGCGACACGGCGACACAGAGGTAACTCGGGCAAGGGTAGAAAGAGCTAGCCTAACATGCTGCATGGGTAGCTTTCCAAATCTTCAAGGTGCCGGTTCGGATCCTTGCAAGAGTACGCCACTCATGTAAGGACCTAGAGAAGAGATTCTTGCTTGAGGAGCCGACCACATCTCTGATGGCCTTATGTGAATGTGTCGCTCGAAATTACTTGGGGTCCCGGCTGAGGCAGTCAATAGGAAATCTTTCTTTCGTATTCCAAATTTCCAAAGACTAAAATTCTCAAACTGAAGACCTAAACTTACTCCGAAACCCATAATTTGGGGAGCCCTAGAGGAGCCCTACTACCCTAAACCCTAAACCCCTAAATATGCTTGTTCCCAAGTCTCCCACTTTCGGAACCCTGGTGCGTAAACCGACGCCCGTGCTTGGCATCGTCATTGGCTCGTTCGGCTCCTCGGACCCTTAACTCCTGGGGGGTTTAGAGTTTAGAATTTAGGGTTTAGGGTGTAGAATTTAGGGTCTAGGGTTTAGACTTTAGGGATTAGGGTTTAGACTTTAGGGTTTAGGGTTTAGACTTTAGGGTTTAGGGTTTAGAATTTAGGGCTGAGGGTGTAGAATTTAGGATTTAGGGTATAGAATTTAAGGTTTTGGGGACCTAACCCGGGAGCATCGTGAACTCGAACCCAAATGGTCCAAAGTACCTGTATGGGTGGTTGTCAAGATTAGGGTCCCTGCTTGGGTCCTTTTTAGAATACGGCACCGAATATTTAGGGTACCCAAAAAGAGACCCTAATTTTGACAACCACCCATATAGACCCATATAGCAGAATGTAGGGTTTCTATATTAGGAATGACTATTATGATTTGGGGAATGCTAGACCTTGGATGTTATAACCTCAAAACCTGCATCCCAACGTCCGCAAACCCTATAACTTCTAGACTCTAGACCCCGAGCCGCTACAACCCTAGATCCTGAGCCGCTTCAACCGTAAACCTAAAGCCCCAAAACCCTAAATCCTACACCCTAAAACCGGGCTTGTCTTCGCATCGTCGCCTTGCGTCCACCACCGTAGCTGATGCTTTCGGCGCAGGGATCGGCCTCATTGCTTCTATAAGGGTTTGTGTTCCATAGCATGGCTCCCTAAAGAGGTTTCTTGTTTAGGGAATATTCCGATTTTGAATGGGGTGTTAATGACAGAACACCCAGCGAGAGGTCTGTCGTTTCGGTTGAAGTGCTTGCGAACTTGCCTAAACTTAAAGACAACCCAGCTATAGGGATTTAGGGCCGAGGTCTTAGGACCCTGTGTCAGACCCCAACCCCAAACCCTAACCCTACAAACCCAGCTGAGCCAGGGATTTAGGGCCGGGTTCAGGGTTCAGGGTGTGCTGTTGCGAAACAAAAACCATGCATTCTGTTGGAGCTCCGGAATCAGGACCTGCTGCAGCTTACTGACCCAAAGGGTCCAAAGTACCTATAATATAGCAGAATGTAGGGTTTCTATATTAGGAGTTACTATTATGATTTGGGGAAGTATCCCCCACAACACTACCTAGGACCCTTTGGGTGAACCCTGAACCCTGAAGCGCACATTAAGTCCCAAATGCTAAACCCCGAAAGCGACTAAACCCTCAACCCGAGGCTGTAGTAATGGGGCAATTCGGTATTTGAGTCTTTTGGCATTTTGTAGGATGGTTATATGAGGGCACCCAAATTAAAGGAACAGTATTTACCCTACTTTAATATCTAACCCAAACTCTCAACCCTAAACTCACAATAAATCCGGAAAGCCCTCAACCCTTTTCCCTGAACACCCCTAAGCCCCAACAGCCCTCAACTATAGCAACTCTAAAGGGAACTCCTGAACCCTAGACTCTCAACCCTAAGACCCTGAACCCTAGAAGGACCCCTAAAAGGAACCCCTAAAGCCCAAAGGGTCCAGCGTACCTATATAGTAGAATGTAGGGTTTCTATATGGGTGGTTGTCAAAACTATGGTTCCTCTTTGGGTCCTTATTATAGTACGGCACTTAATATTAAGGGTACCCAAATCACTAGGAATTACTATTATGATACCTGGACCCCAAAACTATGTAGAAGAGTAGCCTTTTATAGGTTTTGGGCCATTATTTTACCTACTTTTGGGGGTAGGAATTACTATTATGGTTCCTTTTTGGGTCCTTATTATAATACGGCACCTAAAAAAAGGGGACCGTAATTTTGACAACCACCCAAATAAGGAATTACTAGTATGATTAGCCGGATGTATATCATCAACCGTATTATTATTATTCTGATTATTTTTATTATGATTTGGGGAAGTGTCCCGTAGAAGGGGGCCCGACCCGGTACACGGCCGCGCCGGTCTGGGGATCGAAGTCTTCTAACTTCAGCTCACGACCTCGGGTTAGGGTATTTAGGGTTTAGGGTTTAGGGTTTCGGGTTTTAGGGTTTAGGGTTTAGGGTTTCAGAGTTTGGGTTTGGCGTAGAGGGTTTAAAGGTTTTCAGAGACGGTTTAGGGGCTTTTGGGGTTTAGGGTTGTCCTCGGGTTTCAGAGTTTGGGTTTGGCGTAGTGGGTTTAGAGGGTTTTTTGACGGTTTAGGGGCTATGGGGTTTAGGGCTTATAGGGTTTAGGATTAGACGGTTTAGAGGGTTTGGGGTTTGTACGTTTTAGTCTGTTCGTAGCGTTTGAGGTTTAGAGGATTCGCGGTTTCGGATTTCGAAAGGGTTTAGGGCCCATCGGGTTTAGGGGATTGCGGGCTTATAGGGTTGCGGGTTTAAGGTGCGGTAGGGTTTGGGGGGTTTAGGGTTCGGGGTGGTGGCGCCGAGAATGGCTTAAGGTTTAAGGCATTGAGGCCTTGTTCTCTAAGAGTGCCGTTTTTCCGTGGTATTTTTCATAGAGAGAGGACTGCTGTGGCTGCTATCACTACTGTGGATCCTTCAAAAACTACTGCATTATACACGCCACAAAAATCCTTTCAGTCTTCATAACAGGGAGGTGGTGTAAGACTATGCAAAAAGGCAGGGCTTCCAACACCCCAGGGTTTTTTGGGTTTGTTGGAGCTTAACCGGACGTGACCCCGAGCCGAAATGAACAATTCGGAACTCGCAGGAGTTTCCGCAAATTAGGGGTGCCATATTTTGAGGTCCTCATAGTAAGGATCCTGCTATTTAGGATACTGTATTAGGGTCCCCTATTTTCGGAAACTCCCATACCGTCAATCTAGCATACGACATGGAGGCGTGAATAATATAGGTAGCTTTCTGCAGCCATGTTGGGCCAGTCGGACCTTCTGCGAGGGTTTTCGGGTTAGGGGTTCAGAGTGCAGGGCTTCAAGGCTGCTGCAAAGACTCCACAACCGGGCCTACCTTGTCAAGCGTATAGCTTGCAAGTGATAACGTAGTGCTCCGCTTGGTTTGGCTGGAACGAGATGTGACTCTAACCTTTGTCACTCTGGTAAAACGACTGAAACCTTCTGTTCTATGGTCCCTGTATATTCGGTTCTATATTGGGGCGTACAGTACGAACTTAGTAAACAGTAGGTTTTGGTAGTCATCAAAATATCGGGACCCATAAAGTTTGGCACCATCGCCTATGGCTCATGGCATGTCCTGATGCATGGAGCGCCATCGAACCCTACATCCCAAGCCCTGAAACCCCAACTCATCCACCACACCTTCAGACCCTCAAATATAAAAGCTTCAGATAAGAATGCACCTCTTCGGAACTTTTGACATTCGCATCCTTATTCAACAGCCCCACAACCTTAAGACACCTCAATTTGAGTGTAAATCTTTATGAAAACCTCATCAAACCCTCACAGAACCCCTTGACAACCCTAAACCCTAAGCTTAAACCCTAAATCCAGAACCTCCCTAAACCCTAACACCCTGAACCCTAGCACCGTAAACCCTAAACCCTAAACTTCATGGCTCCACTGCTCTGGGAGCGGGACGGCTACACCCTGAACCCTAGCACCGTAAACCCTAAACCCTAAACTTCATGGCTCCACTGCTCTGGGAGCGGGACGGCTCCAGTCCGTTCGCAGCAACTTGAAGAGCCGCCTGCAGTCGCCTCCGTGCGGAACGCTTGGCTTACCGTTGGTTAGTAGGGAATGGGGCTCCTTTAAAGGGATCTATAGCGTTCCTTTAGAGGGATCTATAGGGGCTTAGGGTTCCTTTAACGGGATCTTTACCTTTGGTTAGTAGGGAATGGAGGAATGGGGTACAAGTATAACAACTGTTACTACCATTCCTCCATTCCCTACTAGCTAGCGGTAAGTTGGCTGACTTCTGAAACTGAACCCCTCCTGAAAGTTAACTACGTTTACTATCCGAATAGGTTTCTTTTAACGGGGTATAAGGGCTATTGTAGGGATTTAATGTAGGGGCCTGAGTCCTAAAGTTAATGTAGGAACCTGATAAACAAAACCTTGGGCCTTTATTAGGCTTCCTGGTATATGAATCCTACTATTCTGGGGTTATAGGAACAGGGTTTAATAAACAGGTTCCTACATTAAACTTTCAGCCTCCTTCTTATAATATTCCATATATAAACCCAAAGAGCTAAAGTCTTAAGAGCCAACTAGAAGAACCCCAAGATGCAGGGAGGTTGGGGCTCGGGGCCTTTAGAGGGTCTGGGCGGGTTTGGGGGTTTTTGTTGACGGGTTCGGGCTTTAGGGGTTGGGGTGTATAGGGGGCTTCCAGGCGCGGGATGTGCGCTGCTTCTAATGTTTAAGTTTAGGGTAGCTTGCTGGTTGGGGAGGGTCCTGGGATCATTGAGCGTCAAGGATTCTTGACATTAAAGGTTCCGGTTGACGATTTGGGCTTTTTGGGGTTTAGGGTTTAGGGTCGTTACGATGTTGGGATATGTATAGTAAACACGTATGATAAAGGCCACTATGCTCTTGAAGACAAGCCAGGCCTTGGGAGTATTGGGACTGTTCTGGCACTGTACATAGTCTTGTTGCTTGTTGCTGCAACCCCTCAACCCTGTAGCATAACAGTAACCCAAAAGGTCCAAAGTACCTACATCGTAGAATATAGGGTTCTATATTAGGAATGACTATTATGATGTGGGGAAGTATCCCCCATAACAGTACCCTATAGATCCCTTAAAGGAATCCTTCAAAGGACCTCTATAGATCCCTTAAACGAAACCCTTAAAGTCTTCCACCATAACAGTACCTAGGACCCCTTTGGGAATACGGGTCCTTGAGAAGGTTTCGGGACTGCTAGGCTGACCTTCGGAGATGCGACAGGCGCAGCCTATACGGGAGTTTCCGAAAATTAGGGGTACCGGGGTACCTTATGTTTTGGGGGTCCTTATAATAAGGATCCTACTAAATTAGGCGTGCTGAATTAGGGTCCCCCCATTTTCGGAAACTCCCATACTCGCTGTGACATAGTTTGGGCTCCTGTCTACTTCAGGTGGGAATTTCTGAATGCAAGAGCAACAATGTACAGCAGAGACATGGGCTTCTGTCGTCTGCACCCGAAACCTTCCAAAATCCCTCAGACAAGGAATCTCAAGTATATTCCTGAACTAAGAGATTTTGGAAGGTCTGGGACGATACTGCTTGGTATGTGCAAAGCGGCCCGTCTCGTGATGCACGCCAAGCCTTCAAACCCCAACGAGATCCCGGCAGCCTTTGCCAGTACCCCTTACACCAAACCCCTACTTGTCGGGTTTCATGGGGAACTAAAGGTTGACCTTTTTGGTCATATAGAGATTATGTATATAGGGGCTATACTACCCAAATTGTTAAAGGTTGCCAAACCCCTAAACCCTGAAATCTGAAAACAACAGGATGTCAGAACAGAAAGTCGGGCGCCCCCGCCTGCGAAGCCAAGCTCCTATCAGCATATGTTGCAGGTGGTTCGACGCGTCAGGGCTTTCGTACGGCTGATGGACAAAATCCTGCATTACCCATTATAAGGAATATACCATAGTTCCCATAGTTTAGAGTCCTTAGGGTCATGCAGGATTTCGTCCATCAGCCGTATAGCACCGCAGGGGTTCACCACGACTTGACACTGGCGAGGAGAGGGTAAGGCTCAAGAAAGGCAAGGCATAAGGTTTTAGGGTTGAGGCGGTTCAGGGTAGTTCTAGGCCCAGGGGGTCAGGCGATTCTCCCTAGGGCATAACTATACTTATCATAAGTGGCTTTTAAAACGGCATCATTTCAAACTTGTCATAAGCAACCCTGAAATTAAAAACTGCATTACTTACCTGAACCGACCAAAACCTACTTTTTTGTAGGGCCCCTATAAACCCCTTATTAGGTTTATAACAAGAACCTACAAAAAAGTAGGTTATGGTAGTTTAAGGTAAGCCCTGTTTCAGAGAGATACTTATGCCCTGCCCGAAACCCTGAACCCTAAACCCTAAAGTTTCAGAGATAGGTCGGCGTCTCTGTCCTGGCAGCGCGAGATGAAAACCTTCTCGGCCACCCCAGGCAAGTTCTCTGGGTTGAACCCTGAGCAGCGAAACACATAGGACTTAAGATTTTACGTTGGTTGGTTGCAGAGCAAATACCTGAAACCACCATAATCTACGTAGCTGTTTTGTAGGTTCCTTACATAAGCCCTAGCATTCAATTCATGTATAATTAGTAGGTTTTGGTCGTTTCTGGAAGGGCTTAGGGCACCTTCACGGGGTTGCTTAAGGGCCTCCACAAGGATCCTACCGAACCCCAAACTATACTGAACTTAGAACCCTAGCACAAATTATAAATTTTAGCTGTTTCTTAGGGATTTATAATGGCCAAAAATCAAAAGTTATTTCTAAGTACCCCGAACCCGAATACTACATTGGATTTAAGAGTTTAGGGGTCCTCTAGGGGCTCCTTTCAGGGCTCTATAACATGAAGCAGGCGCGGGGTTCTACAAGGTTTTTTGGATTCATATAACATACTAGACTCAGGGTTCAGAGCTTCAAAGTCTCTAACTGTGATTCTTTGTTGTTGTTGTTTTTTTTGTTTGGGGGGAGCGTCCAAATTACCAGAGTGACGTTATAGATTCTTTGTCGGACCCAACCAGGAGAACCACTAAACAGTGCTTGCGGCATTCAGGGTTTGGCAGAATATCAACAGTCTCATCCCTTGACCCATGCGATCTGGATACTATAACCACAACGGTGACTGCATGGAAGTGCTCTGAACATACAGAAGAAGCTGCATGCATGCGAGCCTTCCTCGGGCCTAAATAGTCAGGATACCTTTGTTTCCTTATATTCTGTTTTAACAAGACAAGGAGAACCCAAAATGAAGAGGGCAAAAGGCTACTCAGGAACCCAGCGACTTCTACTCATGCAGCTGAGGCTGATAAAGCGAATCCTGCTCGTCAACCAGAAGGTCAACAGACTGCAGCCATCTACTCAGGCACACTTAGATTGCAGGTATTTCCGGAGAAGAAAAGGTTTCGTGTTTAGGGTTAGGCATGTCGCGTGCAATCTTGCAGCTGTGTATAGGCACAGGGGCACATGCCAATGATTGTCACTCAAACCCCAACAATAGCATAAAAACGATCAGTTCGGGATGCATGCGACACGAGGGGTCTGAACAATTGGTAGTGACACGCCGTCCCTAAAACACACCAGGGAATGCGCACACACACACTCCGTTCACATTCTCAAGAAACTAATTCCAACAAAAACTAATTCTAGTGACGACGGCCTCCACATTCCGTGTGCGAACACTCAACCTCGATCACCCCCCCCCCGACTCCGGAATAACGCCCCTGAATCCTAAACCTTAAATACTAAACCTTGCACCCCAACCCTTCGTCAACCCCAAACCGGAAAACTCAAGAAACCCTATACACCCCTACAAAAACGCTAAACCCTATTTATGATCCTATCCACCTAGACCCTAGAAACACCCAAACCCCCAGACCCCTAAACAATCAACCCTCAGACCCAAACCCTACTTAAAGGATCATGGAACTTAGTAACTAGGGTTATAAGGAAGCTAATCTACAAGTACCTTAATTGGGGTTGGAAGTAATTGTAAGTATAGTTACTAACTATACTTACAATTACTTCCAACCCCACTTAAGGTACTTGTAACCTAACTTACTACGTCCCCTGACCCTTCAAGTACACACCCCTAGACCCCGAAACCCTAAACCCTTAACCCTCAGACCCAAACCCTACCTAGACCCCCAAAACTAGGTAAAATAATGCCCCCAAAACCTATAAAAGGCTCTTATTCTACATACTTTTGGGGTCCAGGTATACCCTAATCCCCTAAACCCTTTATGGCATGCTTTCAGGGTCCAGGTATACACCAGACCCAAATACGAAGCCCTGCCTTCCCTCCAGGCGTTCCTGGGCACCAGAGCGATGGTTTTTGTGGGGGAGTTCGGGGGTCTTGGGATACCAAAATGGATTAGGCGTTTAGGTTATAAGGGTTATATGGGTTATAATCATGGTCTTAGGGTTTAGGGCTTTAGGGTTTAGGGCAGCTCGGGGGTCTTCGGATACCAAAGACTTCTGAACCCCTCCTAAAAGTTAAACTTTTAGCCCCCTTATTATAGTATAGACTTAGTATGGAAACCCAGAGCCAACCAGAAGAACGCCAAGAACGGATTGAACGGATTCGGCGCCCAGATTATAAGGGTTATATGGGTTTAATATTTAAAAAGTTATAGGGTTCAGGGTCTGTAGGGTTTAGGGTGGGTGCGGGGCAACAGCGTTTAGCATTGAGGCTTTATAGTGTGTTCCGGTGTAGGTATCTGCCGGTTATGCAAATAAAGTCAGGAGTATAGGGTTCCCCCAAGGCCTCGTTGAAGGGTTCGATGGAATCACCATGTGGTTGTTTTGATATTACGGATCTTGAGCCAAAAACTGTACGTAGTACTCAGAACAATTGCCAGTGGTATACTGTTTGAGATGGGCATATAAGAAAGCATAAACTGTTGATTTCATAATGGTTCCTTTAAGAAAAAAGAATAAAAATATGGTACCCCAAAGCCCAGAATTAGGTTCCCTAAACCCTAGACCCGAAACCTTTAGGGTTTAGGGCAGCGGATGTGAGCATTTTGTAGTTTCGCGTACATATGAAACTCAACAACTGAGTGCAAAGGCGCTCGTGCTGAGACAGCTCTAACACTGTCTTATGTGTCCTTTGTCTTTCGATGACCAGCTTGTTGATGTTATGGTCTAAAAAAACCGCCCCCACCGTGAATCACGAAACGCCCGTTTCTAAAACCTCTTTTGTCAAGCGCTTGTTGTAAGAACCTCCCTCGGACCGTCAGGGCCTATATAAACCCTGAACCCTTAGGTTTAGCCTTGAGCACTTCGGGTTCGGAGCCTGGGAAGCTGGTGTTGTTCCTGGGATTCTACATTGGCAAACCCCCAAAACCCAGTATAGGGGCCTTAAAAGGGCTCCTTGAAAGGGTCTCTAAGGGATCTCTAGTAGGGTTCTATATTAGGGGCTTCAAGAATTGGAATTTCGAAAAGAGTTTCCGGGCACATTATGCCGTAACTATAATAAGGAACCCCCAAAACCGTATAGGTAATCTTTTAGGCGCCTATGGTACAGCCCTACGCCCGGCACCACGGAATTTCGGCTGGACAGTTGTCTGGATTTGTGGCCCTGCCCCCCGAAGCCCCACCTCGACACTCCAATTACATATGGGCGGTTGTCAAAAATGACAGTCCCTTTTTGGGGTACCCCAAAACTTAGGTGCCGTATTGTATTCAGGATCCAAGGAGGGACCCTAATATTGACAACCACCCATATTATCGAAGTCCTGAAACCCCTATATTCCTGAGCCCGAAATCCTGGTTGCAGGGCGCGAGAAGTTGTGCTTCCGGGGCTGGTTGCTTTTTGCTAGGGATGCTGAAAGCCCTGTACACAAACCCAGCAAGTACGGTCCAAGGCTCAGCATGTTTCCGTACTTGTCCATACAGAGGCTCCTGTCAGATGGTTTTGGGCTCGGATAGGGTGCCGCAACCCCACTTAAAGGATCATGGGACTTAGTAAGTAGGGTTGTAAGTAGGTTATAATTAGGATAACCCCACTTAGGGGACGTATAACCCCAGTTATAACCTACTTACTAAGTCCCATGATCCTCTAAGCAACCGTCAGCCCTCAAAATCCCCACAGGCTGGAAGACACTCTGTCCTCCTCCTCAACTCTTGGGGCGGGGAGGGGCCTGGGGTAAATCAAAAGTTGCCAACTTACCTGCAGCCACCATGGGGGTTATATCTTATAGGGTCCTAACTATAGCTATAAAGCTAGTTAAGCCCAAACATAAAAGCTACAATGGAGACTATAGGCAGGAAGTGGAACTGAAACGAGGCTTGGGCGGCTTCGTTAGTCGTCCCACCACGTCAAGGGATTGCATTCCAAAACCAAGCCCTGACCATGTCATCTGGAAGCCCTTCATGCCCAAATCTTTTCTTTGAAGCTTAAGCTGAGCTTGGGCAGTGACTGCGAAAGGGATGCATGCCACGCAACTAGACCGGCAAGCAAGAAGCAAGGTAGGTAGGCCGTAAATTAGGTAAAGAGGTAAGTGTGCATGCAGCTTGTAGGTGGTATTTTTCCATGTAGTCATTGAGTCTAGCAGCAAGAAGGGACTACGGAAGCCCATTGTACGATGCAAAATGTTGAGGGAAACAAGGCCAGTATTCCTAGACCCTCCATCTACCCTCTATTAGACCCTAAGTACCCATTATTTGGGGCCATATACCCCTATTTGAGGGTACAAGGAGGGTCCTGGTTCAAGCTGCTTGGACCACCGAGCTCTGAACTTCTCAACCCTATGCCGACCCCAAAGCCCCAAGGCCCCCAAACTCCCCAAACTCCCCAACCCTATACAACCTGCATTTACTACGACCCTCCGTCCAAAGAGCCCTAGACCCTAAAAGCCTTGAAGGAGTAGTGGAAGCCCTAGAGGACCCCTGCGGACTGCTCCCTAAATGGCCTGAAGTCTTCCAGGTCTTGGTTGGCCTCTCTTTCGCAGAATGGTTTAACGTTTTGAATTCGCCTCAATAGTTGGAACAGGGTTGTTGGGGTATACTGTACTATAACTGCATTATAAAGGAATCCAAAAAAATCGTGTTGGTAATTTTCCGATCCGTATACTTAAGGGCGGGGTCCAGGATGGAGTCGAACCGCTGATGATATAAATCCTAGGGTTCCTTTAAAAGGGGGTTTAGGGTTTAGGATGATATAAACCCTGCATTACCCATAATAAGGAACATACCAAAAGTTCCATGGTTTAGGGTCCTTCATAAGGTAACGCAGGATTTATATCATCAACAGAATCATAAGTCAAGACTATCCCCTGTTACTATGTAGTTCCGGCAAAGACCTTCAGGACATGGCCCGGTCCGCCCTGCTTGCCTCTGTGCACGGGCCTCTTAGTCGAGTGAGATACGATGCAGTTTTAGTGTAACGTGCGCCAAGCCCGATTATTCTCATGGGTAGTTGTCAACAATAAAGGTCCCTTTTTGGAGGAACCCTAAACAGTAGGTGCCGCATTATAGTAGGGACCCTAATTTTAACAACCATTCTCATGAGGAAGGCAATTATATTCGCCGAGGCCCAGGTTTACACTGCCGAGTGCAAGGCTCAGGCTTGAGACTTCGGATTTGAACTGTATCTTTTTGAACACCTACTTTCCAATCCGCCCAAAAAATCTCAAGATGTAGTCGGTTCAGGGCTTAGGGCTGCAAGGGTGGAGTTGGAGTGGGGAGGTTAGGATTTGGGAGTTTCCTACATTAGACCCTCTATTCATCTAAGTCCCGTGCCTTGCATTAGCCTACAGCCGGGACATCCTTCAACGGGGCCTGTAGGGATCGTTTGTAGGGATTTGGAGTTGAGAGGCTTATTCTTCTAGCTCCCGCTGCTCCCTCACTCCCTCCCTCTCGCTCTCTCTGTGCGGTTTCGCAACCTTCATCCAAAAAGTCCTGGCGCTGAAACATGATGTGGCCCAACACTCTTGGACAGAGCAGGTTAGCACTCCAACTCAGCCAAGCCCTAATAATCATCCCTAATCCGTCAACCCTGAACCCAAACCCTCTCAACTAAACCCTAAACCCTAAGCCCTAAACCCTAAGCAGCCCTAAGCCCTAAAAGCCCTCTCAACCCGCCTTCGGGTCGATCTCCTTTAAGGAGACGAAGCCCTCTACCGGCTCAAGCTCACCCCAGAGCCTGGGCACAAAGGCTCGCTTTTTTCCCTGTGTTCAAGGTTTCTGAAGGGTTTGAGGCTCGCTTTTTTCCCTGAGTTTAGTGTTTCTGGGGTTTGAAGCTCATTTTTGCCGTGAGTTCAGGGTTTCTGTGGGTTAAGGGCTCATTTTTTGAGTTCAGGGTTTCTGGGGGTTTAGGGCTTTTTTTTTCCGTGAGTTCAGGGTTTCTGGGGTTTAGGGCTCTGGGGTTTCGGGGTTTGGGGTTTAGGTGCCGTTAGGGCTCTATGGCTTTGGGGTTTGGGGTTTCGGGGTTTTGCTATAGGCTTCATAAGACTGTTCTGATAATTAAGAAAGCTTCCTCGTCAAAAAAGCGCTGAGATTCAAGGCAAGGGGCTTTCGCAAGTTGCCTGTGAAGCCGATTTGTCGGCAGCGATGGTTCATCTCACCTGGCACAGATGCAGAGTCGACATACCCTACACTGCTCTACACATTTGTTTTCGGCTTAGGGTGCCCGTTTCGGGATATGAGAGTTTACGAAGAAAGGGACCCTAATATAGTACCTTAAATAGTAGGATCCTTATAATAAGGGGCGGAACGGTTTTTTTTTCCTAGGCCTGGTCCGCCCCGGCTTGCTTTCCTAAGTCTGGTCCACTGGTTGTGGTTGCAAACAGCGGCAACTGCATTCTTTGCTTCTATTTTGCATCAAGCTATTGGGGAACTAGAATTTGACGGCTCTGGTTTTGCTTCTGTTTTGCATGAAGCTATTGGGGAACTACAACTTGCGGAGTCTGATTTTGCTTGTGTTTAGCATCAAGCTGTTGGGGAACCACAAGTTGTAGGGTTCGGTTTTCGTTGTGTTTTGCATGAAGCTATTGGGGAGTTCGCATTTGCAGGGATCGGTGTTGCTTGTGTTTTGCATCAAGCTATTGGGGAACTACAATTCGCAGGGTCTTCTTCTGCTTGTGTTGTGCTTCAAGCTATTAGGGAACTACAATGTGCGGTGTGTTCTTCTGCTTGTGTTTTGCATGAAGCTATTAGGGAACTACAATTTGCGGTGTGTTCTTCTGCTTGTGTTTTGCATCAAGCTGATGGGGAACTACAATTTGCGGGGTCGGCTTTGTTTGTGTTTTGCATCAAGCTATTGGGGAACTACAGTTTGCAGAGTCTTTTATTGTTTGTGTTTTCCATCAAGCTAATGGGGAACTAGCATTCGCAGGGTCTGGTTTTGCTTGTGTCTTGCATGAAGCTATTGGAGCACTACAATCTGCAGGGTCGTGTTTCGCGTGTGAATATTGCGGGATTACAATTTCAAATCTTCTGTCTTGTGACGTTGTTTTTTTGGTGTCGTTGTCGACATCCTCGTCATCGTCGTCGTCATCGTCCTCGCCGTTGCCGTCGTGGTAGTTGTTCTTGTTGTTGTTGTTGCTGTTGCTTGTGTTCTTGTTGTTGCTGTTGTTGTTGTTGTTGTGGTTGTCGTGGTGGTTGTGGTTGTGGCTGTTGATGTTGTTGTTGTTTCTGTTGTTGTTGTTGTTGTTGTTGTTGTTGTTGTTGTTGTTGTTGTTGTTGTTGTTGTTGTTGTTGTTGTTGTTGTTGCTGGTGTTGTTGTTGTTGGTGGTGGTGGTGTTGTTGTTGTTTGTTGTGTGTTGCTTGTTGCTTGCTGCTAGTTGTGTTAGTTGCTAGTTGTGTTAGTTGTTAGTTGCTAGTTGCTAGTTGTTAGGTGTTAGTTGTTCGTTGCTAGTTGTTAGTTGTTGGTGTTAGCTGTTAGTTGTCAGTCGTTGGTTGTTATTTGTGAGTTGTGAGTTGTTAGTTGTTTCTTGTTAGTTAGTTGTTTCCTGCTTATTGTTCCTTGTTTCTTGTTTGATGTTTCTTGATTTGTTGTTTGTTCTTTCTTGTTTCTTGTTAGTTGTGTGTTGTTAGTTGTTTGCTGTTAGTTGTGTTAGTTATTTAGTTGTTTGTTGTTTGTTGTTTGCAGGTTTGAGGGTTTAGGGGTACAGGACCAGGAGAGACCAGGGGACCAGGGAACCAGGGACCAGGGGACCAGAGGACCAAAGGACCAGGGGACCAGGGACCATGGGACCAGACCTAGCAAGGCCCCCCAGACCGGACCAGACCTAGGAAAAAAAAACCGTGGACCCATAATAGGGACCCCAAAATAAGGTACCCCTAATTTTCGGAAACTCCGATATTTCAGGCTTAGGGATTTGGGGTTTGGGGGCCCTTGGATGTCGCGACTTTGGGAATCCAAACCGATACCAAACAAGGTTAAGTGTTTGGGGGTGTAGGGTTTAGGGTGTAGGGGTTTAGGGTTTACGGCTTAGGGTTTAGAGTCTGAGCTCTAGGGTTTAAGGGCTTCTTTATACAGTGCAGCCATAGCAAATGTTTTGACAAGGCGACAAGAATAGAACAAAAGCATCCGCATCAGGCAACATACCCTGAACATGACAGCGCAAGCTTTTTGGCCGTGGTTGGTGGGGTCTTAGAGCAGTTTGTTGGGATGGTTCCGGGGCGCGAATTCAGATCGAGGCTTCGTGTGTTGGAGTAAAGTTGGATGGGTAGTAGTCAACATCAGGGTCCCTTTTTGGGCACCCCAAATAGTAGGTGCCATATTACCTGACCCAAAAAGGGACCATAATTTTGACAAGCACCCGGATGGATTGGAGGCCCGAGATTTCACGCTCCGACGTTGGAGGGTCCCGGGCGTGGGGTTTGCAATGGGGCTAAGGGGGTAAGAACTGCGAACTCCGATGTCCTCCGTTTAAACCCAGGAAACCCCTGAACCCTAAACCACTCATCGTAGAACCTTAAGGAACCCTTAAGCCCTAAACTCTAAATCCTACCCTGCTATATAACCCTTAACGAACCCTTAAAGGAACCCTTAAAGGAACCCTTAAAGGAACCCTGAACTCGCCAGCCCCACCGAAGGAGATCTTGCCGTTGCCATCGGGGTCCAGGGCGATTCGCCAAGCTGCGGCCTGGCTTTGGGCTGTTGATAAGGGGGCTTACTTGGGGGATCATGGGACTTAGTAAGTAGGTTATAACTGGGGTTATAAGTCCCCTAAGTGGGGTTATCCTAATTATAACCTACTTATAACCCTACTTACTAAGTCCCATGATCGGTTAAGTAGGGTTTAGGGGTCCTTGCTTAGGGCTTAGGGTTCCTGGGTAAGGGGTACTTTAAGGGACTGGGCGGCTTTCTTTTCAATGGGGGTTTAGGGTGTATGGTTCCTTGGTAAGGGTACTTTAAGGGAAAGGGCGGCTTCCTTTTCATGGGGTGTAGGGTTCCTTGGTAAGGGGTACTTTAGGGGAAAGGGTTGCTTCATTTTTCAGGGGGCTTAGGGTTTAGGGTTCCTTGGTAAGGGGTTCCTTAAAGGGTTCTTTAAGGGAAACTGTTTGTTTTCATTGTGGGCTTAGGGTTTAGGATTCCTTGGTAAGGGAAAGGGCTTCTTATAAGGGGCCTAAGGTTTAGGGATCCTTGCTAAGGGTTCATTAAAAAGGGTCCTACTTTAAGGAAAGGGGATGTGTCTTTTCAACTGGGGCTTTCACTAATGATTTTGGTTTTTGGTTTTGATAGGGGGTTATTAATTCATGATTCGAGGAGGGTAGAGGGTTGAGAGTTGTAGCAAGGGGGCCTTAAGTGGAAGAGGGTTCCTTTACAGGGGCTCCTTTGACGGCTTACCAAACTGTTCGGTAAGGATTCATGGGACATACGGGCCTTAGTGATTAGAATAGGGTTTTGAAGGACATCCGTAAGTATAAATGATAGTTTCTGCATCATGGGCACTAGGGTTTAGGCTTCCCGGTTGGATTTAGGGTTTAGCTGAGTCTGGCTCTTGGTGTTTCGGGCTTCGGAGGACATGAACTACGAAGGGATCGTGGGAGAGCGTTCATGCGGGAGTTTCCGAAAATGAGGGACGTTAATATAGCACCCTAAATAGCAGGATCCTTCTCAGAAGGACCCCAAAACAAGGTCCCCCTAAGCTTCACGGGAAACTCCCATCTAGAGCTCCTTGCCGGGGCTCGGCTCCTCGGCGTTTAGGGATTTAGACGCACGAACAGCCCCATTCGGTGGTGCAGACCCATCCTCAGGATCACTGCTGCTGCTGCTACTACCACCACCACTGCTGCCTGAGGTCCTCAGAGTAGGGGAGGCAAGAGGAGAGTCCAATAACAAGCGAAAGCAAAGCATAGGCTACAAGACCCAAAGACCGTCAACTTGAGCGGCAGAGAAAAGAGCGAAAGTGGAAGAGCTGGAAAACATCGAAAGGGCAGAGTCAGGAGAAGTAGCCCAGGCAGCAGCTGAGGCGGCGACCGGTTTCAGTAAGTGCTGAATATGCAAGGGCGACGTTATGAAAATGAGCACCCATCAGTAGCATCATGTTACTCATGGTCATCATTGAGAGTCATCATCATCATCATCATCATCATGAACAACAGCTTCCTGTGTGCGTGTCAGGCACCATGTCGATCCCAATCTGGCTCGCCATCCTCTTCGTATGATCCTTTGCCCTCGTGCTCAGCAACGTCGTATCTAGTATCGAGAGCGGGCATTTCCACCTTCAGCTGCAGTGCCCCTACCACCGCTGCATCCAGCACAGTCGTCATGGCCGACATCATCAGAAGCACGATCATCCTCATCATCATTCTCATCGTCATCACCATCATTGCTACACTACACTACCACCAGACCGGCACGATCAGCGCCTCATCAGCTCTCGCCATCAACATCATCGACACAGTTAGCAGCACACCGGCTCCACCACCAAAGCTTGACACGGCACTCCAATCACAGCCAACTTCGCTATACCCCCCTTAGCCTTAGAACCACAATAAAAACAATCTGCTTAATATGTTCTTGGCTTTTATGAACAGAAAATTTAAAAAACATAATTCCTAAGGAGACAAATCACAGCCAGCTTCGAAGCAGTCCAAGCAGGCACTGCACACCACGGACCCATACTTCCCGGACAGCAACTTCCGGAAGCCCTGGCCAGCGGCCAAGTGATTGAGACTCTCAAAGGGGAAAAGGAGGGACCCTTAATGGGGATCCCTACCCTATAATGGGCTATATCATGGATATATAACAGCTATATTAAGGGTAGATACCTAGGGGTCCTTATCAAGGGTCCCTGCTTTTAAAAACCCTTGGAGAGTCAGGAGCTACACCCTCTGCAAAACCAGTCTAGTTCGTGGTTGGGATAGGATGAAAATTGTTCGTTTTTGTTCCTTATTAGGTTTAAGTACCCACAAAAATCCAAAATGTTACCCAAACTATGGCAAAGTAGTGGTGGGCTCGATCATACTCGTGCTGTTTAGCCTGCTGCAGACTAGACGGTGTTGAAGCCCGCAGTCTACTTGGAGGTTCATGGGTATTTATAAGTCCCCCTAATATGGGTTATAAGTATAGTTACCCTACGTATAACCCTACTAATACCTACCCCTAAACCCTAAATCCTGTAACCCTACAGATCCCTTTATAACTACCCGTGAACCTCCAAGTAGTCTCTAAAGTGCTGGGTATCGAGAGCTCGGAGAAGGCCAGGGATCTTCGGGGTGCCCCTAAGTTACTAAACCCTAGCCCTAAACCCGAAACCGAACGCTAAACCGTAAACCCTATAAGCCCTAAGCCCTAAGCCCTAAACCCTAGGCCCTAAGCCCTAAACCCTGAAGAAGCTACCTTTCCGGGTTCCCTATTGTGATTTCCTTATATAAGTCCTTAAAAAGGTAACCCTAAATTAACCCGGGAGGTGGCCAAGTTGTCTTGGGACGCCCGAGGACCCTGCAGGATCGGCTGGGTTCAATCAACTGGGGTGTTGGACTGGTGGCCCGGGATGTCTAAAGTAGGAACCTGATTAAGAAACCCTTGGGCCTTTATTAGGGCTCCTTGTATGAATCCTACTATTACTTTGGGGGTTATATGCCCAGGGTTTCTTAATCAGATTCCTACACTAGTACTTACATTATAGTAGGTTAACCCATGTAGATCATATTTTAGAATCGTAAGGTAATGTGTAGTCGTTGTAGTATAGTATGTTATACTGCATTATACGACATTTTACATGTTGAGGTGGAGAACTGCGTGGGCGTTCACCTGAACCGACGCTAGAGTCTACGAATAACCACACGACTGCAATCTTCGCGGTCAGCCCGGATCTCACGCTAGAGAAAAAGCCCATGAGCTTTGACAATCAGGGCTCCCCTTTGACGTCATGATCGTGAGCCCCATGAATGTCAAATCTTGGAAAGCACATTCTCAGGAGAGAGACCGTATCATCCAAATTTCCGAAAACAGGGGACCCTAATATTTAATAAAATACCCTAAAGTTAGGATCCTATTATGAGCGCCCCAAAATAAGGCACCCCTATTTTCGGAAACTCCCAAAAAGGTAGGCATCCCCGAAACTGAACCCCCTGCCGATCTTGCCAAAACCCATCAACCCCCAAGCCTGAACCCCAAACCCCTAATCAAAGGGGAAAAGAAGGACCCTTAATGGGGACCCCTAGCCTAGAATGGGCTATATAATGGGTATATCATAGCTATATTAAGGGTATATACCTAGGGGTCCGTATTAGGGGTCCCTCCTTTTCCCCTTTGACCTAAGTGGACGCATATTCTAATCGAAGATGCGCTCGCGGCGAGTTGTGTCCGCTCAGCATGTGTACACTAAGTCAACTTGAACCAGATGGTGTTATTCAAGACGTTACTGCGAACACAAGACCTTCAAAACCAAATCCAAAGACCAGCACCAGGCATTGATCCCAAATCCCGCACGACAACGATCCAAACCTCTCGACGCCGTAGCCCCCAAAACTTCAAACCTTCAAGCCTCCGAAGCCCAACACCCAAAGCCAAAAATGACTCTCAACTCGCACCCCCAACATCCAAATATTTACTGCTTTAATTATTTAGGAGAACCCACTACAACAAAGGCAAACTGGTACTACTCAGGAACCTAGCTTCTTACTCCGAAATACTTCTAAGGTTAGGGTTTAGTAAGGGTTTAGGATTTAGGCTTTGGGGTGTTCGTGTTTAGGCTGCTAGGCTTTGGGCCTTAGGGCCTAGTAAGTTAGGGTTTACACAAACGAAACCTTGAACCCTGTGTAGATCTGTAGCACCTGATAAAGACCTTTTGTAGAACCACATGTTCAAACTCTCTAAACTCCCAAGACCCCGAACCCAAACCGGAAGTCAAAAAAGACCCGCTAACCTTGAACTCCAAAACCTTGAACCTTACACCTGCAAAGCTCGGCACCTCAGGACCCTGGTTGCCTAAGAGGCCCGCATCGTCAGCATTCCTGGCGCAAACTGCGGGTACCAGAGTGGAGGTTTTAGGGCTGGGTGTGTTTAGGATACAGGAGTTTTGAGGATGAGGGTTCAAGGTTTTAGAGTCTGGAGTCATGGTTGATTTGAAGTCTATTTCTTAAAGTTGGTAGAGGTGGAAGGAAACTCCAAATTTAGGGTTCGTGGGAAGAAGATGAAGTAGGAACCCATACACAACACCTCTGCCCACAATATGCCAACCCCCCCAAACGTAACTTTGTAGGGTTTCGGGGTCACGGGCTACTGGGTTCTGGTTTTAAGGCGTAAGGTTGTTTCGTGCCCTTAGGGTACCTCCGCTTGAGGAACCCAAATCAGGATGGCCTCTTAAAAATGTTAACATTGAATATCAGCAAAGTTCCTTGAATTGCACCCAGAACCCCCAACAAAAAAACTAAGCCCATACCCAGAACCCCTATTGTAAAACCATCTACGTAAGCTCCAAACTTAATATAGGGGCCTTCATAATGAACAAGGTTTTGGGGCCCATTATACCATTACAATAAGGAGCCCCCAAAAATAGAATAGGTCATTTAGGCCCCTATATGAAATCCCACACAGAACCCTCGGAAGCCCCCTCCTGGCGACTTCTACCAGCTCTCGGTGGACTTTGGAAGTCGCCCGACGGATCAAATACTGCGGAGTCGGCCTCATGTGACGACGGACATGGAACAAAATCAAAGGTCTAGGCTTTGGGTTTGCCCATGTTTACCCATAGGCTCCATGGTAGTTCCTTTCTAAACCTTACACCCCACACCCTAAAATCAATAAACCCTCAACCCCTGAACCCTAAACCCACGAACCCTAAACCCCTGAACCCTAAAACCTAAACCTTGAATCCTGACCTCCCTAAACACATAACCCCAGAGCCCAAAGCGCACAGGGGCCTAAATAGTTTCAAAAGGATCCTGCTGAACGTTATTACAGTCTGGTCATCTCGGGAAGGAGCTTTTTAATAGGTATCTGCACATCAGGTTTTCACAGGTTCAGACGGTCTATAGCGTCGAAGGTTGTGGGTTTAGCGTTCTGAGGGTCAAGGGACCAGTGCAGGAAGCTTGGAATTTGGGATGCAAGCACGATCGGTTAGGTGATATCTATGACAAGTTTTTACATATACTCGACTCTACTCCCTATATACCACTCCTCCTGCAGTATATGGGAGTTTCCGAAAACAGGGGACCCTAATATAGTACCCTGAATAGATTCTGGTACCCCGAATTTTCGGAAACTCCCATATTCTTCTGTACGATCCCGCTGTAAAACCCCGTAAAGCACTCTACGACTCTACTTGGAGGATCATGGGACTTAGTAAGTAGAGTTATAAGTACCCTAAGTGGGGTTATAAGTACGTCCCATGATCCTTTAAGTAGACCCTAAACCCTAAATCCTATAGATCCCTTTAAGGAAGCCCTATTGATCCCTTTTAAGGAGCCCTTACTAAGTCCCATGATCCTTTAAGTATGGATAAAGACCCAGGCCCGGCCCGCGTTGAACAGATTCCTCGAAAGGGTTTACTACAAGGGCCTTACTCATCGGCTCCATAGTAGTTCCTTTTTGGGGTTTATCTTTGGAATCCTATAAAGTAATCCCAAAAAGGAACTACTATGGAGCCTATGGGTAACTAGTAGCTTGAATATTCTTAGACTAGGGTCTTGAAATCTAAGGTCTATGGGGTTTAGGATTTCGAAGTTTGGGGTTTAGAGGCCTCGATACTCAGAATAGGGTCTGGGGCATGTTGGAGTATGGTTTTTATAATAAGGAATCCGGAGGAACAGACTACAGGTATCTTTTCAGGCCCCGAAACCCTAAACCTAAAATCCTAAAGCCGAAGCCCCTAAACCCTAAAACATTAAACCCTAAGCCCCTAAACCCTAAACCCCAAACCCTAAGCCCCTAAACCACTCAGCCCTCGGCTCGCTCTGGCGCTCCAGGAACTGGTCCACGCGGGCCTGCGGAAACGGCTGATAATATAAATCCTAGGGTTCCTTGAAAGGGAGCTATAAGGGTACTTTTGAAGGGTTCCTTTGAGGGATCTATAGGGTTTTGGGGTTTAGGGTTGAGGGTGATGATATAAATCCTGCATTACCTTAAGGACCCTAAACGATTGGAATTATGGTATATTCCTTATTATGGGTAATGCAAGATTTATATCATCAACCGAAAGCACTAATGTAGGAAGAAACCTTGGGGTGTTATTAGGGTTCCTCCTATGGGTGGTTGTCAGAATTAGGGTCCCTTTTTAGGTACCCTAAATATTATGTGCCGTACTTTTATAAGGACCCAGAAAGGGACCCTAATTTTGACAACCACCCAAGGCTGCAGGCCCAGGGTTTCTTAGCTTTGAAATCAAAAACCCTATGGCTCTGGGGTCTAGCTTAGTTGCTGAATTCATCAGCCCCAAAAAGTGCACACTCTCGGTTTACAAGGGGTATGCTATCCCAAAACATGTAAGGTCTACCCACTGATCTACTGAGTTTAGGTAAGGTTTGAAGCTTTCGGGTTCGTGAAGCACCAAACAAAACCCGAAAGCCCTTAACTCTAAACCCGAAACCTCTTCCCCCCCCCCTCTCTCAGAAGAAGCCTCAGCCGCAGGATTCTTCGAGCGGACGCGGCCCTGGCAAAAGTGGCGGAATCTTCAATCGGGCATTTGCGAGCTCTTCCATTCCTTATGCTTTGTGTTTATTTGAGCTGAGGAGGGCGTTGGGCTTAATGCTTAATTCATTAAGGGAGGCTTCAGGGTTTCATAGTCAAAGGCTCCTGCTTCAAGCAGTGTGTGCATGTGTGAAGTGATGTCTGTATTCATTGAACTTGAGACGGAGGCGCTGAAAATGAGAAATCGCTAACGGCTAGTCGGCCGGATGGTAAGCAATGACGGTAAGCCTCCCCCACATCTTCAACCTATCTTCCTTTTCATAATCTAACCAGTGGTTTTGGGGCTCCCTTGGCTCTTTAGCTCCTTATTTAAAAGGGATTATCATCATCCCTGGCTCCTTAGCTCCTCCAATATCAACAGCTAGTAATGCATCATCCCCAAACACGACAAAGTACTTTTGGAAGGGCCTGAACAAACTAACAGTGTTGCGGAATCCCTGTCAGAATCGATGTCAAAACCTCCACACATGCGGGTCCAATGGTGTAGGACCTACCTGACCGGCACCCCGTACCCGAAAGCCCAAAGCCCAACTCAGCCACTACTGCAACCTCCGGCATAAGCAATGGATCGCAAGAGGCCACATGAACTTCCTCTTGCTGTTTCTTTTCCTCTTATCACTACCACTACAACGACTAGAATTACTACGACGACGACGACTAATCCTGCAACAGCACCGCCGCCACCTCCACCCCACCACTACCACCACGAACTACGATGACGACGAAGTCGCAACAACAAGCACATCTGAAAGACATTAACAAGAACACCCAAAGAATCTCCGGCGATCATGCAATCGAGCAATCCAGCAAGCAACATCAGAGGTGTATGGATGGATGGACGGACGGACAAAAGGATGTGTGGACAGAGGGAAGGATGGATGGATGGCTGGATGGATGGATGGATGAATGGAGGGACGGACGGACGAACGGACGGACGGAGGGATGGACTACGTGTCTCTGTCCGTGTGCGCGGGTGCAAACATTCTCATGGGTGGTTGTCAAAATCAGGGTCCCTGTTCGGGTACCTTAAATCGGCGCCGTATTACAATAGGGACCCCAAAAAGGGACCCTAATTTTGACAACCGCCCTCATGTTCAAGAACAGGTCGGCTGAACCGACTTACTGCTCCCCCGAGCCGGGCTCTGGGGATCGTCTGGAAGCTCCAATTGCCCTGCGCAAGCGCAGGCGTGTCCGGGGTTCCTGTTAAGGGGGGTTTAGGATTTTGTTTTCAACACCCCTTCTTCCCTACAACAAAGTTTGCGTCGGGGTATAGGGTTTAGGGGTTTCTTGAAGGTTTACTAGAATGCTCCTTTTTAGAGCTCTTTAAAGTGTTACTGGACGGGTCTACTAGATAGGTCCTGTTAAGAGGTTTTTAGAGGGTTACTGGAAGGGCTCTACAGTGTAATTGGGGGCCGCAAGAATTAGAATAGTTAGAAGAGGGATTGCAAGTATATTGGACTAGAACTCTGACGGGGAACACCGAAACGATACTGGTAACTCTTATTCACTACCCTACTGCAGAATATTAAGTCGACTGTTTGCCGGTATATTATGCTACAACTCTGGGTGTACCTAGACCCTCCATCTACCCTCTATTAGACCCTAAGTACCCATTATTTGGGGCCATAGGCCACATACCCCTATTTGAGGGTACAAGGAGGGTCCTGGTAGAGTGTCGAGGTTCCGGCTTTGTGAAATAGTGTTGTGGGCTGCGAGGTTGAGAACTTAGGGATTTGCTTTACGAATTGAATACAATCCCCAAGGGTACTAAGTACTCATGTAGTAGACTGCAGGGTTTCCATTGTCACCATCATGGTTTGGGAAGGTCTCCCAGGTATCCCCCTAGAACAGTACTGTTCACCCTTTGGGATTAGCAGCAACCGAATCCTAACCCCTACCTAAACCCCCCAAAAGTAGGTAAAATAATGGCCCAAGACCTATTAAAGGCAAGTATTCTAGATACTTTTGCAGTCCAGGTAAACCCTAAACCCTAAACCGTGGCTCTGAACCCTCAACACTAAACCCTACTTGTCGGGTATCATGAGGAACTAAAGGGTAACCTTTTTGGTTATATAGGGGTTATATAGGGACTATACTACCCAAAAAAGGTTAAAGGTTACTTCCTCTACTACTAGGAAACCGTTAAGAATGTCGAACGAGGGCCCAGTCATCTCCAAAAGTCTGGAGCAATCGACTTTTTGCCCCGGACCCCAAACACCCCGAATCAGGGGCTGAGCTTTGCGCTTCGACGTTGGGGTTGCTCTAGATTTACTTGAATGAAGGACACTGTTTAGGCCCGCTACATTTGCAAACGCACCGACAGCGGTAGGGACGACACCCGAAGACAGACAATCGGCAATGGTCGGTTTAGGGGTTCAGGTTCACGATACTTTCAAAAGTTTACTGCGCGTTAGTTCCAGAAGCACAGTCGTCACAGCGGGGCCGGGTTTAAAAGCTACACCCTCAAACTTAGGCCCTAGACCCCGTCAAGAATCCTACGGAACCTGAGACGCCTAGACCCCAACCTCTGAACACCGTACTAATGGAAGTTTCCCTAACTCCCATTGGGTTTGTATATACAGGCAGTGCCACATGAGCACGGTACACCGGAATGCCTCCAGCGGGAGCCATGCTTCCAAGGATGGGACCCAAACAGGCATTTGCCTTGAGCCCCGAAGCCAAAAGGCAGCGCCGACAGAAATCTACACCCTAAACCCTAAACCCCTAAACCCTAAACATTAAACCTAAACGATGGCTCTGTATAGTGGGCGAACCACCGCACGGAACGATGGGACATGATCGTGGAGGCTAGGGTACAGGGGCCGTGTTGATTAGACTCGTGTTTCGGGGTATGAAACATCGGCTTAAGGTGCTTGGAAACGGGCTTTAGGATTTATCAGGGTATAGGGTTTAGGGATTTCGGCTTGGTGGGGTCTACGTCTATTCTGGGTTTTCTCGGCTTGCGGATTATGGGGCGCCAAGACCAAATTCAGAGCACGCTATCTGGGACCTAAAACGCTGCTATTCGAGTACCTGGGCCAGGTACACTACAGAATCCGAGCAGGGCTCTGTAGGGTGTTACGGTTTTTGTGGTGGGATATTCTGTCTGATTATCCAGCTTATAGGGACATCCAGGAGTCTTAATACTACAGTAATTATTGCTGCGACACGAAATCGCTTGTGAGCCATTTTCCGAAGTCCCTTCTTGAGCAGGGGCTTCTCTTGAGCGCACTTTGTCACGGATGCTTAAGCCCTTGATCTCGCGGACACCGCAAGGTAAGAAACGGTTGGATACGAATTCACAATCAACGTAGCCCCCATCTGTGTCGTCGGTTGCATGAGGTCCACAGATGCTACGCAACGTAGATAGAACTTTATCGGCCTCTCCGGGAGTAGCAATGGTACAGCCCAGAAAAGCGGGGTCGGGAAACTTCGTCAGCTGGAGGACCGTGCCATCATGGACCTATATTGACATTGAACTTAGAACCCTAGCAAAAATCATAGTTTTAGCTGTTTCTTAGGGATAACCAAAAATGAAAAAGTATTTCTAAGTACCCCTAAGGGACGAGGCGGCGCATGCTGGACTGAGTTTCAGAGCAGGCTCCCCACTCGGGGGCATAGGCACGCAGGCCCGCTACATCGCAGGCCGCAGCCACACCACCCCAAAGATCCAGGTCGCAAACGTGGCCGCAAGCAGCCCCTTCTATGCCGTATAGCTCCTTCGCTGCTTGTAGCGCATCTGTGAGGGACTCCATGTCATAGCCACGCCCGGACATGGACACTTTCATCTCCAGAAGCGGCAGGTCCACGGATCTGGCAAAGGATGCGGCCCGGCCCCCATCATCCACAGAGCCCACCACACAAGAAATCTCACAGCGCCAACTCGTCAAAAGGCAGTAGACCTGAAGGACGAAATGAACCCTAAAAGGGTTTAAGGTTCATATACCATATAGGGATTCATAGTATATGGGTATAGGGCCCCTACTTTTAAGGATCATTTGGTCCTTCAGGAACCTGAATGCTGTGGTACCCGCTGGTCAGAAGCAGAGCTACCGGAGCGTGGGACGCGCCGGGCACGGACATCACGAAGTCTGCCTGATGAAACGGATTGCCTGTTCCCGCCACCTGCTCCCGCTGCTTGGCCGCATCGTTTGCCAAGATCCTTGGTTCTCTTTAAGGAACTGGTACTCTTAAGTTACCAGAACAAGAAAGCCCTATGATTAGCTGCAAATTCCCGTTATGGTATATGTAGATCCCGATTATTTACGCTAACCCCGATTGTTTATTCTAGATCCCATAGTAACAAGAGCCCGGGAGTAAATCCTAACCGACCGGAACAGGAAACCCCATTATTTCCTCTGTAGATCCCCATCAAGGTTTACCCTTATAAAGGAACTCTTATAGATCCCTTAAAGGAAGACCCTTATAGGTCCCTTAAAGGAAGATCCTTACAGATCCCTTAACGGAAGACCCTTATAGATCCCGTAAAGGAACCCTTGAAGACCCTTGCAGATCCCCTAAAGGAACCCTTAACCCTTATAGATCCTTTAAAGGAAGACCCTTGTAGATCCCCATTATTTATAGTATCCTTAAGGGAGGGGGGTCTAAGGGGGGTAAATAGCCTAGTGATCCCTAATTCTCCCTAGTACTCCCTAAGCTTCCCTTACAGTCCCCTAAGGATTCCTTATACCCTCCCCCCTTGAACCACCCTCCCTTAAGGATCCTATAATACAAGAGCCGAGTCTCTTCAGGGCATTGTAGACCCGGGATCCGTACTGCGCGGCGCGCTTCCGCCGGTCGGTGATGACCCTCGGAGCGCCTAAGGACCGGGCCACGGCCCGAAGAGCCCCCTTCCTGGGTTCTTCTTGAGGAAGTTAGTTTAAGCTACCATAATAAGGAAACCAGATTACAAAGAAACCATATGCTACTTATTATGGACCCCTACTATGCTAAGTTACCGTACTAAGAAAAAAGTATCACTCACTACAGATCCCTGCTATATAGTAGCTTATACGAAATTCCTGCCCAGCTGCCCACCATCCACCACAAGCTCACTCTGGGCGCAGCCGTCTCTCTGGGCGGCGTCCCGGCAGCTAAGGCCCGCCGGCGGAGGCTCTGCAGCCGGCAGGTGCAGGGCAACATCCAGAAGATCCGAGTCCAAAAATGGGTAACCTAGCTTGCAGAGGATTCTAAGGAACCCTAAACCTTAAACACCCTATAAGCCGGTGTCCAAAATTGTGTAACCTTTACATTTTAGGGGTTTAGGTTATATAGTTTATCAGTTTATCGTGTCCAAACCTAGCTTGCAGAGGGTTTCTAGGAACCCTAAACTCTAAACCCTGCAGGCCCTATTAAGCCCTAAACCGTCACCCAGAGAAGCTGTCGCGCACTGCACTATGACGATATGCCCGGTGTATGAGAAAAGAACCATGCGCAGTGAACCCTCCTTGGTTTAGTCTGCTCCTTTAAACTCTCAACTCGAACCCATTTCGCACTACAAACTCATATGATTTCGACCGGAAGCCCCCAACCCTCGAAGACTTAAGCCTCTAAGCATCTCTAAGCCCTAAACCCCCCGTGACAAGTGTAACAAACCAACCAAGCCTTCTCTGAGCCTCAACACTGAAAACCGTTCAAAACCCCTGGCCAACTATAAGTGACCCTAATGACCCAAGCCTTTTCTATCTAAGTCTTAACGCCGTTCAAAACCCGTAGATAGCAGGACCCTATACCCTATAAAACCCTGACGAATCAAGCAACGCATCTCCACGCCCGCCAAGGACGCCAGGATGAAGTCGCGCTGCAGATCGCGATGCCACATCTGCGCCAAGCCCAAGGTGCGATCTCGGGAGGTTGCCTCCAGGGTTCTGGTTCAGAGTTTGTGGTCTGAAACGGTTTAGGGGTCTTCAGCTTAAGGGCTATAAAGGTCAATTTGGGTGCCTTTACAATTCTAGCATGGTTTGGGGTGTATAATGCATACTGTAATGGTAATTATAGAGGTACTTTAAAGGAGGTCGCAATTACAATAAAGATTTAGGGGCATGTTAAACGTCTACGACAATGAACTGCAAATAGTATGAGGAATACAGAGGTAGGCCGGGGAACAGCGGAAAAAAAAAGTGGGGTCGGTGTGTAGACGAAAGATACGTTCCATTTGCCTATCGCGGTCGACTTTGACATGGAGGGACCGAGTAATGTAGGGGCCTTAACAAGAATAGTCATTAGAATAGCAATTTGGGACCCATCATACTATACTTATGTTCTGGAACCACCCAAAAAATAGTAAGGCCACTGTATCCGGTAAGGTGTAAAGTACTTGATGGGGATCCCAGGGATACACATTTCACCTTGAACAACATGTTCAAGAACTCCTTGGATCTATACGTCTATACTATATGCTCAAGGAGAAACATGCAAACCCCTACTGTAAAACCCTAGGCCCTAAACCCCTAAACGAAAAAAACAAGTCACCAAACCCCTGAACCAAAAAGGAGCACCCTGATATCGGACTGCCTCGTCCCCGGCTACGCAGGCCCTGGCGTGGCGCTGGTAGCCTGCACACTGATCAAAACTGATCAGAAAAAGCGCCCTTGTAAACCCTAAACCTCTAAACTCCCTAAACCGAATAAAACCCTAAACCCCTAAACCCTGAACCCCTAAACCCCTAAACCCCAAACCGCGGTGGCCTGCGAAGGCCTCCTCTGAACCGAGGCCGCTGAGCACCACGTGCAGCCCGTCCTCACTTGGTTTGGGAGTTTCCGAAAAATGAGGGGTAGCTTATTTTGGGGTCCTTAAAGTAAGGATCCTACTATTTTGGGTGCATTATATCAGGGGGTCCCCTATTTTCGGAAACTCCCATTTCGCGTTTCCTTTCAGGGGTTCGGAGTCTGTTCCGATTCAGGGTTCAAGGGGCTTAGGAGTGCAGTAAGGGCTTAGGAACTTCTGGCGTTAGAGGTTTCTGTGTGGCTGAAGCTCTTGTTGACAAAAAAAATTGCGAAGGATTTCAAGGGCCATCCGAGTTTCGGGGTGGGAGGGGTTTGCGGCGTGGTGCCGCAGGGTTTCGGAACCTCTTCAAAACACTATGCCTTCGTTGAGGAGTGTTCATCCTATAGACAAGGGAGCATGCCAGTTTGGGGGCTACAACCCTAAACCCTACATCCCTAAACCCGACAGCCCCAAACCCCTAAATCCGAAACCCCAAACCCTTAAACGCGAAACCCCTAAACCCTGAACGCCGAGGATTCGCCAAACTTGGGCCTGACATCCGAAACATCCGAAAGAAACCTGCAACCCAAACCCTAAACACTAAACCCTAAACTCGAGGCCGTTGACCCCAAATGATGAACTCCTTGATGATTAGGGTAGAGTATTTGGGTCCTGCATATTACCTTACAAGTCATAGAATTGAAAGCTAACGACTAACAGTGGCACCTCTCTATTCAGCTGCCTATATAGTAATCCAAACCTTTGTGAACTTTGAGCTTTCAAGACGACACAGACCTGAAAGGCTGGATCGAAGCTACAAGCTCCGCCCCTAGGTCCTGTTTAAGGTTTAGGTATTGGGTGTTCGGTCTTATCGGGTTTGCAAATCTGAACCCTACACCTTTTCGAACCGTTTGTGTGCCAAATCCAGCTTCTGGCTAAGATCCTTTAGCAAACAGTTGACCCACAACCTACAATGTCTGGTCAAGTGAAAGAAACCACTTCCGACGGCCCCAACGACCACATGAACATGCACCCCTACAATTTTAACAATTTTGTATGATGCCACGCCCGAGGACGTGCACACCGGCGCCCCCCATGCGTAAGGTCAGCCCTGCAGGGTTTGAGAGGTTCCAGTCCCGCAGGCCGTGAGGTCGCCTCCATATGAAAGACATTCTGGACCAACAACGTCTCATCCACCACTAGCGTCCGAACCCGGAGCACCACCTCCGCAGCCTAGCCAAAAGGGCCAGGCGATCATGTGCCGCTTGCGTTCCATGCAAACCTTGCAGATCACAAAAGCTGTACATTGTACGCCTCCAAGGAAAATCCAAAGCAGGGTAGCAGGCACGCCAAACCAGGCGTCTCCGCCACGCTGTGCACGCCCACGAACGGGCGGGGTCAAAAATGAACTGTACACCTCCACATGCGACTAAGCGATACCACACGCAGGGCCCGCAGCCGGAAGGCCGCCAGACGCCCCATACGCACTGATGCACAGTGCGCCTGCCAAACGAGAGAGGCCGAGGAAACCACAGCCAGGTCCCACCATACGAACCGTAACGGTGCACCTCCAGAATGCGCCACCGGTGACAACGCCCCGAAGAGCGAAGCCCCCACACCGACGACGACCAAGTAAGAACGAACCTTCCAAGACAGCGGAGGGACGCCGTCTCCACCCAAGCCAGCGGCAAGCAAAGCTCGTCTCCCCCACTCGGATGAACCACCACCAAAAAAGCCAGCAACCAAGGCCGGGGTAGAGCCCGGATCGTAGCTCCGACCGAAGTCTCCCTTTGAGGTGAAACCTCTAATGGTACAGGTAATACCATCGCACGGCTAGCCGCACCGATAGCAGCCTCAAACGTCGTGCTTCCTATTGCACAAGCCACCACAACACCTGCGCTGACGACGTAGGTAACGCCGTCCGGAGTAATTTATAGTCAGGTCGATTCCCGCCGCCGTGGTTCGCAGATCCAGCCTCCCCCACAGCGGCCCCTCCCCGGAGAGGGACATGCACCCCTACATGTGCCATGCATACGCAAAACCCCGGACCCTTGAATCCTAAATCCAGTTCCCCTAAACCCTAAACCCAAAGCCCTAAAGTTTAAGGCCTTAAAGTTAAAACCCTCAGCGGAGGTCCTGCGATGCGAGGCGACAGGCAGCCAGCATGGTCATCCCAACGGAGGCTTTCACTGAGTTCCAATCCTCGGGCTGCGAGGGGAGGAGATTTAATGTAGGGGCCTAAATAGGGTTTAAGGTTTAAGGTTCCTTTAAGGGTACCTTTTACAGGGGTCTATAAGGATTACTATAAGGGGCCAAGGGGTATAATGTAGGCTTAATGTAGGGGGCATAAATAATTACCCAGATCTTGGGGGTTCCTTTTCATAATTTTAGTATAAAGGAGCCCAAAACCCTCTGCTAATGACTAAGGCCCCTATACCTACAGTCTCCACTGTAGTTCTTTTTTTTTGCTAACCAATTTTATGGTTAGGATCCTATAATAGAGTTTTTGGCTATCCCAAAAAAGGAACTACAATGGAGGCTATAGGTAGTACTGTGGGGAGGCGAGGTCGTGGTTTGTGTATCAGAGTACAATCATGCACACGTACAGGCAGCCGTTATCCGAGCTGCCTTTTGCGGGCATCCTAGTTGCTTTGCCTGCCACGTAGTTAATGTAGGGTTTAGGGTTTAGGGTTTAGGGTTTAGGGTTTAGGGTTTAGGGTTTAGGGTTTAGGGTTTAGGGTTTAGGGTTTCTTGAGAACCAAAACCTTAGAACCTAAAATCTCGGCTGCAAACCCTTCACGCGCCCAGAGTCCGCCACCAGAGGTGCAGAATCCAACAAGAGCTGCCGCGCCTTCAGAAGGAAGTGGAGAAGCTGGTTGTTGGGAGAAGGGTTTTGTAGGGTTTTACAATGGTTGTGTAAGGGCTGTAGAACTATCTGATGCGGGTTCTATGATGGTTCCGGGCTCAGGGTTTCTTTGTTCAGAGGCCAGGCGCTTCACAATTCTCAGTTGAGGATAGGTGCAAGGGTTCAGGTCTTGGGTGTTATAGTAGAAGCCAGAAAGTTGGAATATCATTATCGTAACCCCTTTAAAGTAAATTATGGGGGATCCTACCATTAATCCATATTCCAACTTTCTGGAGTTCCCTTTATAAGGGTATGATCTAAGAGTCAGGGCGAAGGAGAGTTTGGTTTGGCTCAGGGTCTGAAGTACAAGGTTTAGGCTTGTTTTTGTTGCGTGCTCTGGAAGGTGGGAACGACTACACCCACAGAAACCTACACTACCGCTGTTAAGCTGTCAAAAACTTCGGCGAGCCGCCAGCAGCCTACTGGTAGCTTCGTCAGGGAATTGAGAGACACACACACACACACACACACACACTCGAAGCTTGTCGGGTCTAGGGCTTAGTCGTTGAGGAACCCCATACTACTCGTAAAGAAGACGAGCAAGCTGTGGAGGGATCGGACTCTAAATGGGAGGTTTCAAAAATTCGGGGTACGTCATTTTAGGGTTGATATAATAAGGATATACTAGGGTACTATAGTAGGGTCCCTCATTTTCGAAATCTCCTAGATACATTCGGGGAAGCCTGGGGAGTCTTCATGTCTGCTTCTGACGGACCTTGGGACATCGAGGAGGGTGTCCGCTTCGGAACCGCATTCGGTCCAAAATGCCTATATAAATGATAAACCCTAAACCCCCTGAACCCTAACCCGCCCAAATCCTTGAACCATCTAAAAGCCTGTAAACCCTAAACTCTGCTTCTACACACCCTGCGAAGCGCTATGGTCATACCTCAACCTGGATAGTTCGAAGCTTCACCGCAAATCCTGAACCTGAATGGAGCCTCAGCTTTGGGGGGGGGGGTGATCAATAGGGTATTGGTAGGCTCTACAGAGTAATGTAGGAACCTGATTAAGAAACCCTGGTCCTATAACCCCCAATATAGCAGGATTCATATATAAGGAACCCTAGTAAAAGGCCCAGGGTTTCTTAATCAGGTACCTACATTAGCATCTATGAGTCTGTAATGGGGTGTTCTCGTCCAGGGTTCAGATCACTGCGCTCGACTCATGAAGGCCTCGGGATTAGCGGCATAAGCCTTCGGCGTCCACTTAAAGCCTGGGTTTAGGGTTTAGGGGTTCAGGGTTTTGGCTTAGGGTTTAGTGCAGCCTGCCTCAGCGAGGTCCATGACGTGATGCTTCCATTCCAAGTTCATCTCTCTGGCAGCTGCTTCCGCCACCAGCAAGTCTTCTGGGTAGGCGTACTTGTTCTTGATCTTCTTATCCTCCAGATGGAACCTCAACAGGTTTTCCTGTATCGACTCTGGAAAACCAAGGAACTCAGTAGCAAAGTCTACAAGGGAATGATTCCGGGGATCTGGGAATGCGGGCACCAGAAGTTGACCGAATCCCCATAGATCTTGCATTTCTAGACACTTTGAAGTCCGTATCAGTTCTCAAAATTTTCTCAACATCTTACAGCACTCTCTCTCTCTCTCTCTCTCTCTCTCTCTCTCTCTCTCTCTCTCTCTCTCCTCCCTACGCCTTCTTGCTACATAACGGCTCTCTTCACTTTTCTTGAACTAGGTTCCCCAGTAGCCCCTTGATACCTTTTTCCTCCTACTTGGGGGTTTCCGAAAATGAGGGGTACCTTATTTTGGGGTCCTTATAATAGTGATCCTACTATTTAGGGTATTATGTTAGGGTCCCCCATTTTCGGAAACTCCCTTTTTGTTGTTAATGACCGCACCCACAAAGACAAAGGGCAAAAGGGTACTACTGGGGAACCTAGTGTAGCGGCAAAACAAGCGAAAGCAAGAAGAGAGATAAGGTTGCACGAGCAGGACCAGGAAACTTGCAAGTTAGAAGGGAAAATGGAAAAGGAAGGTAGAAGGAAAATTGAGACTCTCCCATCATAGCAAGGGTACCAGGGGCAGTCTTCAGTTGTCAGTCGGTTAGCCAACAAATCATGCCAAGAAGGACTGAACAGCGACGCACCCTGAACTACTCTACAGAATGAAGGAAGAACTGTGGCCCCTGGGTGCAGTTCTCCTGTTGAGGCGAGCAAGGCAACGAAGGCGGCACCAGAGTTGCAGGATCAAGATGACTCATGTCAGTAAGGGAATGGTAACTGTCTTCTGGAGACTGAGCTTAACTACTCAGAAACAGAAGACTTGCAATATGAGACTTTCTCATGATTTGCGTACATAAGCGGTCCCGGTGCATATTCATTTGGGTCACAATGCTGCAGGACTTTCGGGTTATGGGGGTTCCGGGCTTTGGGCTTCCGGTTCCGCAGAGCCTACATAAGTTCAATCTTAGGAGCCCGACGGTGTAGCAGGTACACTGGCACCTCGGCCGAGGGGTGGTGCGCATGCTTCGAAGCCGAGTCCAGGGTTTAAGGGCTATAGCGCTATATAGGGTTTAGGGCTTAAGGGCTGTAGGATTTAGGTTGGGTCCCCATCCAAACCCTAAACCCTAAACCCTAAACCCTATAAACCCTGAACCCGTATTCCTTCTGTAAGGGCTTGCCGACGCCCTAGCCTTTGTTAGTTTCTCCAAGGGCAAAAGGAGGGACCCTTAATGACGACCCCTAGGTATATACCCTTAATATAGCTTATATAGCCCATTATAGGGTAGAGGTCCCCATTAAGGGTCCCTCCATTTCCCCTTTGAGTTTGGGACCTTAGGAACGAGGGTCGGCGCCGGGTCTCTGGGCTGGAGAAAGCATCCACGCACTCAAAGCGGCTCCATGAGAAAAGCTTGTGCGAAAGACTGCTCAAGTACTCACCCTGTGGATTTGGATACAAGCTCAAACCCATCAACACATCCCTCCATACTGCTTGCTTGCTAGTGCTATTACAACAATTCTGCCACGGGCCCAGGTTTACGAATTAGAGCCAAGAATTCGTGTTCAAGAGGCCGGGCCGGGCTCCGGGCCTTTAACTTCAAGATGTGCTCATGCTGCGCAAGCAATCCGATTAGTTAGGGATGATGTCATATGGCCGGGCCCAAAAATCTAGTTCATGGTTGGGATAGGAATAAAATTTACATGTTTCTTCCTTGTTGGGTTTAAGTATCCTTAAAAATGTAAAATGTTACCCAACTATGGCAAAGAAATGAGGTTCCAATTCGGGTTCTCAAAAATACATCGCCTCTGTCCTGATGCTTACTGCAAGGGGCACAAACCGTTAAAGAACTCACGAAGCTCTCGATCAGCGCTAACCTATACCACCCCCACACTGCACCAGACACCCCCCTCCCACACTCCCCAAACCCTATACTAAACATCCTGTAAAGGAGCCCTTAAAGTAACCCTTCAATCGGCACCCATAAAGGAAGTCTCAAAATACAGTTCCTGATCCCCCAACTCTAAAACCTTGAACCCCTAAATTTAATTTCGCCCTTGTAGACTGTGGAAACCCCTAAGCCTTTAACCCGAAGCCTCAATTTCGCCCTTGGGCAAACTCTACAACAACCAGCATCCCATGCCCTCTCCGAGGCGCGGTGCAAGCAGCCCACTGGAGAAAAGCCAGCCCAAGAGCCTTTGAACTCACCAAGAGAAAGTTTTAGGATGTATATAAAGATTAGGGTTTAGGATTTGGGATTTGAAAGGATTAGGGCTTACGGTTTATAAGGTTTGGGTTTAGGCTTAGAGTTTAGGGTTTAGGGGTCTAGGGGTTTTGTTGGTTTGAGGGTGTTCTTGAAAGGCTCCTATGGGGTCATTTTGGAGTTCAAGGGGGCTTCTGTAGTGCTTCTGCTAGCGCACAAATATGACCCTAGAAGCATTCCTTTGGGGCTTCCAAAGGTGTTCGTTTAAGATCTCCGTTAAAGACATATGCGATTTTGTGGTTCAGGGTTTAGTTTTGTTCTTGGAGGTCGCAGGGCTGCGGGTTTTGCGGTCCTGTGCTGCGGACCCCTGGCCAATAAACCTTCCTTCTTGAAGAGGGTCTATCATAAATCAAACCCTAAACCCTAAACCTTACAGGGAACTCCAGAAAGTTGGAATATGGTTTCATGGTAGGATCCCCTATAATTTACCATAGAAGGGTTAGGATAATAATATTCCAACTTTCTGGCTTTTACTATAAACTCTAAACCGTGAATCTGGCTTCAGGGATTCTTGCTCACGATTTCAGGGATTTAGGACATCGGGTCCCTAGAAGGCTTTGAGATGCTTTGAGGCTGCAGCAAGGCTCCAGGGCTTTCATTATGAACCTTAAACCCTAAACCCCTAAACCCTAAACCCTAAACCCCTAAACCCTAAACCCTAAACCCCTAAACCCTATACCCTAAACCCCTAAACCCTAAACCCTAAACCATGAATTAGGGGCTCGAGGGAATGGTGGGAGGGCTTGCGGGAGTTTGGGCTGAAGGGTGACGGCTCCAGAATCCTAGTAAGGCCCACGTGGGAGCTTCCGAAAGTTAGGGGGGATACCTTTAAAGGGATCAATTTAAGGGTTCGTTAGAGGGTTCTAGAAAGGGTTTAGGGTCTAGAGTTTCCGAAAGTTTGGGGGTACCTTGTTTTGAAGTCTTTATAACAAGGACCCTACGATTTAGGGTGATATATGAGGGTCCCCGTTTTTCGGAAACCCCCATGCAGGGCTTTCGAGTCTTCCTGGGGCTTTGGTAGGGGCCTCCGGGTATGTTCTGGGCTTTGAAGTTCTCATTACGGTTCGTTTCAGGAACAGGTCGTTGGAACACGGAAAAGCACGGTACTCCAGAATCCAGTATTGGGTGTTCGTGCTAGAGTCGAGAGTTCCAACGATCGCTAGGACGCTAGGATTCTCTCTTTAACACACATCCCAAGAAGATTCCCTCACCTTTAACCATGGATGAATCCTCTCTGCCCTGAAAACTCCTAAAGCCCTACAGCCTAAATCCAAATAACCCCTTCATCTATCATAACTGGCTCCGGTGCAGACCACCTGAACCCTAATACCAGAAACTAATCTGCCGTATGACCCCAGAATGAAGAATCCTACAAGCCATTTACTCCAAGCCAATGTTTAAAACCCTTAAACCTAGTTCATGGTTGGGATAGGATTAAGCATGTACATGTTTATTCCTCGTTGGGTTTAGGTATCCTTAAACATGTAAAATGCTACCCAACTATGGCAAAGAAACCCTAAACCATCTAAGAAATGGGTGGTTGTCAAAATTAGGGTCCCTTTTTGGGTACCCCAAATATTAGGCGCCGTATTATAATGGGGACCCAAAAAAGGACCCTAATTTTAACAACTACTCAAATCAACGCAAAAGGACCACGGAACCCTAAACCCTAAACCGGTGCAGCCCGAAGAGCCCCGAGTCCAAACCGCCACTGAAGAGAAGTCCCACGTGGGCCTCAGGGCTCATGAGGTTTAAGGGGCTTAGGGGCTAGGGGTTTGTAGGGTTTAGGGGTTTGGGAATTTAGGGTTTTTGGGGGTTTAGGGGTGTAGGGGTTTTGGGGTTGATAGGGTTTAGGGATTTAGGGGTTACGGGTTTGAACTCTAAACCCTTTTCACTTGAAAAGGACTCTGATGGGGTAAGTGAGGAGAGGGTGTAGGGTTGAGCGGCTTAGGACATAGGGTTCAATGTATAGGGCTCCGATTTTGTTTTGGGTATGGGGTTGCGACTGTCAAGGATAAGGATCTGGCAACCCCACATCTGCAAAAGTGGGCAGTTCAGTTGTAGCAGTGCGTACCTACCTATACGTACGTACCTACCGACCTACCTGCATACAACCCTTGTCTAAACAACCAAAAAACCTCCCAAACCCACGGACTCACGAATTCCTTGGGTCGCCTCCCCAGCCACACAGCGCTGCGCTGCTTGGACCACGAGCGCTTCGAGCGCCGAGCTGTCAGAGGTGCCAGAAGCGGTCGGCCTCGCTATTAACGGGTTCTACAAGGCCATGTTCGTGTATAGGGGATCTCGTGGGGGTGTTGGGGTTAGGGCCTTAGAGATTTGGGGTGTCCAGCATAGTCGCTTTGTAAGGTGCTGATGGGGTTTCTAGTGAATCTATAACCGGGTTTTGTTAAGTTGTTATAGGTGTCTATCGGGGTGTTGTAAAAGTGTTGTAGGGGTGTTATGGACCTTAGCTGCCAATATAGGGATGATGTTGTCGATGACGATAATAAAGGCAGCACCAACGCTTATGAGTCTCGTGGTAGAGCTCGTCGTGGTACTCAAGTGGATGATGTCTGATGACGACGATGGCGATGGCGAAGACGATCATGGTGATGAGGATGATGATGATGCTGATGATGATGATGAATCTGCTTGTCAAAATGACGGCGATGGTGATGGTAATGCTGATGATGATGAAGATGAAGACGAAGACAAAGGGGGACAGGGGCCGTCTGCGCATTTAGAAGTCATGATTTTGGTCCCGACGAGTGGCGCATGGAGCCCGTGGAAAGGATCGGGCGCCGAGGAAGACAAGCCCGTGGCGGCGAGGCGGTAAACCATGCGTGGGCAAGCCTGGCTGAGGTTTGGGTTGAACCTGGACCCTGAAGAACCTCGGTTTTAGGTTTCTTGCATTATGATTTCCTTATGTAAACCCTTACGGAAGTGGGTAACCTGCTCTGCTTGAGATCCAGGAAGGGTTTAGAGCTTAAAGTAGGGGTTTAGGGGTTTAGCGTTGTGGGGCTTACGGATTAAGGTCTTGGAGTTTGTTAAATGTTTATGTAGGCTTGAATTGTTCAGGGTTGCTGTAAGGGTTCCTGTAACATTTAAGGATTGCGGCAAGGGCTCCTATCAGATCTCTATATAAAGTTCTGTAAGGACTCGGCTAAGTTGAGCTCTTTGAACAAGCATGGCGTGAATACTTCGCACGGGTTGTAGGGTAGATGGACGAGTATAGTTGTATACAAGAAAAAGCGTCTGCAAAAAATCACGGCTCTTCGCGACGGTCTCTGTTTCGGCCTACAAACCCTAAACCCCTAAACCCTAAACCCCCTAAACCCCTAAACCCTAAACCCCTAAACCCCATAAACCCCTAAACCCTATAAACCCCTATGCCTATAAACCCTAAAAACCTAAACCCTGGAACCTGTCGGAGATTTGGGATGGCGGCGGCAGGGAAAAGTCTGCGTGGCCACAGCGCAGAGGCCAGGAGCTCGCAGCCGTCCTCACTCCGGCCAAGCCACCTGAAGCAGACCCTACCCTTCAAAGCAGATCTTAATATGAGTAATATTACTAGTCAGGAATCCCCATGATCAACCTGGTAATTAACCCTGCTGTATTTGGAGCCTCACGCTGTCACACCGCCCAAAATGCTGCAGCAAACCCTACACTGTACTGTAACCCCCCCCAGAGCATTTGAAAAAAGCCTACTAGAAGCACCTGCAGTAACCTTACACGGCCAAGAATGCTCCCTAAATCCTAAACCCCTAAAGCCTAAACCGCTTCCTTTTCCGACCAGGACTCATGGGCATGATGCCCGAGAGATCCGTGGCGGTATAGACACATTTCGACCCCTGCTCCTCCCGTACGTACGCCGCCCAGAAAGAGCCGCGAAGAGTCGAAAAGTACCTGCCCAGAGAGACCAATACTCCTTAATTAAGGAATATAGCTAAAATCATGATAAGAATCTCCTTATGGTTTATGGTACATTCCTTAATTAAGGCTTGCGCGCCTAAAAAAAACCACCGCTCGAAATGTTGACGACGAGGAAGACAACGATGCTGATGAAACTTACGATGGTCACGATGATATCGATGGCGATGGCGATGATGATAACGATGATGATGACGATGATGATAACAATCGTGGTAGCAATGATGACCTGGCGATCTGGCAAAGGTGACTGTGCAAAGACCTTTTGCCCCATACCTTTTCCACCCACAAACCTCAACAAACTTGCCGCGACCTTCAAAGTCATCGGCCCCACCAGTGTTTTCGCCTTCTGCCGTAAGACTAGCTTTGCAGCCCAGGTCCGGAGAATAAATTCAGGCCGGCTTTTCCCAGCACACAAAAAGCCCACTGCTCAACACATTGATGACGATGATGATAACGATGATGATGAGAATGATGAAGATGATGGTGATATCGATGGTGGCTGTGAGGATGATAGCGATGTTGACATCGATGATGATAGCACTGATGGTCGCCTAGGGCGCCCAGAAAACTGGACACGAAATCGTGTCCCGTTTTTGCTTCTGCCACAATACCGCTGGGGAAGGTCAAAACGTGCGATTTTGCTGCGCCTGCCACACTTTTGTACACTTCCCTCGGCCGCTCCTCTGTAGGTTTAGTCTTCAGGGTGGTTGTTTTTAGGCGCGCGCGCCTTAATTAAGGGGTATTGGGCTCTCTGGGTGCACGGTTGAGGGTCTTCAGGTCTACCGTAACCCCAAAAAACCTAGCTTCTTATGGACTTGTACTGTGAAGCCATGATCTGGACCCCTAGCTTTAAACAGGTAGGTTCTATGGGGCTTAAGGACTATAGCTTGCCCCCTAAACCCTAAACCCTAAACCCTAAACCCTAAACCCTAAACCCAAACTGGAGACCAAAAATATTGAGCTTTGTCTCGACTCTGAGTTGCAATGCATTTTGCGAAGATAACCTATTTTATGATACTCCGGTCATTCCCCTAAACCCTAAACCTTATAACGGAGAAAGACCTATGTGGGACCGAAACTTAGGGGTATACCTTATTTTGGGGGGTCCTTATAATGAGGATCCCACTATTTATATACTATACTAGGGTACCCTATTGTCGGAAACTCCCATGTCTTGGGCTGCAAGCATCCCAACGGTCAGGGCTTGGGCACTTGAAGTCAACTCCAGAGCACTAGGCTCCCTTGTAACCGCGGAGAGAACCGGCTCCCTTTTTGGCATTGGGTAGGGTTTAGGGGTTTAGGGTTCATAGGGGTCTAGGGTTTTGGGGGAGTTTTCTCAAGAACCAAAAACACCAGAAAAAGGAAGGAAGGGCTCGCTCGTAGACTTCGGAACTTCAATTTCGGGGATCTTCGGCTGTGCATCCGAAGAAGCGTCGTATTAGTACAAATGCAGGAAATGCAGGGCCGCTTCCTTTTGGGCTCCCCTTTCTTTGGGGCTGAATACCCTAGCCCAAAAAAGGTTACCCTTCATTGATTATTGTAAGTTATATTTACCCAAAACGGTTAAAGGTCGACTACCTAGCCCTATCTTTATCGAACCCTTACAGACCCAGAGAGCCCAATACCCCTGAATTAAGGAATATACCTTAAACCATAAGGAGGTTCTTATTATGATTTAAGCTATATTCCTTAGTAAAGGAGTATTGGGCTCTCCGGGGAGCCCTCGTACTTGGAGGATCATGGGACTTAGTAAGTGGGGTTATAAATACCCTAAGTGAGATTATGAGTAACTGTAAGTATAGTTACCTTAATTATAGCCCGAGTTCCTAAGTCCCATGATCCTTTAAGTAGCCCCTAAACCCTAAACCCTATAGATCCCATTAAGGAACCCTATAGATCCCTTTAAGGAGCCCTTTAAGAAACCCTAGTTACGAAGTCCCATGGTCCTTTAAGTAACCCCTAAACCCTAAACCCTAAACCGGGGCCCTCGTAGTAATCCTTGGCGGAACCCTTGATGCTGCCCTGTACTCTCGAAGCTCGGCCTTCGAATCTCCCGCAGTCCCTCGAGCTCCGCAAGCTCACGGGCTACAGCACCCCAGGCAACGGCCTGTGGGCTTAGAGTTTTAGGGTTTAGGGTTTAGGGTCTGGGGTCTAGGGTTTAGGGTTTAGGTTCTAGGGTCTGGGGTTTAGGGTTTAGGGTCCAGGGTTTAGGGTCTAGGGTTTATAGGGTCCGGGGTCTAGGGTTTGCTACTGGGGGGGACTTAGTTCATAATGGCTCCTTTGCGGAACAAGTCCAAAGCCTCCGTAATTATTCAACCATGGTACTCCAGAACCCAGCTAACTACTAGGATGCCAAAAACCTAGGAATAAAACAAGCTCCCTTTTTGGTATTGGGTACCTTTATAAGGAACCTAGGACTGCAAAAAGGGAATAAGGGTACTACTGGGCCTCCTAGTATATGGGAGCTTCCGAAAATTAAGGGGACCGTATTTTGGGACGCTAATAATAAGGATCCTACAAGTTAGGGTAGTTTTGTGAGGTCCCCCATTTTCGGAATCTTCTGATGACTACAAATCCCATGGGGAACTTACGAGACTTCCAGGAGGCGCTCCTGGATCTCGTCCCGCTGAAATACCTGAGGGCGACATGTCTCAAGAAAGGCTGGGTCAGGCGTAAGTGTGTCAGCATAGTTAGTCTTCTGTAAATCCTAATATCCCTAATCACTTATCACTTATCATAAGCTCAGCCTAACCCCAAGACCCAAGTCAAGTGTTCTGACATGAGTCGCATAGCCTGCCATACCCTACTCTAACCACAGCGCTTGCAACTGTCTCAGTCGTGCAGGATGCAGCAGGTGCTATATACAGAGGGCCGCGACAATGGAAAGATGGGCGATGGGTTTTGAGATGTGCGGAGGTATGATGAAGCAGCCATGAAACGGAACAACTCTCTCAAAGAAGCCGTCCAACAAAATGCAAGTCTGTAAGCCTTCAAAGCCCTGTACTCATCGAGATTAAACCCCTTTATTCGTGTCCCGATCTCGGGTATGCACAAGTTTGGTAATGAGTCTCCCCCTGTTTGCTCGACTCATTCTTCTACGCCAAGCTATTCCAATATATCTCAATCAGTTGCTCCTCCGCCGCCGCCTCCGCCTCCTGCTTCAAGGGCCTTTGTATGGTGACCTGAAATTGAGGGTATTTATCAACAACGGCTTTACATAAAGCCTAGAACCCTTCAACCCGAAACACTGAACCCTGCAAAATCCTAGACGGCCCCACAAACCTCTCCAAAATCCGCCAAACCGCCATGCAATACTACTGCTTTGGAAGTCAGCTGGCCTGCCCCCGCACCAGCAGAGCACCGCCACCGTGTCCCAGACTCAAGCTGATTGGCTCTTGGGCACCTCTTACTTAAAGGATCAGGGGACTTAGTAACTAGGGTTATAATTAGGGTGACTATACTCATAACCCCAATGAGGGTACTTATAACCTTACTTACTAAGTCCCTTGATCCTCCAAGTAGGGTTTAGGGCTCAGCCTCTTGTCTGCAGTCATAGGCCACTAGGGTCTCTTCCTCTAGTATGAAGTTTACGAGGGTTAGGGTTTGGGGTCATGGGCTGTTCATGATGGAGGGCGGGGCTTTGCTTGTAGTTTGGAGCTTGGAGCAGCGCATCAAATTCAGAGTGGGCATTCCGGATCCCCCGACTTGTAGTGACGTTGTTGGTGGTGATGATGTGCCAGGACGATGGTGATTCCAATGATGACGAACAATGGGATGAGGATGGTGATGAGGACGATGACGACTGGTGATGGTGGTGATGATACCGATGATGCTGATCCTCCTGGCGATGATGATGTGGTGACGGTGACAGTGATGGTGTTGGTTGAGGTGAAGGCGATGATGATGATGATGATGATGATGATGATGATGATGGTGATGATGATGATGATGATGATGTTGATGATGATGGTGATGATGATGATGAGGATGATGATGATGATCATGGCTATCATGGTGATCATGGTGATCATGGTGATGACGAAGGTGATGGAGATGACGGTGATGGTCATGGCGCTGATGCTGATGGTGCTGGTGGTGATGGTAGTGATGACCATGGTATGCCATAATACCATGATGATTCCCCATCATCAAGGTCAGGATGATAATGGTGCAAGTCATGCCAAAGAAAAGGAGCCATCCTCCACATTTGAAGAAGCATGAAAAGTAATCCCGATGCAATCAATCTCACTCCCGTGACGTGGTGCACCTTCCTGTGGACAAAGTGTTGACTTCAACCAGGCTGGGGCTGAAAGCTGTCTGAACGTACTAAACTCGAGGTAAGGTCTCCTAGGGGTTCAGAGCTCGCCGAACTCGAAGATCCACAAAGATCACAAAGGGAGATGCTACACGAGGCATGTCCTGCCTTCCAGCGCCACATGGACAGTGCTGCTTCTGCAAAGTATGGCTGCGACGCCCCGGTAGAGGACCGTGGCGCCTTCGACCCAGGTGCCTTGTGTCTGGTTGTAGCCAGCATGAGCCATAGCATCGGTCCACAAGACCCGATTCTGTGGGTTCAGGGTTGAGATTATAAGGTTTGGGGTTTGGGGCTTTGGGGTCTACGGGTCAAGCAAGAACACGGTGGCGCTTCGTTGCTCCGTTGGGGCTACGATACAGTGGATGCGCTCGCCACTTGTCGCATCGACTACTGTCCCTGAGAAGCCAGGTCCAAAACAGCTTTCTGTTCAAGGAAACGGTCAGCCCTTGAGGACAGCTAGACTTCGGGCGCTAGACAGGGGATCTAGGCGGTCTGTGCGAAACCCTCGTCTTGCAGTCTTGCAGACCTGGATCCCCTGTCCGCAAGGGCATCGTGAACAGGGGATGACATTCTGCTCCTTTTCTCAAGCGCGCTCTTTGTGTCCCAACATTGCCAAGGTCCTATTCCTACAGCAGGTGATGTGAGAAGTTGTCATACACCTGTGCGTGTCTGCTTCACAGAAACTCTGCGGGCTCAGCCGTCGTCCACTTGGTGGCTAAGGATCGGCATGTCCTCACAGCACTCTCAAAATCTGAGCAAGCCAGGATGGTTTAAGGCTTAGGGCTTGGGGCTGATGATGTTCGTTGGCTTCGCCAGCAAGCATCGAAGTGGTGTGGTGCGCCTGGCCCTACATACTTGCGTCTCCATGAAGGAAACCGGAAGCATTTTCATTGACACAATACAAACCAAGCTTCTTCACCACAGCAAAACTTGGGAAATGCCCTAAACTTTACAGATACCCCAAACCCCAACACCCATAACCAAAACCCCTAACGTGAAACCCTGAGGCTTCAACAGAGGCTTGAACAGGTGTCGGTTTCCCGCTCACATTTACAAGTGCTCGGAAACATCCGGCTCTTCGATTCTGTTTCATCTGATAATACAGTATACTCTGCTATATTCCACTATGTTCTAGCAGTATCCTACTATATTCGATTCTACTCTACTATGTTGGGCTTATGTTCCAGTAGTATCCTACTATATTCGATTCTATTCTACTATGTTGGGCTCTCTTCTACTGTACTATGAAATCATACACTATACTACAATGATGAGATGTCTTGTGCAAGTCGAACACTAAACCCTGCATCCCTTAGCCCTAGCCCGCGAGACCCCTAAACACGCAGACCTCAGCCCCAAAGCACTCGCTAGCCCTCGAGACACGACAATATATCATCTTGCAGTATAGTGTATTCAATGTGTGGTAGAGTTGTGAGTTAGTAGACTGTAGAAAATTCGCTGACATCAGCCCTAAACCCTAAACCCCTGAACCCTAAACCCCAAACGTTCTTCACAGCGTTCTTCTTCCCACTTCGAACTTGCCCGTTAAACTGCAGATTTGGGATATATAGGGGCCTCAATAATTAGAGTAGAGTTCCTTTAAGGGGTTCTTGTAAAGGGCTCTATAATCTAGGGACCTTAACTACACTATACGTACGTAAAATACACCAAGGAACCCCCAACAATACTTATTTGGTCCCCTGTATTATTCGGGGTGCAAGCTCTGAAGGCCACCTCTTCCATGCGAACCATGCGCCGTGATGGGGCCTGCTGCAGGGATAGAGCTTAGCTTAGGGGGTTTGGGGCCCCAGGTGATGGACCTCCATCTCTTTGTGGACCGGAGAAGCCTCTAGCCGCCTCAAGTTTCCTTTGTTCGGAGTTTAAGGTTCAGTTCAGAGGTTTCAGACTTCGACCATGTTAGATGCAAGTTGAGTATTCAGCCCTCCGGCCTCGTTGCTCCACTCTTCGTCCATGTACGAATCGGCCTGATGTCGGGTGCAGTTTAGGGTTTAGGGTTTACGGTTTCCGTCGAAAGGTTTGAATGGGAATGAGCCTTTTCCGGTGCACCCAGAGACTCCAAAACCAGCATGGTGACAGAAAGCATCCTTTCTTTGAATTTCATCTTCAGGGACCCTCAAGTGACGGTACTGACATTCAGCCGTAGTTATTTGCTGGCAAGCCTTTTCTTTCAGAGTCCGCAGATGCAAGGTGGAAGATGCCCAAAAACCCCTGCACTTATGGACCGTCCCTCTCTCAGCCCTCACTTACTATTGGCCAAGTTTGGCTTCACAACCAGTGGCCACATCTCGGAGCGGGGACACGGTTAACAGCCGAGTGAAAGCTTAGACCTCCACAATCGGCATTGGCTCGGATTTTGGCTTGTGGGAGTTTCCAACACTAGGGACTCCAATCGAGACCCGAAATGATGGGATCTCCCCGCACTGCGTAAGTTCAACCGGCGGGGGCTGAGACGGATAGAACCCGGCTACCGCACTCGGGCAGGATTTACATGTGGTTTGAACATCGAAAGCAGCCGTCTCTTCAATGCAGGCCCACCTATAGTCTCCATTGTAGTTCCTTTTTTTGGTTAACCAAAAACTTTATTATAGGATCCTAACCATAAAATTGGTTACCCCAAAAAAGGAACTACAATGGAGACTATAGGCAGTACATTACCATCATAGATCCCTTGCCCTAAGGGTTCAAGTCCTTAGTGCAGGACTTTCCGTCATTTTGGGTGCCAAATGCTGAGAGTAAACCCTGATCGTAAAGACCCCTTAGCCAAGGAACCCTACTCTACTCACCCCAAGCCGGAAACCCTAAACCCCTAACCCTAAACTCTGGTCCTGAACCCGTAAACCCTAAAAACAAAATTGAATCCCTTCAGCCCTAATCCCCTAAACCCTAAACCGCTTTAGCCGTAATCTCTTAAACCCTAAACCCCTTACGCCCTAACTCCAAGAACCCTAAACCCTTTAGGCCGTGATCTCCTAAACCCTAAACCCCTAGACCCCAAACCCGAGGCTACCAGAATAACCCGGCTTTCAGGGCAAGCGAGCCTCATCGCTGAGCTCAGACAGCGGTGGGGAGATGCCTTAAATGCGGAGTGATGTCGGGCTTAGGGTCTATGGTTGCAGTAGAGGGCTTGCTTAACTTGACTATACTGAACTTAGAACCCTAGCAAAAAATATAATTTGAGCTGTTTCTTAGGGATTATAATAACCAAAAAATTAAAAACTATTTCTAAGTACCCCTAAATTGAGGGGTTCCTTAGAGAATTCCTTAAAGGTCTCTGGAAGGGTCTCGGGTTTCAAGGATCGTCCTTAAACAAAGCAGCTCCAGAAGAATTACGGGATCTTGAAACGGATCAACCATCCTATTTGACACAGTTGGATGCATGCTAGCAGTTTGAAGCTGTTTTGTTTGTTTTTTTTTTTTTTTGGGGGGGGGTGTTCAAGCAGAACGGCTACTGGAGTAGTTCTTTGAAGGCGCTTGTTAAAGACTTCTAGAAAGGCTTTGCAAAGGTTTCCTTAAGCGTTACGGCATACCTGGGCTGTCTGCTACTACATGGACCAGAGGATGGACAAAAGATACTGAAAATCACCATGTCATGTGTAGGATCATGACTTGGTGCAGCCTATAATCTGAAAATCTCCTAAACCCTAGATCTTTGGAATTAAACCCTCAGCCCTGAACCGTATTCAAACCTTCAAGTCCAAACCACAAAGTTCTCAAACATGTTATGACTTCGGGTGTTTCGAGCCTCATAGCTGAGGTGGGGACAGGTCTTCGAAACACCTGCTCGACGACCCTGCGTCGTCCTGCAAACTGCTTCCATTCTCAGTTCATGGTCTGGGGTTTATGGTAGCGAGTCAGTCGGTGAGCGATAGGACTGATGACAAGAGTAGTATTACGGTGATGCATATAACCATACTTATACACAAGTCTGAGACAACTGCCCTCACTAGAGTTCGGGACTTACCTATAGTCTCCATTGTAGTTCCTTTTTTTGGGTAACCAATTTTATGGTTAGGATCCTATAATGGAGATTTTGGTTAACCAAAAAAGGAACTACAATGGAGACTATAGGTACATAGCAGGCGCATGGGCTTGGCCTTGATATTGTAGGCCTGAATAAGTAAAGCAAGCATTGGCAGTACATCGTAGTCAACACTATGACAACCCTAAACCCTAAAGGTAGTTGCTGAGTTCATAAGCCCATACAAGTGTAAAGTATACACTTTCAGTTCTATAAGGGATAACATTATCCGACACAATGTACCCACATAACTTAGCTACTTAGATCCCAAAGGTTTGCAGATGCCTCTTCTCTGACAGCTGTGCTTCGTAAGTCTCGATGAGGTGGCGGAGCGCGAAGTTCTCGGTGAGATACCTCCCAACGGAGCTCAGCTTTGATCTTGAGGGGCTTCAGGATTGAAGCTTCAACGGCCTAGGGGTTACGAGCGTTCTTGTTTCGGGATTTAGGGTGCCAGGCCGTGCGGCGTAAGACACAGGATTTAGGGTTAAAGGCCGAGGGAAGAATCCGTCACCTTTATACATCCTACTACGCTCTAATGAGTAACCTGAACCCCACACCATCGTAAACCTAAGCTAGCCCTTCCTTCATCCAAAACTCTAACCTGCAAGCTTGAAGCCCGAAGCTCAATCCCGAAGACTCCGACCCTGCCGTGAAACAGCAGAGGTTTTGGGTTTAGGGTTTAGGGCATCGCAGACCCTTGATCCACTTGGATGGTGCGGTGTAGGTTAGGGTTCTTTACGGGTAAGTGGTCTAGTGAAGTTTAGAGACACCGCTAATTGTAAATTGTTGACCCCGAAATCTTAAACCCTATAAACCCTAAACCTGAACCCTAAACCTTCAAAGATGCTGAATCGCACACTCAGACATGCGGGGTCTGTTCAAACCTCCATCTTCTTGGATTTGAGCTTGAGGATTGCACTTTGCATAAGTTAGAGCCTAGGTAAGATTCACGGCTTCAGTGGTTTCAAGCATTTTTGGCGTGAAGGCAGTGAATTAGAACATTAAATGTGTTCAAGGTCTTTGCAGTGGTGGAACCTTGAGCTGAACGGACAGGCTGACCTGATGTAACCCGTAGATTAGAAGGGGCCCCCACCCTGTAATCAACCCCCATGTCAACACAACCTTCTAGGATGCCCAGTAACCTAGGAATAAAAAGGGCTCCCTCATTGGTATTGGGTAGCTTAATAAGGAACCCAGGACTACAACAAGGGAAAAGGGACTACTGGGCATCCTAGCCTTCCTTCCCACTCCGTAAACCCTGGAAGCGCTGATGAGATGTCAGCCTGTGTGCTAAGACAGCTCCCGTCATCGGCGATGTGTTGTGCATGGAGAGCCACTTCTCAATGGCCTGGCCATCGAACAACGGGGTTTAGGGCATACGGACCGCTGGTTAAGAAACCCCTCGCCCTCAATATAAGAATAGTGAACATAGAAATACGGTTTCTACTAATTCGAAAATCATGATCATGCCCTGCATGGAACCGTTTTCGAGTGGGTGGTTGTCAAAATTATGATCCCTTTTGGGGTCCCAATTATAATACGGCACCTATTATGTAGGGCACCCCAAACGGGATCCTAATTTTGACAACCACCCGAGTGGGTTAACATTGATCCAAGGGTAAAAGGAGCGACCCTTAATCAGGACCCCTAGGTATATACCCTTAATATAGCTAGTATATACCCATTATATAGCCCATTATAGGGTAGGGGTCCCCACTAAGGGTCCCTCCCTTTCCCCTTGGAACTGAGCGACCAGAGATCTGCCCCCAAGCCACCTGCCGTTCGTAGGTGAAGCCATCAGCAGCCAAGACCTGACTTGTCGTCTTGAAGCTATACCCCCCTTAGAACCATAATCCAAAATGCTTGTTTTAAAACTTTCTTGGGTTTTATATGAACAAAATACAAAAATAATTCCTAAGGAGACTACAGTGAGGGCATTTAGGGCTTCAGGAATTAGGGCTCAAGATCTGGGGTTCATGACCTTGGGCTTCACCTTTCAGGCCTTATGTCTTGAGAAGAGCACGCTACAGTTACAACCAAGACCCGACACGGGACACTAACGCAGCGAAACAAACATGGCGAAGACTAAACGAGCGTCGGAACGGCGGGTGTCAGACTGGAAAGGCTTCTGCACGGGGCTTTTCTGGACTTGAAGTTGCCTGGGTGAAAGAAACTAAAGCTGCATTTCACAATGGCTAGGCCTAAAGAGGCCCTCGAATCCCCGCTAACTCCTGAATTCTACACCTTGGTACCTGCACCCTACACAAGTCCTACACTAAACCGATGCACTGAGGCCCGGTGCGTGGGTTTTCTTGCCACGATACCATCAACACCCCGAATCCCGCCCTCGGGTTGACCCGAACCTGACCCAGTAGGATCCCTGCAGCCGGCAGATATTAGATGGGCGACTATATGGCAACAATCCAGAGCCCTCATTCCTAAACTTTGATCCTAAAGCCTGAACTCTGAACCCTAAACATTTTATAAACCCTAAACTCTAAACCCTGCGGATCCCTGCGGCTTCTGCGATCAATGCTATGGCTGCGACGACCTCAGATGGGAAAGTTGCACCTCGGAGCCCGCAACTACAGAGCGTCCCAGCTTCGCTGGGGAGGACAGCGGTCGCTTCTTGCACCACTTTGTGCGCAAGAAGTAGATGAGGCCTTAGTTGCTGAGTTCATAAGCCTAAAAAAGTGTAGACTTTCAGTTCTAGGCGGGATAATTTTATCCCAAAACACGTAAAGCGTGTCTATTCAGCTACCAAGAGGCAGAAGAGAGGTAAAAGCAAGAGAAGCAAAAGCCATGGAGCCCAGGGTGGCAGACTTTGAAGCAACGACAGCTCCGCTGGCGCATAGATATCCAGCAGTCGCGCGCACTCCTGCTTGTCCAGATCACCAACAAATAGATGTTGAAGTTGCTCGATTACCTGAACGTCGAGCGAGCGTGTGAAGGGGAAGTACTCGGTTTGGATGTGATTCGCGCCATCACCGACGGCGAGGTAGGTGTGGTTCCTGCATTCTGCAAAGGCGATGGACAACAAGGTTCCATCACGACGTATAACGCCACTGCCACATGACAGCGCCAAAGCAAACCCCTTTACCAGTAAAGCGTGCAAGTTTCGTGCATTTGGCCAAGGTCCACCTGTCCAGCAGCAACTGCGTTGGTCCCTCTCCCACGAAGCCGCTGTTCTGCTGCTGATCAGAATGCTGGCTATCCTCGCTTCTTCGTTTTGGCTGAGAGAGGATTAGTCTTCTGCTCCAACAACACCAGGGAACCCAATGCACCCAGACGGTTTCTTCACCCCCACTTCCTGCTTAAAACATAGGTAAGCCTGCAACTTCCACAAACCTTCGAAACCCTGAACCCCAAACTCTATGACCCCTACCCCAAAACTTGACGGTTGGATCTATCCAGCGCAGTTCGTGTGTACTTCTGTCGTCCTACCCTAAGCCCCACACCCCACCTATAGTCTCCATTGTAGTTCCTTTATTTGGTTAACCAAAATCTCTATTGTAGGATCCTAACCATAAAATTGCGGTTACCCAAAAAAGGAACTACAATGGAGACTATAGGTAAAGCCAATGGCCTTTTGGCTGAAGAGCTCAGAAAACCCTACTCGTTGAGGGTGCTTTAGGGTTCCTCCCGCTGGCCTGGGGCGTTTCAAGCACTCCTTCTTGCCAAGTCAATAGGATTATAGGGGCCTTAAGAGTTAGAATAGGGTGTGGGGGTATATTATACTATATAACTCTACTAATTAAGGAACCCGGCAAAATAGTAGGTTAAGGCCCCCATGTCAGCAAGGTTGCTGGAAGCTCGCCAGCTCAAGGGTCCTTCTAAAACCGACACCATGGCTTTAGGTGTACTACCCTGAGGCCCCGTAGTAGTTCCTTTCTGGGGTTCGTATTTAGAACCCTATAAGGTAATCCCCAAAAGGAACTACTATGGGGCCTCTGGGTAGAGTGCCTCATACTGTTGTGCCTCATCGGGTTTAAGTTGGAACTCTTTCCGCGGCCCTGCAGCCGGAAAATCGAAATACAATTCTTCAACACCTAAGACGGCTGAAAAGTCCTCAATCCAAAATCGCTAAACACAGAAAACTTCAACGCCTAAATTCTGAAGCCCTTGAACCCCGGTGTCCTTGCCGGGATAGCAAACGAAGACGCAGCCACCGGCGGGACCGGGGCAGGCTTCACGGAAGAACCTCACCGAAGCCCCCTAAGCCCTAAACCCTAAACCCCTAAACCCCAAGGGGTATAAAGGTGAGGGCTTGTGGTGTTTCGGTTTTGCTCGGGTTACTAACCTGGTTTAGGGATTAGGGTTTATAGGGCTTAGAGCTTGGGGCAACAGAGATGTCTCTCTGAGGGGGTCGGCTTGAATAGCTTCGGAGTTGAAAAACCCCAAACCCCGACCCCTAAACCCAAAACCATTTAGCGTGTCCAGGGATGAATGCTTCCTGAGCTTGGCGCGCACGCCTTCTTCTAAATCTGTGGGTTTTCGGGAGTTTCCCTCTGAAAGGTTGAGGCTTGGAAGTGGGCTTTGATTGTTTACAACCCTCCGCCCTAAACCTGCAACCCTGAGCCCGACCTCAAGCAAGAATGCTGCTAGAAAACGGGTGACCCCACAAACACGCAGCTTATTATGGAAGCTCGGCTCCAGGCAAAACTCGAAAGCCTCCACCCTCCCGGAATCCCCTTGACGTTAAAGCCTAAACACCGCCATAAAGACCTGCTTTGAATCCTTAAGGTTAAAGTCACCCTTACAGTACAACTGTGGTCTCCATTGTAGAACATTTTTTGGTAACCAATTTTCATGGTTAGGATCCTATAATAGAGTTTTTGGTTAACAAAATGGAACTACAATGGACTTTAAGGAACGCTTTAACGATCTCCACGACGCTTACACTATACTGAACTTAGAACCCTAGCAACAATCATCATTTTAGCTGTTTCTTAGGGATTATAATAACCAAACCAAACATTAAAAACTATTTCTAAGTACCCCTAAGTACAGTTGAGGGCGGAGATGACAGGGCTACAGGGCTCCGAGCGACTGACTGGTGCTTGGATGCGGGATTCGGCTCTGGAGTTTTCCAGAGACTCCCATATCCCTTCATTAAGGAATACCTAGGGCTCCTTTCAGGGATCTATAAGGGATCTATAGGGTTTAGGGTTTAGGGGGGGGTCCAATATCCCTTCATTACGGACTATTCCTTAAATTCTAGTAGGATCCCTAATATGACTTAAGGAATATTCCTTAAACTATAGTAGGATCCCTAATATGACTTAAGGAATATTCCTTAAATTATAGTAGGATCCCTCATATGATTTAAGGAATATTCCTTAATTCAGGGATATGGGATTCGGCTCTGGGGTTATCAGGACCATCCAAGTAGCGTTTTAAAGGGCTCCAACATGTCTCAGTAAGAGGTGATTGGGGGCTCTACAATAAAGGGTAGTTGGGGGGTCTGGGGTTTATTGCCTCGGGAGTAGGCTTTGGGCTTTCGAAAGCCAGCATCGACTAGCTCGAGCAACTCAAAGGAAGAACTTTGCTTCTGGGGTTGCGCTGAGCTGTCAGCGCTGTTTCGCTATCCATAATGTAGGAACCTCCTTAATGCTTGGAATAGGGTTGTTGGGCTCCCTTCGTCGTATAACCATAGAAAGGAAAATGAAGGAAGTAGAAGCACTAAGCCCGAGAGCCTCTTGGACCCTATAGTAGAAGCCAGAAAGTTGGAACATGGATTTAGGAGGATTAGTGCTTGGATTGCTTATACTTTACCTTATGTAAGGGCATGGGGAAAGATGCTCCAACTTTCTGGCTTCTCCTATATATGCATAAACCCGAAGCCCCCAAACCCTAAAACCCTAAACCCAAACCCTAAAACCCTAAGCCCAGAACCCTTAAACCCCTAAACCCTTCTCTCTAGAACTTTGAGTTTAAAGGGAGTCGAGGGCTTCCTGAACTTGAACCTTTGAATCCCTGTCGCAACCCCGAGGTTACAAAAGCCTATACCTGAAGTACGTAAAGTCTTCATCGTAGTTCCTCTTTGGGGGTTACCTTGTAGAATCCTAATTATGAAAAACTGGTTGCTGTAAGCAAGAAGGAACTACAATGGAGACTATAAGTGTGACACAGACTTTGGCAAGACCACACTCAAACTCAACAAAGACCGTTGGAACCGCCACTCTTTCGAGCAATGGCTTCTTCCTGAAGGGTTCTATAAGGGTCCATGTATCCGCATAGTAGATACCGTGGTCGCAATACCAGTACCTATATCGAGACTACGCTAATGCCTAAGCATATGCTATATGGGTAAATGGACACTTAGGGTTCCATAAGGGGTTCTATTCACGTGGAAGGTTAGGGTTTAGGGCTACTTGAAGGATTTTCAAGGCCTTGAGGCGGTTCCAGGGCTTGGCGGTTTTGTGCTTATCGGACATAAAACCCTCTGAACCCTTCAGCAAAGGCACTTATGAATAACTTATGAAAACTTAGAGCCCGAAATCTAGTCTGCACAACCTGATTTCAGCCCGACACCTCCTGGATACCCTCGGCACGGACCAGACCTGACGCGGGCGCCGTATGGAATTAGGGCCCCTCCGTGCTACACTGGATGTGCTGTTTGTCGATGGGGCGTTGAAGTCATCAAGTTGAGAAACAGAAGGGAACTTCGGGAAGCCTTTTCCTGCTGACTGAAAACGCAACGAGCAAAAAGGGCAAAAGGGTATCACCGGAGAACCTAAGTTTAGGGTCTAGGATGATCCTGAACTCTGTTTTTCCTTCAACAATCTTTCTAGCTGCTACTGCAGATCGTCGCGCATCCAGGATAGGCTTCCCAGACTTAAGGGTTTAGGGTCTAGCCCTAAGGGCCCAAGTACCTGATAATCATATACTCTCCAAAATCCTAACCTACATAACTACTATCCTAAAACCGAGTACCTTATTATTGGGTCCTTTGGACCCTTTGGGTAGGGTTTAGAGTAAACTCTATAAAGTTGGAAACCGGATTAAGGCCAAATAATGCCGGGATTCCTTTTTTTTACTCTTAAGGATGGCTATTGGGTTGCCAACTTTTTGGCTTCTACTGTAGGGTTAGCCTTGATAGCTTGGGCAGCGAGTTCAAGACACAGGACCAACAAGTGTAGCGTTTAGCGTCCCAGAGGTCTGCTAGGTTCAGAGTTGCCAACCTAACCAGTGCCCGTAGTCTCCATGTAGTTCCTTTTGGGGGTTACCTTGTAGAACTCTGCCAACTACAATGGATACTATATAAGGTATTGACACCACCAAGCCCAAACGCAGAAATTAGGTCTCAGCCTATGGAGTCGACTCCTAGTTCCCCTATGTCCCAGCAGGAGAACCGAAAAACTCCATGAAAGAAACCCCTCAGACACACTGCAAACAACAGTCGAACCATGAACCTGAAGAGGCCAACAACCATGCAGATGAAGTGTCTAAGCAATTGGCACTCCCGACTCCTCACGCGTCCCACAAACCGTAAACCCTTCCGATGTACAAAAGAAAACTAGCAGACACTCCCCACCAGAAACAATCAAAAAACCTGAACGCACATAAACTCCCTTGACCTGAACCCTGAAACCCTCAAGATCCGAAACACGCAAGACCGAAAGCCGCAAACACCAAAGTCCAACCCTTAAGCCTCAAGTCCCAAACCCTACCCAAGCCCACCACATTCAAAGCCCAAAACTACACCCCAAACCCAAATCCATGAAGCCAGAAAGCCAAAACCCTCAGTCACAACGCAAAACCCCCTCCACCTCACAGTAGGGAAAGGCAATGAATCCGAAATTCCGGAGCCTAGTGCATGGGCTCGAATAGCATTAGGAAACCAGGTTGCTATTCCTGGTCGGGTTGAAGTACCCATAAGCATGTAAAATGTTACCCAACTATGACAAAGTAGCCGGCCGCAGCTCCAACCCTAAACCATAAATCCTCCACCTCGCCTCTGACCCTAAACCCTAAACCCCCCACCTCCAACCCTAACCCTCAACCCCCCACCTCACCTCCCACCCTCAACCCTAAACCCTCAACCTCCCACCCTCAAGCCTAAACCCTCAACACCCCCCGGCCTCCCAGTAGGGAAAGGCAATGAGCCCGGAATTCCAAAGCCGCGCGTCCCAGCCAAAGCCGTCGACGAAGTTCGCCGTCTGCTCAAGCCCCTGGGCCTGGCAGACGAGGCTCTAAATTGGGGGGGGGGGGGGGTTATAAGTATAGTTACCCTAATTATAACCCTAGTTACTAAGTCCCATGATCCTTTAAGTAGTATACCTATAGTCTCCATTGTAGTTATTTTTTGGTTTTTTGGTTAATCAGTAGTTCCTTTTTTCTGTTCTTTTGGTTAAACAGTCTTATGGTTAGGATCCTATAATAGAGTTTTTGGTTAACCAAAAAAGGGAACTACAATGGAGGCTTTCGGTAGGTGTTTAGGGTTGAAGGTTTCGAGGTTGAAGGGTTTAAGGTTTAGGGATTTAAGGGATTAGGGGTTTAGGGTTTAAAGATTTGGGTTTTGGGTTTAGGGTTGGGTTTAGGGTTTAGGGTTTAGGGCTTCGGGCTTAGGGTTCAGGGTTGGGTTTAAAGGTGGCTTCCTGTTGCAGGCCCTTTTCCATCTGCTTTCGGGCACGAAGCCCCGAAATCCAAGGAAGCCTATAACTATGACCCCAGCCTCAAATCGCCAACCTCAAACTAATCAGGAGGTTTAGGGTCTAGGTTTAGGGTATCCTAGACAACAAGAATATGATTTTGCACTGTGTTTATATATATATATAGATATTTATATATATATATATATATGTATACTGTAGTAGACTATGCAATGTTATAGTAGAAGATACTGTAGTACAGTGAATTCTGGTAGAAAGTCATTGCTAGGACTCACGTTGCCATCACAACAGTAGCGCAGCGCAGAATCAACACCCCAAACCCTTGAGCCAGGTGTCGATTTAACTTATGTGGGTGGTTGTCAAGATGATGGTCCCGTTTTGGGTCCCCATCAAAAATACGGCACCTAATATTTAGGGCACCCCAAACAGGGACCATAATTTTGACAACCACCCATGCATAGTCAGTAGAGGAACTTGAAGACTATCCCAAATCGACACTTAGTAAGCGTTTAGGGTGCAAGGTTTGGGGTTTAGCTCAGAACCAACACCCCAAACCCCTAAGTTACCCTAAACCCTACCTATAGTCTCCATTGTAGTTCCTTTTTTTGGTTCACCAACAACTCTATTATAGGATCCTAACCATAAAGCTGGTTAACCAAAAAAGAACTACAATGGAGACTGTAGGTAAACCCTTAAGGGCTTATTTAGGGTTTAGGGTGGGCCTGAAGCTCCCCGGCCTCGCCTGCAGAATGGGCTTTGCAGCCTCCAAGAACCCATAGAGGTCGGCGCCGTTCCTGTCCGACTCGCTGACCCTAAGGGTCCAAGTATCCATATAGTAGGGTTTCAAGGTCCAAAAACCATTCAGAGTATGGATTTTGGGCCCTAACACCCTACTATTTGGGTACTTGGACCCTCTGGGTGAACGATTCGAGCAATCTTCTTGTTTGAGGCCGGGGGCGCGGGGGGGGGGGGGAGCGCGGTGTAACACGTACGTAACGGTTTCGGGTGCAGGAGTGTGGGGTGTAGGGGTTTAAGGGTTCTGGGCTTAGGGTTTTAGGGTTTGGGTTTAGGGTTTTAGGGTTTGGGGTTTATGCATATAGAGGAGAAGCCGGAAAGTTGGAACATCATTATCCTCGCACACTTAAGTAAAAGTATAAAGAATTCCCACACTAATATCCTAAACACATGTTCCAACTTTCTGGCTTCTGCTATAGAAGTTAAAGGCCCGAAGCCCAGCCTCTCGAACACGAATTAATCCCCATTTTCGTAAACTCCCATATGGCCCAGGATCATGGCAAAACGAGAGCCTAGCGACTAGCGCCCCTGGGCACTCCTCGAGGCACGGCCTGCTCCGAAATCGCCCAAGGTGTCCCAGTGGATGCCTGAGAACCTCAGCAGGTTTAGGGGTTTGGGGTTTAGGGGTTTAGGGGTTTAGGGGTTTAGGGGTTTAGGGATTTAGGGGTTTAGGGGTTTAGGGGTTTAGGGGCTTAGGGGTTTGGGGGTTTGGGAATTTAGGGTTTTTGGGGGTGTAGGGGTTTGGGGGTTTAGGGGTTTAGGGGTTTGGGGGTTTGAGGGTGTAGGGTTCAGGGGTTTGGGGGTTTAGGGTTTAGGGGTTTAGGGGAGGCTTTGGGGGGACCTAAGTCCCAAAGTCCGGCAGGGTCAAAGACAGGATGTAGGTGCTGGGTTCACGTTTCGGGACAACCAGAGGGCCCAATGGCCCAATATCCTTCAAATAAGGAAACATAGCTTTAAACTTAATTTGAGGCCCCTAAGAATTTAAGGTCTGAAGCCTGCATCACAGGTGCCTTCCTTACTTGGGGCTTTCGCCCGCCAGGCTTACTGAAAAGGTGGTGTGGGGTTTACAGTTGAAAGTTGGAAACCCAATAGCCTTAATCCTTCAGAGTGATGTGTAGGGAATCCCAGCTCTAGTTAGCCTTAATCCGGTTTCCAGCTTTATGGGGTTTACTGTAGGGTTGAGGGTCCCTGTGGCTTCGGGAGGTAGTGTAGGGGCCTTAATAATTAGAATAGTCTTGGGGGTTCCTGAATATACTTATCGTATAAGATACCCCCAAGCCCTATAGTAATTATCAGCTGCCTTGGCCATTGTTGCTCGTGCTTGCTCCGAGAATTTGGATTCCTTTGCGCCGAGGCCTCTTGACGGATTTTGCTCCGAACAAGTTGGCCGTCAAGGCGAATCCAAGAGCCGCAGTGGCAAATTAGGGGTCTGCTCCTTTGTACTTGAGTTCACTGTCCAAAGGCTGGAGGTCAGCTCCTGCATCTGACAAGACGTTGTAGAATGCCTCGAGAAGGGTAGCCATTTCTCCTGTGATGCCTCTGAGGAAGTCCGAAACATACGAGCCGTATGCAAGGAGCTAAACATTCAAGCGGTTTGGGGTGCAGGGAGGGCCCTCAACCCTAAACCGTAAAGTAGCAGTAGCCGTTGACCTCAACAATTCAAATTCTTGTTTGCAGTCGCAGCCCGAGGAATCTATCGAAACTCCGAAAATTGCATTTAAAGCAAGCCAACCTGTCAGAAACAAAGTAGTGAACTCGATCGTGCCCCCAACTCCCTAAAGGATGCTTTTGACAACATAAAAACCTATAGCCCCAGACTGAAACCAACCCCCAATCGAGGTGCGAATGTGGAGACTATCAAGCCCAAGTTGTAAGCCCTAAACCCTGTAAGCCCTGAACCCTGAACCTTGCTACCCTAGTACTCCGCTACGTGCCATTCCAAGAGACTCCATCTCTGCTGCAAAGGTCGCCCAACGAGGCGCTATGCGCCTCGGATCTGGAAAAGATCAAAACAGAGTTTGGGGTTTAGGGTTTAGTTTAGGGGTCTAGGGTTTGGTGTTTAGGGGTTTGGGTTTAGGAATATACAGCATGACTGAGCAGCCTCTTTCTCGCTCTCCCTGGCTCTGTTACAGTCTGCTGACTCTGCTATCCGTATCATCCGTATCCGTCTCCCTCTCTCTCTCTCTCTCTCTCTCTCTCTCTCTCTCGCTCTCTCTCTCTCTCTCTCTCTCTCTGCCTCTCTCTTTCGCTTTCTCTCAGTCACTCACTCTCTCTCTCTCACTCTCTCTCTCTGTCTCGCTCTCTCTCTTTCGCTGTCTCACTCACTCACTCACTCACTCACTCTCTCTCTCTCTCTCTCTCTCTCTCTCTCTCTCTCTCTCTCTCTCTCTCTCTCTCTCTCTCTCTATCTCTCTCTCGCTGTCTCACTCTCTCTCTCTCTCTCTCTCTCTCTCTCTCTCTTTCTCTGTCTCTCTCTAGCTCTCTGCTCTGCTACTTTCACGGTATCTGTCTATCTTTCCCTCAGTCCTTGTGGGTCCCAGCCTCTGGACCGTTTCTGTCTGAAAGGATGTGCGTGTCGGGCGGTCCGTCGGTCTCTCCGTCTGTCCTTGCATGTCCTTGATCCGGCTGTGCGCATATATGTAAACCTAAACCATACTGTATATATATATATATATATATATGTATATATATATATATATATATATGTGTATACGTTTATGTATTTGTATATGTATATGTATATGTATATGTATATATGTATAGGTATATGTATATGTATTTGTATTTGTATTTGTATATGTGTATATGTATAGGTATATGGGTATAGGTATATGGGTGTAGGTATAGGTATAGGTATATGTATATGTATGGTCATATAGCATACGTAACCTTAAACCCTATCTGCCCTAAACCACATATTCATATGAAAGGTATGTTCTCGAGATACCGAAGACCTCCGAAGCTGATCAGGAACTCCTCGCGAGACGACGTAATTAACGTAAACCTCCCATCAGTCTGGAATGCTTTTGGAAGATGTTTAGGGTTTAGGGTTTCGGGACCTGCTGCTATTCTTGCTCTTTCATGCTCAAAGGGCCCTAGACCCCTTAAGGACCCCATAATAAGGTCCCTGGAGGCATAGGGGAAACTTCCTAAACTTTACTTAGAGGATCATGGGACTTAGTAAGTAGGTTATAACTGGGGTTATAAGTCCCCTAAGTGGGGTTATCCTAATTATAACCAACTTATAACCCTACTTACTAAGTCCCATGATCCTTTAAGTAAATCTACCGCCAACGACGGCGTTTACGGGCCTACTCAGACCTGCGCTGCTCCGACATCCAAGCCCCGAACTAACGGAGGGTTCCGACTCTACTATAGGGGCCTTAATACTTAAAATAGGGCTGGGCCCATTGTACCATAATTCTAACAAGAAACCACCAAAAATAGTATTGGTAATTTATTTATATTTAGGCCCCTTTAATACAAGATTCCGCCCCTGCCAGATCGAGCACAACGACCCGAAATAGCTCTACAACTCTGGATTTACACCGCTCTCCTGAGCAACAAAGACGTGCTGCACACTGTAGGGGCCTTAAAAAAATTAGAATAGGCTCTACAACTCTACTATTCAAACACCCTAGAACCATGCAAAAACAGAGGAACCCTAAACCCTAAACCCTAAACACATTAGCACCATAAGAAACGAAACCCATCGCTTGAAGCCCGAAGCACTTGGCCCAGGCATGCGTGGGCGGCATGACATCCAGTAAGGGTCGGCCATCCACCTTGTGCTGACCTTGTTCGAGCCCTGAACCTTAAACCTTAACCCCTGAAAGCTAAACCGTTGGGGGTTTTAGGAAATCGGGCTTAGGGATTGGAGTTGAGGGTGAGGGCTGTTGGAGTTTGGGGATTTAAGCTGTTTGGTTTAGGTCCTGGGTGGGCTATCTCGCCTTTTCGGTACAATACGTAGGCTTTCACACCGGCTTCCAGCTAGATTAGCTTTTCCGCAAGCTCTTGAGGCGTTCCCCTTGGTTGCCCCCGGAAGCTTGCAGACTTTAAGATGCCGTAAATCCCCTAAGCCATCCTAAGCCCTCCTAAGCCCTTAAACCCTAAAACCCAAAATCCCTAAACCCGGGCCTTCGGAATTGGCGGTGTTTCCCTCGAAAATCTGCTTGCTTTCTCAAACTTGGAGCCCCATGTCAAGTCTGAGCCGTGAACATGGGTAGTTCTCTCAATTAGGTCTTGAGGGTTCAAAGTTCAGGGTTGCGGCTGGGTAGTTTGCTAAGTTAGGGTCCAGTTTGAGGCCCAGTACGGCACTTGTATCAAGAGGACACCTAGAAGACCACCCTAAGATAGAAAGCTACCCATATGAACCCCGAGATCAAAACCTCAACCTGCAATCCGAAACCTGGAAACCTTCAGCCTTGAAGGCTTAAGAAACAACTACTACTTGCGTGGAAACTCAGGCACAAGAAAGGCAGCATCCACCAGGTTTTCAGAACTCAGATGGTGAGATGGTGACCTTCTTTTTGCGATTTCAGGATTTACCCGAGACTCCTTGACATCAAACCTTGAAAGCTCAAAACCCGAATCCTGAAGCCGAAACCCTTTGAGAGTTGTGGCTTGCTTTCTCTTTAAGGAGATCCTTGGGACATCCCAAACCCTAAGCCCTAAACCTTAAACCCTAAACGCTGCACCCCGAACCTTGTACTATAGACCTTGTGGACCCTAACTAAGCGCTAAGCCCGAAACCCCAAACTCTACCTATAGTCTCCATTGTAGTTCCTTTCTTTGGTTAACCAAAAACTCCATTATAGGATCCTAGCCATAAAATTGGTTAACCAAAAAAGGAAATACAATGGAGACTATAGGTAAACCGTAAACGCAAGTTAGGACATCGGTCTCAAGACTCTCCGAGCCGCCGATAACAGGAGCATCTTTCTGCAGCCTCGGATGCTTTGAAGTTCATATGGGAGTTTCCGAAAATAAGGGTACCTTATTTTGGGGGTCCCGGTAATAAGGATCCTACTATTTAGGGTACTATATTAGGGTCCCCTATTTTCGGAAACTCCCATATTGCATCGGTCACATGATTAAAGTTGCTGTGTGGGGTTTGGGATCCATAACCTGTATATGTAAATTAGCCATATTATGCAGTATCCTAGGTGTCCGACTGAGTATGGCCTGGTAAACACCAATAAAGCGAAGCGTCTATAAACTGGTGCAGTACTGCTGTCAGTTAGACTTTCGCAGGCTTCCCCAAAAACGATACCCCAAAAACCTTCCGAACGTAGTTCCAAAGACTCCGCTGAAGGCTAAAGTCGCATAAAACCGTGTTCAGCCCGTACAAAGCCGCATCGAAGAGGATAAATCTCGACTAAAACCCCAGCGTAGGACACTGAAAAAATCCCATATAACCCAGAGAAGACTTCACATCCAAGTAGCTCTGTATCCCCCGGGTCTGTGGCCATAGCCTTGGCCGGTTTAGGATTTAGAGTTTAGTATTTAGAGCCTAAACTTAAACCCTTAACCGCGGAGTAAAGGAAGGCTCCTCCAAGCCCCAAGCTACCACCTCGGAAGCAGTCAAAACCAAACTGTTGTCCGAAATCCTGGCTCCCAAAGGCCCTAAGGCCTAATCCCCTAAAGGCTCCTCAGCCCCCAACCTTTCCAAGCCACAAATATGATTAGACTCCTCAGATCCTGAATCGAAATCCGAAAACCCAAAACCCCAATACCATGGAAACCCTGACCGCCTGCGCCATCCTCCACCCTAAACCCTAAACCCTTCGGTATATAACCTATAGCAAACTCCAAAAAATTGGAAACCTGGTTAAGGACAACTAGTGCTGGGATTCCCTATAATTACACTACTCCTAAGGATTGAGGCTTTTGGGTTTCCAACGACTTTTGGGCTTCTACTCTACACCCTAAAAGCCCTGAGCCCCAACACCGTAAGATCCTGAAACCTCAAAGCCTTCCTAATCCCCAAACACTAGAAAAACCCTACGGTTTAGGGTTTTTTAGGTTTAAAGGGTTTAGAGGAGTTTTAGGGTTTAGGGTAAAGAGCATAAGTGTCCCGGAGACCAAACTGCATCAAGTTCCTATCAGCAGCCGAGCCTGGACGTACAGCCACGAGCGTCCGCCAGCAGCGCGGATGGCACGAATGTAGGCAGAAATGAGCCGCCTGCAACCATCAACCGCAATCATGCGAATATATCCCGGAATGGCCGGAAGCCACATGCTTTAAAATGTACAATTAACCCGTTTCTGGCTAGCTTGGCTTCTTAAGCATGCATCGCCAGCCTGTGTTGCTCACCATGGCTTCTTAGCAATATACCCCCAAGAGATACTATATTTCTACGGCTCGGGAAGACACAGGGTGCAAGATTTCAGACTTGTGGGTTAGTTGTAAGTGGCTTAAGTAGGGTTTTGGGTTTGGGGGTGTAGGGGTTCAGAATTTAGGGCGTCTGGAGAGTCTGGGCTCCGTCTGGGGTTAGGGATTTGGGCCTCAAGAGTTTAAGTTTTCCAGCGGGCTTTCCTCGCACTAGCCAGCTGTAGTGGGAAGCCACAAGAGGCACTTGGCACTTAGGGTTTAGGGCTCCGGGAAGTGAGCGATGCAAGCTTAACGGTGAAAGGGTTGAGGATTTAGGGCATAGGGTGAGTAGGGTCTAGGTTGATGGCTTGGGGCTAGCATCTCGGATTTGGATTTGGAGTTTGAAGCTGTTGGGTCCTTATTAGTTATGTTCACTACGAGGGCAATCATAGCAGATGATAGTGTTGGATAGGCCTGCGCCTGTGGTCTTCTCTTGGACAAATCTTGCCTTGATCCACTCGCAAACAGCTGCTGAAGATTGGAACAACACAAAACCCTAAACCCATGAACCCCTAAAAGCCCTGAATCCCGAACCGTTTGAAGCTCGCCTCTGAACAGGCCGGAAGAAGGCCGTATTTTGCCAGGACTCCTGCAACAAATGGAGTCACATCATAACCGGAGCTTAGGCTTTAGTGATACGGGTTTGAGGGGTTTAAGGTAAGTCTGGATTTGGCCCTAAACCCTAAACACTGAGGGCTTTCGGTTTTGGGGGGCTTCACTTTCGTACCTGCGAAGACATGCAAGGGAAAGATGAGCTGCAAGTCCGTTCAGTGAGTCTATACTTAGGTATGCTATTATGTATGTATGTACGTCGGTATGTATGTATGTATGTATTTATGTAACCAATGTATACATATATGTATATACTTATCTAATGATATACATGCAGATATATGTTACTATGCCAAACCCACATATATATATATATATGCACATACATATGAGCATGCATGAAGGTGTCTGGCTGTTCTGCCTTGCCCTGCTTCAGTGTATCTTTCAGTTCAGCCGTAGCGTAGCGCGTGCAGCAGCCGTAAACAAATTGGCACAAGGCCAGCAGCACTTCTTGCCGGGGTTTAGGGTTGAGAGCTGAGGGCTCTAGGATGTTAGGGTTTAGGGCCAAGGGTTCAGGGTATAAGTTGTGGGGATTTTGGGGGATGAAGGCTGAGAGCCCTCCACCCTGGCCCGTAGCTTCGCTTTGAAGTCCTTGCCCAAGGCCGGCGGCGCCGAATATCCTTCTACCTCGGCTGGGTTCCCTACACATATGGGAGTTTCCGAAAATAGGGGGCCCTAATATCGTACCCTTAATAGTAGGATCCTTATTATAAGGACCCCCCACAATCAGGTACCCTAATTTTCGGAAATTCCCATATTGTGTCTGTGTGGATATGCATGCATGTAACCCTAAACCCTAAACCCTAAATGCATATGCATATGTATATGTACATTTGTTTATCGTAATTACAGGATTACTCATGCTCGTTTTTTCACAAAAAAATCCGAGCCTGCATGTGTAGGTTGGCAGATAACACACACACACAGAGATCCAGGTAGACAGATAGATAGCAGATAGGTAGGTAGGTTGAAATAAGTAGATAGGTAGATAGATAGAGGTAGAGATACAGATAGAGATAGAGATAGAGATCGATAGAGAGACAGATAGATGCGAGATCGGAAGATCGCAAGGTATTCGTGCACATACATGTATAGAAGTCTGCAGTTTACACGCAAAATTCATATGGTGCGAAAGGGGCCCTAATAATTAGAATAAGGTTTTGGAGCCCATTATACTACATTCAGAAAAAGGAACCCCCGAAATAGTCTTGGTAAGTATTTAGGCCCCTAAATTACACAAACGGCCGCTTCTTTGGGCAGACTGCAGGCTCGAGCCAGGATGCCGCATCGTAAAACTGCCATTCTCGGACATTGAAAACGGTTGCCATGTAGTTGACGCGGCGGGCCGCCTCGATTCCACGGGCTTTACCCTAAGGCTCTAAGGACTCATATTTTAAGGCTTTTGGGCGTAAAGACAATATTATAGAAGGCTTTTTTTGGCCCATTTTGAGCCTTAGGGTCAGGGTTCAGGGCTCTTGTGCTTGCTATTGGGAGGGCTTAGCTTGGGTGTTTGCGGAGTCTACGTAAGGCCCTTCGTAGGATATTCCACACAAGTTGCCATAGCAGATTTCGATACACGGTGGTGATGATAAGAGTGCCCTCGTTGTCACCATGATCATCATCAACAACATCATCATCACCACCATCATCACGATCTCACTCATGAGACTCATCGTGCCCGTCGTCATGATACAGAAGCTGCCTCCGCGCCTGGGTCCTAGGACCATGGTGGTGGGGATCATCATGGCATGGCGGCGTGCCCTCAATCCCAAACAAATCCTAAACCCTAAACCCCTAAAACGGAGTGAGACCCGTACCTCCTCGTCGGTGATGCCGTCGTAGATGGTCAGAAAGCCATACCTCGTACGAAGCCCCAGGTCTCAGCTGCAAACAGCATTGTTTAAGATACTATGGTTACGATCATGATTCTGATCGCTATGGTTCGTACTAAAATCATATTGTGATTACTATCACTTCAATGACCATTACAACTCGTAGTGTTATTGTTTTGTTATTATTTTGTATGTATTTGGATGGTGTATTTTTGTCATTCATGATAAGGGGGCCTTAATGATTCGAACAGGGTCTTCGGAGGTATATGCTGCTTTAACTGAAATATGAAGAAATCTTAAAGGAATAACGCCGGTCCTTCTGCAGGCGTCCATATGAGGGTTCTGGCGAAAAGATGCTATATAGTAGAAGCCAAAAGGTTGGAACATCATCATGCTCATGCCCTTAAGGTAAAGTATAACGGATCCTGGCACTAATCCCCCTAAAGTAGTAATGTTCCAACTTTTTGGCCTCTACTTTCGCAGTTTACAATCACAAAGTAATCGGCCCTTACATCGCTTATTGGCTTCCGCACTCCATTTTCCAGATACTCCTGAACCTTCCAGAGGCGCGCTGCTGCACAGTTGACCCCCTCTGGGAACCCTAAAATTCTAAACCCTATCCAAACCTAATCCCAACCCTAAACCCTAATTCAATGTCCTGAAATCCCTATCTCCCAGATTTGGGGAGCCTGAAACCCATTACAACTAGATACTGGGAACCTGATTCCATAAGGTGCTCGAGGTGATGGGATGGAAGGGAGGCAGGATGGTGGTGTACCTAGTCTCCATTGCAGTTCCTGTTTTGGGCTTCACCAACCATATGGATAGTTATCAAAATTAAGGTCCCGTTCTGGGTACCCTAGATATTCGGTGCCGTATTATAATAGGGACCCAAAAAGGGGCCCAATATTGACAACCACCCGAAATTTTCGGATTCTACGAAGTAACCCCCGTCAAGAGGAATCGCACTGGACACTATAGGTACAGAGAAGATGGGTGCGAGTGCGTGCGGCAAAGGATGTTTCAGATTTCCATAAAAACAACACAGCTCCAGTGCGACGCTTTTCAAAATTAGGAGCTTAGAGGGTATACCTGTAGCCGAAAAGACCTACCTTTTTAAGGATCTACATATAGAAACCATAATAAGGAACCCTAAAAAAGGTAGGTGTTTTCGACAGGAGGGGATTAGGGATGTTAAGGGCTAGGGTTTACGATTGTCTGATCTATACTGAACTTAGAACCCTAGCTAAAATTACAATTTTAGCTGTTTCTTAGGGATTATAATAACCAAAAATTAAAAAGTATTTCTAAGTACCCCTAAGTGATGCCAAAGAGCTCTCCGCTCAAGCTGCTCATCGCGCCCGGCATCTACGCTTACCCAGAGTTTCAGGATTTACCCTAAGGCCCCAAAGTAGTTCCTTTTCGTGGTTCGTATATAGAACTCTATAAGGTAATCCCAAAAAGGAACTACTTTGGGGCCTATGGGTATGGCGACCTCCATTGCCATCGAGGCGCTGAAGCCGCTGAAGCTTTGAGCCACAACGTGTCGGGGGTGACGGCTTGAATCTACGCTGCGGCTTCGGTGTTGACCGAAAACAACAAGGACAGAAGGATTCCAGGCTATGGACCCAAAAAAGAAGGAAGGATTCCAGGCTATGGAGGGACGGGGGCCTACTTAAAGGATCATGGGACTTAGTAACTAGGGTTATAATTAGGGTAACTATACTTATAACTCCAATTAGGGTACATATAACCTTACATACTAAGTCCATGATCCTCCAAGTATGCTGTTTCCAACAAGTACGTAGACTAGTAGTGCCGTCAGGTTTCGGGTTCCTAAACCCTAAACCCCAGATCCTGAAACCCTAGCTTTAAACCCCCCAAATCCTAAACCCCAAATCCCAAACCCTATACAAATCCGAAACCCCAAATCCTAAAACCTAAATCCTAAGCCCTACACCCTAAAGCTCAAAGGGAGCACTTTCAACTCCGTGCCCATTGCTGAGCCCTATGGGGGCTTCTGGGTGACAGGCCGGAACCTTCATGCGCTCGTGGAGGATGGGACACCTCGGATTCGGGTCAAAGTTGAAAGGCTTAGGGTGCGTGTAGGAGCCGTAGTGATTAGCATAGGGTTTTGGAGCATGCTGAAATATAAGTACAAAAAGAAGCCTACAGAAACTGTACGACGAGGTTTTATTCGGGTTAAAAGCCTGGGGATTTACGATCAGAGACCTTTAACCATGTTTTGGTGCTTTGGGGGCCGCTCCACTCCTGTGACAAGGCAGTTTTGGCACAGGAAGCAACTCCCGGACCACGCTGCCACACTGCGCCATCTCTGTCATAAGAACCATCAAAAGTCACCCTATCCCTCCAAGGACCTCATAGTTAGGGCCCTAGCCCCCTTAAGGACCCCATAATGAGGTCCCTGGAGGCATTGGGTTAGTATAAGCATCGGAAAGTAAGACTGACCACGGGCTGATCCTCGCATTAAAAATGGTACTTCAGGTACGAAAGGGCTATTATTAAGGTCCTAATATATCTATATTATGAATACTATTCAACTATTACTGAGTGGGGGCCGTACCCAAATGGTACTGGTCGTCGACGTCGTCCTGTCGTCGCCGAGTACGTGGCAGCAATGGCGTCAGTAATTACGCTGGTCCGTCGCAGTCATTGCTCTGATGGTGCCAATACGTTACAAACACAAACCGCTGATCTGTCAGTTGAAACCCTCATGAAGCCTAGCAGTTTGGATCTCAGGGTCTTAGGGTTTGTTTCGCGACGAGCACGAGAAGATAATGTAGCGACCAAAAAAAACAGGGCTTGGGCATCTATCATATACCTAGATTCGGGGATATGCAGAAATAGTATTACTACTATAAGCACTGCATTTAGGCTGGTGCATTATTTGAAAGGATACGACTATTACTGCTACTAGTGTTATTCTACTCACACTATTACTATTCCTATTACTATGATTATTATTATTATTCTTGTTATTACTATTACTATTATTATTATTAATATTATTATTTATTATTATTATTATTAATATTATTATTTATTCTATTATTATTATTAGTATTATTATTGTTATTAGTATTATTATTATTAGTATTACTATTATTAGTAGTATTACTAATAGAATTATTATTACTATTACTATTACTATTATTATTATTACTATTATTATTATTACTATTATTATTATTAGTATTATTAGTATTATTATTATTACTATTACTATTATTATTATTATTATTATTACTATTACTATTACTATTGTTATTATTACTATTATTATTATTGTTGTTATTATTGTTATTATTGTTATTAATAGTATCGGTGTTGTTCTGCTTTTCGTTCAGGTCATAAGTCTTCTTGTTGTTACTATGAGTCGTATTCTGATTAATATTACTGTTTCTACAAATACTACTATGAGCAAATTTACAACCAGGACCCTCCTTGTACCCTCAAATAGGGGTATATGGTCCCAAATAAGAGGCATTTAGGGTCTAATAGAGGGCAGATGGACGGTCTAGGAAGTATTATCTTTTTAGGCCCTAAACCCTAATTAAACCCTAAGCCTTAAACCCTAAACCGTGTTATCTCTTTAGGCCCCGGCATGAAGTCAGGCTCCACGGCCTGCTTGAGCGCAGCCTGGATCTTGCGCTGCTCCACCTGCGAAGGACTTTTTTTGAGCCTTAAGGAGTTTAGGGTTTAGGCCTTAAGGAGTTTCTTTTTTGAGCTCCTTTTCTCCAATCCCGAAGGTCCGAAGAGGCTACAAAGCCAGGACAACAGGACAGCACCTGTGAAGGATTAGGGAGGGTTTTAGGGTTTTGGCGCTTATGGTTGAGGGTTTTCGGGCTTAGAGCTTGGGGTTTAGGGTTTGAGGGCCTAGAGTTTAGGGTGGAGGGCTTGGGGTTTAGAGTTCGGGGTCGAGGATCTGGGACTAGGGTTTAGGGTTGAGGGTGTAAGGCTGTAGGGTTGCAGGTCTTAGGGTTTCGGTTTGGCGTTTAGGCTGAAGGATATAAGACTTTACTTCAAGGTAGTTTAGAACGTGACTCTATCGAAAGTGACAGGGATTATAGGCTTCGCTTCAGTGCCTGAGCTTCGGGTTCCGGCTGCGGGGTTTAGGTTCGGAATGTAGGGCTGCAGGGTGTTAGGTTTAGGTTGTTTAGGTTTGGGTGTTGCATTCGGGTTCGGGCTTCGGCGTGAGAGTTTTTGCCGGCATTTATAGTATGTTGGTTCGTGGAAAAAAGGTTTCAGAAAAGATTGTTCCTGTGTTTTCAAGTTCAGGAAAGAGCATGTCCTGAAGCTGACTGCGATTTCACATACAAGTAGATGCTTTCTTGGAGAGCCCAGGAAGAAAAGCAGCAGAAAAGACGCGTCGCATGGTGGAATCGTTCCAATCCTGCACGTGCGCCGCATTTTCAGGCATGCTGCGAGTCAGCGCCGGGTGCAGCCTGTTTTCGCTAAAACGATGTCTTGAGCTACCGACCCCTCCCCAGAGTCCCCCCAAACCCACAAAACGATGCACGAAAGCACAAGTGCCAAAGCCCACAAGATGCATCGAAAGAAGCGTTGTGCAATGATGCGACTCATGCGTGCAAGAAGCATCCAGCATCCAGACAACATGAAATCAGAACTCAGGTGAGTTTCGTCTTGCTGAGCCAAAGAAGAACAGAAACAACAGCGAAGCGTGTCAGTCTGGAAAAGTAAAAATCCTGCGCAAAGGCCTCGTGCGTTTTCAAGCATGTAGCAAACGAGGCCGAGAAAGGACAAGCTGAAAAAGAAGGCCGGACATGGACGTCATCACCCCCCCCCACCACCCCCAAAAGACACCAACGAGGCAACCCTTGAAAAATGGAGCCCGGAAATATCGCAAAAACGCGCTGCGTGTTCCTGCGCTCCGAGGCAAAACACACACATCGAGCAATCATGTTCACGCAACTGTGAAATCTGCCGATTAAGTCGTGCAGGCCACGTGTTCGAGCAAGCCAAACGGCGTGGCCCCAGACATCGCCCCGAAGACTATCAAAAATCGTCCCGGTTCCCAAACCCGCTTGCAGGGTTTAGGGCAGGCTTTGGC